TATATGTCAGGTAGTAAGGGATATGTATACTTCAAAAACGAAGGAGATAGTCATTTGGGATGGTTTTATACTTCGATTGAGCATAAATGAACGTGAAAGAGAGTTGCTCAGGTGGGCTATCATGAAAAGTAAGGTAAATTAGGGTTTGGGTGCGTCAGGAAGGTCGGAGCGACTGATAAGCGGTGCTTCTCCGCGTTGCTCTCCCCGCTTTGTCTCGGCATCAACCAGCCGATTTGATTAGATTGTGGCGCTTTTTCTTACAATTTACTTCGTTCGACCTGCTGATTAGTTTCAATGGAGATCCATAAAAGGAAGCCTTGGTCCTTGCATTCCCAGGGCGTCTAAACATATCGCATATCATGTCTGCTCAATTAAATGCTCCAAGCATCAAGATCGCCATCGGTGAGTCACTTGCAATTTCACAATTCACATGAAATAGGAAGTAACTAATACCCTTTCTAGATCGTGGTGGTACTTTCACCGACTGCCTAGGCATTGTTGATGGTCGCGATGAGGAAATCGTCGTCAAACTACTTTCGCAAGATCCAGCTAACTACGCCGATGCACCGATTGAGGGCATTCGGCGTATTCTGGAGCAAGCAACAGGAAAGACCTTCTCCCGCGACCAAAAGCTCACAACTGCCGACTTCTCAGATGTCAGCATCCGCATGGGCACAACAGTTGCTACCAACGCCTTGCTGGAGCGCAAGGGAGAACGTCATGCGCTCTTGATCACAAAAGGCTTTAAAGATGCCTTGCGTATTGGAACCCAATCTCGGCCAAAGCTGTTTGCGCTCAACATCCAACGTCCTGATGTCTTGTACGAAGACGTCGTGGAGATTGATGAGCGTGTCACCATTGAGGACTATCAGCAGAATCCCACCCCAGACAAAGAGAGTCTGCAAAAGTCTTTGCAGTCAGATGCCTGCTTGAAAAGGGGTGTTAGTGGAGAAGTGATTCGCATCTTGGAGCCTCTTGACGAGGAAGGCACAAGGCAGAACCTTCAGCAGCTGTACGAGAAGGGCTATCGTTCTATTGCGGTCTGTTTAGTCCACTCATATACATTCCAAGACCATGAACTTGCAATTGAGAAGATCGCAAAGAAAATTGGGTTCACCCAGATCTCTCTTTCCAGTCAGCTGTTGCCCATGATTAAGATGACATCTCGTGGTGCTTCGGCTACTGCAGATGCATACTTGACACCAGTCATTCAACGTTATATTCAAGGCTTCCGCTCAGGATTCAAGGACGGACTCAGCTCTGCCAATACACACTGCGAGTTTATGCAGAGTGATGGAGGTTTAGCTAATTTTGAAAAGTATGTTGACAATTAATTACCCGGAATGCAGAAAATGAGTTTTGCTAATCCCCTATAGATTCACTGGTCTTCGTGCGATCTTGTCTGGCCCAGCAGGTGGCGTTGTGGGCTACGCCGGAACTTCTTTCGATGAGACAGATAGGAAGCCTGTCATTGGGTGAGTCAATTTAGCTTATTCTATGAAGTGCCCTCAACTAACTTTCCAGATTCGATATGGGCGGTACTAGCACAGACGTATCCAGATATGACGGAAAGTTGGAACACACCTTCGAGAACACTATCTCCGGCGTGACAGTGATGGCACCCCAATTAGACATCAACACGGTAGCTGCTGGCGGTGGTAGTATCCTCTTTTGGCGACATGGATTGTTTGCCGTTGGTCCCGAGTCTGCAAGTGCTCATCCAGGACCAGCATGCTACCGCAAGGGAGGCCCTTTGACTGTGACTGATGCCAACCTTTTCCTTGGTCGCCTCCTTCCAGCATACTTCCCTAAAATCTTTGGCCCAAACGAGAACGAAGCCCTCGATGTCGAAATTACCCGGAAGAAGTTCACGGAGCTCGCAGATCAGATCAATGCTGAGACCGGACAAAAAAAGTCCCCAGAAGAGATCGCGCTGGGTTTCATCCAAGTAGCCAATGAGTCTATGGCAAAGCCTATTCGAGCCCTCACAGAGGCTCGTGGGTATGATATTTCCGCGCATAATCTGGCCTGCTTTGGTGGTGCCGGAGGACAGCATGCTTGCGCCATTGCCTCTTCGTTGTCTATTGGAACTGTCATAATCCATCGATTCTCGTCTATTCTCTCTGCCTACGGGATGGCTCTTGCGGACGTTGTTCATGAGGCTCAAGAGCCAGCATCAGGAGTGCTGGACCAGACGGCCATGAAAAGCGTCATTGAGCGTATCGCTGCGTTGAAGTCCAAGGTCACTACTGCATTGACCACGGACGGAATTGATGAAACTCAGATTCAGCATGAAATCTACCTCAATCTGCGATATCACGGTACCGACAACTTGCTTATGGTGCTCGAACCTGAACATGGAGACTTTATTGCCGAGTTTGTCAAAGAGCACGAGCGCGAGTTTTCCTTCACGTTCCCTGGTCGCAACATTCTTGTCGAAGACATCCGAGTCCGAGGCGTTGGAAAGGCAACCTCTATTGCACCAGAGGCACCTCAGCAAGAACTCAAGTCAGTCACGAAAAAGCCCGTGGGCTCAGAGAAGCAGGATGATTCATCCTCTGTGTACTTTGCCGGCGTCGGTGAAGTTACTACGCCGGTCTTCTTCCTGGATAACATGCAACCGGGTTATGTACTTGAGGGTCCTGCGATGATTATTGACAAAACTCAAACTATTGTTGTTGAACCAAATGCCACTGCTACAATTCTGTCCCGACATGTGATTTTGGATGTTCTGTCTTCGAAGAAGCAGACTGCCGATGCAACAGTCGTGGATCCTATCAGATTGTCTATCTTTGGTCATCGTTTCATGTCTGTTGCTGATCAGATGAGTCGGATGTTCCAAAAGACCTCCGTATCAACAAACATCAAAGAGCGACTAGACTTCTCCTGTGCCGTGTTCTCTCCTGATGGAAAATTAGTTGCAAATGCGCCAAATGTGCCGGTGCATCTAGGAAGTAAGTCAAGCCCAGTTTGGATCGACTGTTTGTTGACCAAGAGAATGCCATGCTAATGCCTTCTTCAGGTATGGAGTACGCTGTCCGGTATCAGCATGAGAAATTCGGAGGCAATTTGAAGCCTGGTGATCACATTCTCACCAACCATCCTCTTGCTGGTGGAACACATCTTCCCGATATTACGATTGTCACTCCAGTCTGGGATGGCGAGGGCAAAAACATTGTCTTCTATGTTGCTTCCCGTGGTCACCATGGTAAGCATGAAGCTCTTCCCTTCTCCTTTTACTAGTTGTCGTGTCGTTCTAACCAAAACAAGCTGAAATCGGCGGCATCGCCCCGGGATCTATGCCTTCAAACAGCAAAATGCTGTACGAGGAAGGTGCCATGACAATGGGCTTCAAGGTGGTATCAGAAAGCCGCTTTGATGAGGAGATAGTCCGGAAGTTCTTATATGATGAGCCCTCTTCATATCCTGATTGCAGTGGCACCCGGACATATAACGACAATGTCTCAGATTTGAAGGCTGCCATTGCAGCTAACCACAAGGGTGCACAGCTCCTGGAAGCTCTGGTGATTGAGAACACATTGGAAGTAGTTCACTTCTACATGGACGCAATCAAGCGCAACGCAGAGGTTGCTGTCCGTGAACTGCTCAAGTCCATTGGTCGCAAGAACAAGGAAGTCCCTCTCCGATTCTCTGACTTCATGGACGACGGAACCGAGATCAAGCTGGAAATCCGCATCGATTCCGAGACTGGGTCTGCCGATTTCGACTTTACAGGCACTGGTCGGGAAACTTTCAACTGCCTCAATGCGCCCAAAGCCATTGCCCACTCTGCTATTATCTACAGTCTGCGGGCGCTGATTGATGTTGACATTCCCCTCAACCAGGGCTGTCTTGCCCCGGTCAATGTGATAATTCCCTCTGGCACACTGCTCAATCCATCTGGGCATGCCGCTGTCTGCGCCGGTAATCCCATCACCTCGCAGCGTATTACAGATGTTGTTCTGGGTGCATTCAACGCCTGTGCTGCCTCCCAGGGCTGCTGTAACATCATCTCATTTGGTATGGGAGGTGTTGATCCGAAGACCGGTATTGAAGTACCTGGATTTGGCGTTGGCGAGACCATCTGCGGCGGTTCAGGTGCTGGACCGTCCTGGAACGGCACATCGGGCGTGCATGTCCACATGACAAACACACGCATCACAGATGCAGAGGTCTACGAGCTGCGGTATCCGGTCATCCTCCGCAGGTTTTGCATCCGAGATCGGTCTGGTGGCGTTGGTCGCTTCCGCGGTGGAGATGGTGTTATCCGTGAGCTGGAGTTCCGTATGCCTCTTTCAGTGTCTATGCTCAGTGAACGGCGCGTCTATCGTCCGTATGGGTTGGCAGGGGGCGAGTCTGGACAAGCCGGCTTGAATCTTTACCTGAAGAAGGAGCTCGACGGAACGGAGAGAATGATCAATATTGGTGGCAAGATGGAGCTCGTGGTCCAACCTGGGGAGCGTATTCTGATTCATACGTGAGTGATCCACATTCTGATTTGTTCATCTGAATATATATGCTGACAATTATTTTGATTTAGACCTGGAGGTGGTGGCTGGGGTAACGCATCCGACGATGAACTGGAGGCGAGTGACAGCAAGAGTCATCAGAACTCCTCGGCTTTCCAACCACGAGGAAGTGTGCATGCATTCAGTGTCGCTGCCGAGGCGGCAATGTGACAGGAATATACATATAGGGATGGGATATAGATCAAGATTTTTGAATTATATATCTAGAGACTCTCCTTTTTTGATTTAGCGTTATGTTGTGATGTATTTTAGGAATTAATTGATATTCATTTTGGTAACTATGTAAACATGTAAACATCCATCTATATCGCCTCTCAATCCCTTCCAACCTTGGACGGTTGTTGATCTCGGGTATGCCCAGCCCACACAGAGGGATTGACATAAGCACCTCCACAAACCTTGGAACCTTGAAACGACCCACCCATTCATCGAACTTGAACTTCCTAGATTTGGTATGATTTGTGGCAAATAATGCCTTTTGCTCGATCCTTATTGAAGATCCCAATATTCCTCTTCACTGTTGCCCTGGGTCTCATCATTTACCAAGGGTTTGAATCTTCGTTCCTGACCCGATCTATCACATTGTCCTCCGAAGGGCAATCTGCATCGTCCTATTTTGAGAGCTGGAAAACATGGTTCTATCCATCTCAGTCTAAGGTGACAGGCTCAAAGCAGCCTCTAGGGAAGGAGTGGAATGTTGTCCACCACCTGGGAGGAAATGGGCCCTGGATTGAGAATGCCGGTGAAGGGACAGCTTCAAATCTAGGCCCCCCAGATGGATGCTCAGTGGATCAAGTGCATTTAGTATGCCCCCTAACCATTTCATTCTACGCTTTTGCTAATGAAATCTAGTTATCTCGCCATGGAGAACGATATCCAACACCTTCTGCCGGGAGTAGTAGGTTAGCCCATTGGTTAGGCGTAAACATGTTTTAATGTTTATCAATGACAGGACATCTCCAGTTTCTGAAGCGAGTGCAAGAGACAGCCCTACCGCTCAATGGCTCATTTGAATTCTTGAATGACTGGACCTATTTCTCTAACAACCCCGAAAGAGACTTTGGGGAGTTGAGTAGCACAGGCCCTTACGCTGGAACGCTGGGTGCGTTCACGACTGGTGTCAGACTCAGAACACGATATGAGAATCTGATCCCGAAAGACATCCGCACGCGTCTATGGGCAAGTGACTCGGGCCGTGTAATTGATACAGCCCGTCATTTCGCCTCCGGGTTCTTTGGCCTAGACTGGGAGAGCTCTGGAAAAGCACAGTTACAGATCATCCCTGAATCTTTTGAAAGGGGCGCGGACACTTTGACTCCAGGTGATACCTGCCTTAAGTATCTCGAAGATAGCATTCTTGGCCATGACAATGGTTTGGAGATGCTTGCGCAGTTCCAGGAAACCTACATTCCTGCAATTGCAAACCGCCTGATCCAAGAGGATAACATCGGTCTGAACAACCTTTCCAATGAGGATGTTTATGGTATGCAGGAGATGTGTGGGTTCGAGACTATGGTGCGAGGAACGAGTCCATGGTGTGAAGTTTTTACCGAGCAGGACTGGTATAACTTCGAGTATGCTCGCGATTTGCTACTTTATTATCGTGCGGGGCCGGGGAATCCATACGCTGGTGCGATGGGTTGGCTTTGGTTGAATGCAACGACTGGACTGCTTCGCGATGGACCAACGGCTGGAAGCATATTCTTGAGTTTGTAAGGCCAACTCATCATTCGCCTCGAGTAAAGAGCATTGTTGCTAATTTGATACCCAGTGTACATGATGGCGACATAGCCCCATTTCTCACGGCACTAGGAATATTCACTGGCGAAAAGGAACTTCTTCCCACGACCCATATTGCCGCAAACCGTGTATGGCGCATTTCTCACATTCTCCCTATGGGCGCAAGAGTCACACTTGAACGATTATCTTGCTCATCAGACCACGAGGATCCATATGTTCGAATCAATATCAATGATCGGATCATACCGTTGCCTTTCTGCAAGTCAGGTCCTGGGGAGTCTTGTCCTCTCAATCAGTTTGTGGAATATGTTCGTCAACGAAGGCAAGAAGTAGGAGATTTTGCAGAGCGGTGTCAATTGGAAGGGGATGCTGGACATATATCATTCATGCATCAAAATTGACCGAGCAATTTGGCATAGTCCATGATATGCGTTTTCATATTAGATGGAGATGTTGAGGTTGAGGTTAAAATTGAACTGCAAAAAATCCCATTAAATTGCTCGGCATAGCGTAAGCCCATTTCTCACAAATCAATCATCAGATGAACTAAAATCAATTAAAAGCAAATCGTGGGTTTTTTTTTTGTATATATGGCCCCACGTGACCGTATCCCGGCGAACCAGTGTTTACCAAAAGTTTTGGCTCCCTCGACGCCCGACGGACAAATTTACCCTTTTGTGCATACATCTCGCAGAACCTCCCTTTCTTGAGCTTCCACTTCTTCACACCCCTTGACTCCACATTCACGCAATCCCTTGACCACATCCCATCTACCGTCATGGAGTACCACTCCGTCCCACCGGAGGAACGCGCCAGAGACGAGGATGGCAACCTCCTTCCTTGGGGTTATGTTTACAAAGAGTATGTTCGATGATATTTGTAGCTCCTCTCCTATCAAGGCTGACCAATGCTTCCCAGTGAATCTCGCAACCCTCGACGGCCACCTGAAGAATCTGGACCCTTCGGCAAGAGAAGAAATGCTCGATACGATAATGCCCGCTCACGAACACGAACTGGAACACCAGCAAAGCGCGAGAACCCCAATGTCGCCGAGTTCGGTCGGCTATTCTCACAGCAACAGCAGGACGAGGAGAAAACACACGGCTTGCCCAAGTCATCATCGTCATCCAGTCTTGACAACCCACGGAAGCAAACAGAGAAGGTCGCCACCGAATGCATACTCTACGGATACAAAAACAAGGACAACGAGTGGAAGGTGATCGACAAATACGAGCGCATCTCCCAGGGCATGATCTGCGAAGACTACCCTCGCAACGACCCGAGTTCAACGAGCCACTACACTCAGCTATTGAGCGGAGGCGACGTCGTCATCCGAAACCTGTCGGCTGATGCGAATCGCAAGTCGAAGCGCTATGCTGGTGGCTACCACTGGATCAAGGTCACCTACGACTCGACCCAGTCCGCAGACCGCGCATGCTTCTACTCGCCACAGGAAATCGATGGGCACATGGTCTTCTGCGAGCTGTACAGTGGCCATGGACCAACCGAAGACGCCCCCATCCCTGCAGACTCTGCTGCGAGCAGTCGGATTCGCAATAAAGCACCGCGCACCTTGACTACCTCGCACTCGACCGCCTTCCTCTCCAACTCCAGCAAAGACCAGGACCGCATGACATTGCCTCGATCATTTGCCATGAACAACCTTTCCAGTGTACCAGATATTCCAGAGGATGAAGGACATTCGGTCGACTCCTCGACGATCGCTGGTACCGCCGATGATACAATTACATCCACTGCAACCTCTGCAACTGCCACTGCCACACCCTCGTTCCAGCAAAACAGTTTCAATACAACAACTTCTTCGTCAACATGGACGACAGGGGCTTCGTCCAATAACGATCGCACCTCAGTCCACCAACGCCGAGCTCCCGCTCAGGCCGAACCCACCCCCGACAACGAATTCATGACACATATTCCGACCGTCCGCCGTACCAAGCTGCGCCCCATGCTCGAGGCACTCCCTCCACAGCCAACCATGACTGAGCGCATCCTCCGCTCAATTCCCATCCTGAGCTGGTTCACAGGTGACATTGTGGGTGAGGGCCCGCTGCTACGCGAGGACGGCACATTCGATTCGGAAAAATCTGGCATTTATTGGAGGTTCTGGTATACGTTCGATTATTTCCTGAAAACGGATATGTGCGGACTGAAGGAGGATAGTTGAGGCGACATGAAGGCCATCGAGCACTATGGAAATGGAATACCTTTTCGTCTTTTATTATCCACTACATCACGGATCTCTCACCACAATTGCGAAGTCTTGGGCGCGATCAACCTAACATCCCGAATCGCTACGCAGCTTGAGGGGTCCTCAACAGTACTGCGCGCGTTGCGCAAGGCATGGGGGTCAATGGCTTTGTGGTAGAATGGCTAGGGGTTTGATCAATGGATAATGTGTACGATAGCTGCATCTGATGCAGACATAATGAACTGTCCTGTCGAAGGACCGCGCGAAAAATTGATATACCATAGAACAGTAACAAGTACAATTCCTCATACTTCTGCTTCAACGACTCTCTCTTCAGATAAAATCATCGAGGTCTCAGGAAGTAAGATTCCCTCTTTCCATCACCAGGTGCACCAACAACGCTGGCACGTTATAGACCCATGCATCAACCCTGCCCATGAGGAAGAGACGCAACCAGCAACCAAGAAGAAAAAGAGAACAAGACTCAACAAAAAACAACTCTCAAACCAGAGCTTAAATTTCATTGATCATAGACGAAAGTTTTTAAAGACTCGATTTAGTTCGCATTTAGGCGTATTTATTCCTTAGTCTCGAAGTTCTCGCCCTCGACGAGGTCGGGGATATCATCCTCCTCGTCGTCGTCCTTCTTATCGCCCTGCTGCTTCTGCATGTTCTGGTAGCTCTCGGCGAGCTTACGCAGGGAAGCGAGGGAGTCGGGGCCGAGCTGGTTCAGGATGTTGGGAACGAGCTCGGTGAGCTCCTTCTCCTCACCGTTGCCGTACAGGGCGAAGGTGTTGGAGGGGACGGCGCCGTGAACTATTGCGGCGAAGTGATTAGTCTTTTTTCTTCTCTTTCCTTCTTCGCTTTTTGTGTTGAAAGAATCAAAAAGTCGGTTTCGGGTGGTGTCTACTCACCACGGGGGTTGGCGAAGTGGATGACGTTGCCGTCCTCCTTGAACATGTTGACCTCCTCGATGCCCTGGATGGGCTGGACGTTCAGCTTCTTGAGGGCGGCCTGGAGCTTCTTGTCATCGGCGCCGGAGTTGCGGACGACCTTCTTGACCTTGCGGCGGGGAGTACCCTTGCCACTGTAAAATTGTTAGTTGGTTTGAGTTCGACATTGGACGGTTGAAAAATGTGGTTGTGTTGGTGTGGATGAGTGGGTGAATGTGGATGGTGGGGGGATGAATTTGGAGGGTTCGAAAAGATCGAAGGAATGCGAGGATTCATGACAAGGCCGAGAGTCAGACTGGATTCTCTGAGCGATGCGATATCTATCTTCAGTTCGATATTTGGGATATAGCGCCGTCGCATCGATTCGAGAATCGAGAATCCGTAGTCTGACTATCGGCTGTGTCGAATCCGGCTATTGCAGTTCGAAAATTCGTTTCTTCCGTAGGGAATCGAGAGGTCGGGATGAAAACAATTCTGGACACGATATACATACCCTATTAAGAAAAATCATGTTAGCTATCAAATTTGCACAAAAGTCCACCAGGACATGCAAGTAAATTGCAGGATTGAGATATGACCAAGCTCCAGGGCTACCAATTCCATAGAATCGCAGCTCCACGTCATGACCCCGATCATATCTCAAGCTCAAAAATCCTTCAAAATCTTGAAAAGAGACAGAAACATACCGATGCGAACGCTCGCTTGCATTCTAGCCAACTTTGCCTGATCCATGATGAAGTCGGGAGGGGTGATCGCCTGGCGCGGAATTAGCTGGTAATTCGAGTGTGAATTTCGAGGATTTCAAGAGAATCGTTCAATTATTTCGATAATTAATCTCTGTTGCGTACCGTTAAAAAAGGGTTGAGGGGGAGATGGTAAGAGGGAACGTGAAGTGGAAGTGGGTGGAATGATGATGCATCCCCAAGAGTTTTGTGTGGGGAGTTTGACCAGAATATTCGCTAATGCGCCGATTTGGGTTAACGGGCTGTTTTTGTTTTAATGTCTACACTCTTATATGTTTTATAAATTGATTCTATTGTAATATAGTCTATCTGTTGTTCTTTCTGGTGATTTTGGTTATTCGCAAGTTCCCCATTGTTCGATTGTGGGATATTTGATGCTCGGCTAAACCCTAATCGGGCTGGCCTCTACTATGTGACGGAGGAGATATATCGAGATATATACTTCAACCACCAACGTTGCAATATTGGACTTATGTTGAAACTAGTGTTATATGTTTTAATATCCTTATTGCAGCAATTCTGAACAACCTCAGTATATACCCAAAGCCATAATCAGCAGTGGACACAGTTTCATTTCATCCAAACCACTAACCACTAACCCTCTTGGTCTCCTCCATCTCAATCTGCTTCTTCTCCCAATTACTAAAATACTTGTGCCATGGATGTTTCTCCTGAAATCCAAGAAGCTTCTTTATCTTCGCATTGGAAAACGGCGCCTCAAACTCCTCCATCTCGCGCGTGATAGGTATATCCGGGAACTGCGACTGCAAAAAGTCCTTCGTAGGACTAAGATTGGTAATGTGATCATTGGTAGCATTGAAGACTTGGAACCCAAGCCCATCAGTCCGCAACGCCGCCTCACACATCCCACCAAGATCCCGCGCATCAATATACGACCACCCATGCACCTTCCACAGCGCCGGCTCATGCACATAGCTGTAGAAGATATCTTTGTTGTACTCCTCGGGCTCGATGACACGCCCAATACGCAGGGTATAGATATCCACCCCGAAGCGCGCCGCAAAGCCCCGCGCAATGCGCTCGCTGCATAGCTTCGCGATCGCGTACGTATCCGTCGGGTTGACGTCCAGGTCTTCGTGGATCGGGAATGAGGGAAAGTTAGTATCGCCCTGCGCGAAAGCTACCCCGTACACTGTAACGCTGCTGGCGATGATGATCTTGCGGATCCCTAGCTTGCACCCTGCTTCAATGATGTTGTATGTGCCCTGCGTGTTCGAGCGGAAGGTCTCGTTGTCTGGTACGAGCATGTTGCGTGCGTAGCCTGCGAGGTGGACCACGGCGTCTGGGCGTGGCGGGAGGCCTTCCGGGAAGGGCTCGCGGAGCGTCCATTGGCCGGACAGGGCGTTGAAGACTTGGCCGCTGTCGGCGAGGTCGGTTTTTAGGGTGTGCACATCTGGGTGTTCCAATTCCATCAGGTCCAGGTTTAGGATTTTGTGTCCGGCGTTGAGGAGCTCGTTGATGACGAATTGGCCTGCTTTGCCGGAGCCGCCGGTCACGACGATGTGGCCCATGCTGGTGATGGTGTCTGGCGAGACACGGGATTGGGGGTTGAATCTCCGCTCAAGTTATATCTTGTTTGATTCTGGGGTCTTTGAAATGAACAAGCTACGAGGGCACTTATCCAGGGGCTAGGGCAGCATGACCGACATCGAAATCATCATGATGCCATTTGCCTCCATGCTCCCGGCTTGTTACAGGCGGGAGAATGGCAATGCGCATTGCAAACAATGTGGATTCAAAAATAAGAAAAAGCAAGCTAAATCGCCGGTAATATTTCAGTCATTTCATACATTTTATACATGCCTCGATAGTTCCGTTCATTTTCGCTTCGAAACCTGAGTCTCGGTCCAATCCCAGAGCTTGTGAGCCAATTGTGCGTTCTGCACAGGCGCAGTGCCACCACTGCGATACCCAACGGGAGTGTAGTAAGCTCCATTGATAAGATTTTCCCTTTGCGTGCCAGCCGCCCAAAGAGAATTCAAAGCTCCACTAGCGACATTTCGGAATAACGCGGAGCCAGCAACAGCGAGACCGTACTTCATCACCGAATTGAGACTCTTCGTATATGAATAGAGCCCGCTGTCAACCGCACCGGGGTGCACAGCAATAGACAAGATATCAGGATGCCGGCGGGCCAGCTCAGATGCAAAGAGTATATTAGCCGATTTAGAAGCGCCGTAGCGCGTCCAGGTACTAGCAGCCAACAAACCAGGGGTAGATGTAATTTCCTCAAAGGTGGAAGGGCCAACAGCGTGAGCCGCCGAAGCGACCGTCACGACCCGGACATCGGGGACCTCATCCTTTACGCGCTGGAGATCAACGGTCTTCTGTAGGGTAGGCAGAAGCAACTTTGTAAACAGGAAGTGACCGATATGGTTTGTGCCGAGCTGGACTTCGAAGCCCTCCTCCGTCGTGGTGGGAGGGTTGCCCATCGTGCCCGCATTTAGGATCAAGATATCTAGGCGATCGCTATCGGACTGGAACTTTTCTGCAGCGGCGCGGATGGATTTGAAGGAAGACAAATCGAGAGCGAGGAAGCGAATATCGGCGGGAGAGGAGAGCTGGCTTTGTAGCGATTCGATTGCTTCGCGCGCTTTGCTCTCGGTGCGGGCGGCCATGTAGATGCGCGACGGGCGATGCTTGGCGAGTTGGAGGATGGTCTCCTTGCCTAGGCCGGTATTTCCTGGTCAATCAACCGCGATGTTAGTGTTCTGGAAAGTGGAAACTGTAGATAGATGGAAATAGTGTATGTACCTCCTGTCACAAGGACAACCTTGCCGTCCAGGCTGCGAATGTCGCGCTCTGGCTGAAACGATTCCCCTAAATAGCCGAAGGTGGCCTCATTCAGGGTTGGGCCAAAGCTCGACAGCGCCTCCAGAGGATGACGCAAGCTGTAGGTCGCGAAGCCACGAGTGGCTACAATATCACGGAGATCCATTGTTCCAGAGCAGATTGAAGAATAAAAGGGGTTGTGGAAGTTGAAATCAGGTTAGTTCCGGAGGCGGGGGATTAAGTAGCCATGAGAACATTAAAGTCAATAATGACTTGGGGCCAAGGAATAACACCCATTTCTTTTTCACATGTGGTAGTGAGATGTCCTCGGATGTGAAGTCTGTTTCTTTCAAGATATCCATGGATGTCTGATCTTATCAAGATTTCCCCTATTGGTCCACATGGCAGGGGTTTGTTTCTGCAGCATAGACCTGAAGCCTGTTGATCGTTGTACATAATATCCAGCAATAAAGAAACAATAGACCTCTGTATATGTATCTTTTTGTCGATCTTTGTATATCTCACATCAGACCTTGTCGAATTTATCTTCCGCCAAGCTACGGAGTAGTCCAGCCCTGCAAGCACCCCGCCTGCAGGTTGATCCTCCTCTTTCCTGGCCACCTGTCCTGTAGACTTCCTTCTTTATTTTCTTTTCCTTGAATCCAAGGAATCCAAGGAATTCGGCTGTAACACAGAATTCCGAGCTGTTTCACTATAGTCTCTTATCAAACAATCTACGTTTCAGGCATTGAGACGAAATCCAAAAGCACCAACATGCGATTTCTTTGCTTGCACGGCGGCGGCACAAATGGCGAAGTAAGCATGTGTTCAGTAGCTTTAATATAGAAAATACTGACCAGCCACAGATCTTTGAAATCCAAATTGGAGGCCTCCGCCAGGCACTAGAGAAAAGTGGCCACCGCTTCAAATTCATGAACGGAAAGATAAACGCCAAGGTCGAAGAGGGTAAGCTCTATTTCCTACACACAGTTACCAGCTAAACCCTCTACTAACCCAACTTCAACCCAGAACTCGAAGGCATAGTGGACGGCCCCTTCTATAACCACTACACCCGAAATGCCTCACCGGGCTCCAGCATCCTCGAAGCCTTCGATCACACCAAGCGCTTCATCGCAGAAGAAGGCCCATTCGACGCGGTGATAGGCTTCTCACAAGGCGCGGCACTAGCAGCCTCACTTTTAATCCATCAAAGCAAGACGCACCCAGCTGAACCGCCGCTATTCCGCGCAGCGGTGTTTATTTGCGGCGCAGCGCCGTGGGATAGTTCCGGACTGCAGCATATCGCACCGCAGCCGGATAAGTATCCGATTGCCATTCCGACGGCAAATATCGTTGGTAAGGCGGATACGCTGTTCCCTGAGGGTATAAAGTTATTTGGGCTTTGTGAGCCCGCCAAGGCGGCTTTCTATGATCATGGTTCTAAACATATGGTTCCGTTTGATATGAAGAATACGGAGGAGATGATTAGGGTTATTGAGGAGACTGTTGCGAAGGCGATTAGGGGTTAGTTGAGATGGTGGGTGGAATTTGTAGATATAGGGATTCTATACACCACCAACTACCGAAGCGATGCGCTTCCTACAATTCTACCTGTGTTTTTCAGACCTCGTAAGGTTGTGGGATAAGCTGCGCATCCACAACTGGAACTTTGATGGCTCAACATTGGCCAAAGGTTAGTTTATAAATCGCTGTTTCCTTTCTCTATACTTCCACCAGATTTACACACTTTCGCTCTTTCTCAGCGCCACATTCGAGACTTAATTATGCCATGTGCCTAACACACTTTCCCTGTGTTGGTGCGCCCTACTCAACGATAATCTCCCTTGACAATAAATCTTGAATTTAGGTACCTTTTGTATGGCATGCCCATACAAAAGGTACAACGGATACAAGAAACATCGGTACATAAATGTGAGATTCGAGATGATTTGATTCGACTTTGATCGAATGGTAATGTGCAAACTGGACAAACAGCGGGGACATGCAATCAAAATAGGGGACGGTAACTAGGTCATGGCGGGCATATACTACACGCATGTAATGTTTCGTGCATATAGCCGCATATACTACACTGACTATGATCTTGGGGTAGGTTCGCTCATCATATTGCTTATTGCTCACTGAGCCAGAACAAAATTGGAAATGATTCTTATCTGTAGACCTGGAAATTGCGAGATGTACGGAGCTGCATGCGACTTGGAGCGAGGAGTCTGGCCCTGGGTTTGGCTGACGCTTGGTGGACCGTCGTTGGCTGAACAGCGCCTCCAGTAGGGCTTTGGTAGGTCTAAGCAGGATGAAAGTGGATCCCCAGGAAGAACCGATGGTTTTACCAGGATGTAACTATGTACTTATTATGTAGGCACCCCGTCTTGGCGGGTCAGCGGCTAATAAGAAAATCAATTCACCATTGCACTTTAGTGAAACAACTAGACTCCCTTATGCATACATCTAAGTTTAGATAGTTGGGGAACTTGCTTGAGCGCGTAACGGTAGGATGATGGCTTTCAAGGTGTAAACTGCATAGGTAGGCGTGATTCTTAGCACATGAGCGATGAATCAATTGTTTGGTTGAGCGTAACCGATCGACAATTGATAAACCCCTCACAATTCGCAATAAGTAGCGGCGAAGTACAGTGACATTCTCTAGAGTTGACTTGACCTGGAGTGGTGGAATTCATACCACTCACTCACTGGATCTCTTCAGCGCATCATCTGTTTCGAACCTATATCAGCACTTATTATTTGTTTACTTGGGATACCCGGTCCAACCAACATCATGGTCAGTTAGAAGATTATTCACCCCGTGACTTTGCTAACAATAATATAAGGACCCTCTCTCTATCACCGTTACCGTCTTAGCCTTACTGCAAACATCGATCAAAATCACCAGTCGACTCAGAGTCGCCTACTCACGCCAACAGGCACAATCCAGCTTGCTAGAACAGCACCATGAGGATTTACGAGGTACCGAGATTGTCTTAAAGGTTATTCACAGCCAGAGATGTCTTGGGACAGCAGCTGTGACATCCGAGTTGATAAAAATGAAGGATCTGTCGCAGGAGCTCCTCACGTTTCTTAAGCGGCTAGATCCAGGGAAGAAGTCTATTTCACGCCAGATTGCCCATCAACTCACCAGCGGATCAAAAGATGAGGGACATTTCGACAGTATTGTGAAAAGAATGAATACTGCGAAGACAGACATCATCCTGCATGTACAGCTTGCTAGTGTTGGGCTTACGCGTGATGGCCAAAGCAACATTGTCGCCAACACAACTGAAATCAATCAACTTGACCGGACCATAAGAGAGCTACTTGGTGATGGACGGGGGTTGAGGATTGCGAGTCTGATAAAAAATCAGACTCTGCATGGTAAGCATCTGATAAGTCAATTTTGAAGGATATTTATTCATACTAACTGCAAATAGAAGATGGTACACTTGTTATAGACCCAGATGACTTGAATCACATTGGCGTATCTGTTCCCAATGGAGGAGATACTCGAATGGTTATTGGCAACTTAACGAGACCGCAAGCGCTCCAGATCAACGGACCAGTCGGCGAAAATGAGTGGAAGAGCATTAGTTACCTTGAGATTAGAGATAACGAGGCCGGTTCAGCCAGCTCACAGGTCAACTATGCTGTTTCTGGTACCGTCTTTACCACTCTCCTGTTTGACCATACCATCAAATACGTTTTGCTATTTGTTTTGATCTATGTTGCTCTTGGTATTCTTTTCAGCAAGAATTGATGAGTTCTAGCTCATCCTAGCCGGATGGGTTGAAAAGGCCGCAGCAAATAGCCACTAGGGTTAATATTACTATACTTCTCGAGAAACTTGCTAGTTGAGCCAACGAAACGCATTATCTCACAGTTTATTTTCCCTCCGGATTAGCGTAAATCTTTTAGTGACGCCTATATCATAGGCCTTTGGGATGGCCTCGAGAAACTCATACGGAAGAGAGTGCAGAAACACCAGGTTTATCTCGCGTTAGATAACTAAGTGAATGCGACAGTTCTTCAAGAAGCCATTTGATGAGCCAATTGAAAAGAGTATGCAACGAGAATCAACAAGAGAAAAATGGCGTCAAAATCATGATGTTCAGCCGTCCGTCAGATCTAAATCATCAAGCGGATCTAATGATTGATTTACAAGAAAATGAAAGTCGCAAATGGACCTAAGAAAACATTCGAACGATTGATCAACAACACAATTACGACCATTTTTTGCGTTAGTGAGAAAGAAGCACATCGTTTCATGTTTGAAAGATGCATTACATTGATGAGTGATCCAGACAACGGCCTTAGACGGGGTATGTCTGGTACTGAACATCCAGGGCCCCTTGAAAGCAAGACGAAAGCAAAGGAGGAGTACCGCCTATTGCGATATCTAGTCGTCTCATTGGGTGCGTCATCTGGAACGAAGCTATCCAATCTCATATGAGATAGACACAATGTACGCCTTTTTCAAGAAGCATTTCCTTCACTGGCTGGAAGCTATGGGCATTCTCGGTCTTATTTTAGAGGCTACGGGGGAATTCAATATAGTACAGGAGATCATACAAGTGATCCCACCATTCCGATACTATCATTACTAATAATATTGGAAGCATCCATAAATGAAACTGCCATCGTGGTATCCGAGTTTGTCTATGATGCATGGCAGTTTGTTTTAAAGACCAGGCATATTGCTGAAACTGCACTCCTTTAGCTTTATCACTCGGGGCTTGTATTCGCTCTGATGAAATCTGAGAATATTCAGAACCAAGATCCACCTCTTATGTACATTACCAAAGGTCGAGGAATTAAGGAGTGGAGGACTGCGAGACCCTCGAGGACCATTCCACTTTGGTTACATCAGTGGCCGTCTCCCCCGACGGTCAGATAGCCCCAGCCTCGCTTAACAAAACTATCAAGCTCTGGAATGTAATAACCAGTAAAGAGCGAAAGGTTCTTGATAGCCATTCTATCAGTGACTTTCTCCCTGACGGTCAGGTAGTAGTCTCAGGCTTGGCAAAGAGCGGCAGACGGTGAAGAGCCAATCTGGGGGGTTTCGTGAATGAAACGATCAAATCTCTATAGCGAACGAATTCGTGGCCTTAGAGGTGACGATACTCTATGGCTCCGGGCGGAGTACCGTGGATATTCCCCCTCGGCGTTTTATAAGGGTCCTCTAGCTTTTGGATATGATGGTGGCTGAGTTCTCATCGTGGGCTTTAGCACATCAATGAAATAGATATCCGATCAGTCTGCTCTACTTCGAAGTAGTGTTTCTCAATATCGGCGATCTGACCTATGCATTTCTTTTTTTTGTTTATCGCAACCTGCGGCTTGTTTCGCACATTGATAATCGAGTTACTTGGACCTCGGGAAGATTATATGTTGTGTACTAATTGTGCCGCCTAATGAGATGGCATCAAGTTAACCTTGGAAGCCCTGGAGGGTCCGGAAAATGTTACCTAATGCGAGTTGCTACCAAGGTACTAATAATAGCACCCGTGGACGGGTTCCTCGAGCAACACGCTTCTATCGGCACTTGTATCAATAGGCAGCCATATAGCAATCAAGAACTTTGGTGACAGACTATTTATGCACTGAGCAAATTATAGAAAGCTCATGGATTTACTTATTTGAAGTATAGAATACCTAATACTATCTACTATTGTACATGCTCATAGTGTAACTCCCGCATTGTGCCTGTTTGCGGTAAATAAATTTCATTTGTTAAGCTTGGAAGGAGACACACAACTATCTAAGCTGCATCAACTATGCCACTGACATCGCAACCAATAAAAGCTAATGGTCATCGACTTGAAAATAATTAACATTCAAGATCCCAAAGATCAGAGCCGGACGCCTTCATAGTACGCTTTGTATTGAGAACGCCACAGCACGTGACTCTGGGCAAAGCCGCCTCAGCGGCAACTTGTCAGCTTCACTCCAGACAACACCGTTAATCCTTTCCCTCCGTCACTCACCGTTGCGCTACATCCCAATCTTTATCATCCTACGATAGCTCATCCCCCATACCCACCCATCTGCGTCGATTTTAGTCCCCCAGACTCCCCCTTTGCTGCGCTTCCCCATCAAAACAGCGCAACCCCTAGTGCTCCCGGTCGTCTAGACACTCCCAATCTCCGGCGAATCCAAATCTAAGGTTCTCTCAAATTCTTTCACGACTCTCATAATGGCTGCCACCGAACAACCCTACGACCCCTATATCCCTTCCGGCTCCGCTGGAGCCTCCGCTGCTACCGGTCAGAATGGCAACCAGCGAACCGCCGCTTTGCAAGCAGTAAGTCAATCCTCGACACTCTATTGACTCCTAGCGACCCTAGCCAGTGAGAAACTGCTTGTTCTCTTGTTGAGCTAGCGAAATGCGAAGGCTGGGGTGCTTGATTCCCGTAATGGGGCTGACATGGTATATTCTTCTATAGCAAATCGATGATACCGTCGGTGTGATGCGCGAAAACATCAACAAGGTCTCCCAACGTGGTGAGAACTTGGATTCTCTCCAGGACAAGACCGACAACCTCGCCGTCTCGGCCCAGGGCTTCCGCCGAGGCGCCAATCGCGTGCGCAAAGACATGTGGTGGAAGGACATGAAGATGCGCGTGTGTCTCGTCATCTGCGTGATTCTTCTTCTCATTGTCATTATTGTGCCGTCCGGTAAGCACTCCTTGGCATTATCCTACCTGACTTCCCAGCTCGCCACTAACACTATACACAGTTGTTGTCACCAAGGGCCACTAAGCACTTCAACTGCGCGCGACACTTACGACTTCTCTTTGGACATGGGATCTTGAATTTTACTGGGCTTACTGTTGTTGGGGCCGTGTGGCCTTTTCCGTTTTCTTCGCAGCCGCTAATACCTCCTGCTGTTTTTTTCTGGGCGTGTTTTCAATGACCAAATCCTCTTGACTTTTCCATGCAACGAAACGAGATCATCCGATTTTGGGTTGTGTCGCTACATGCGACCGGTCGACGGGTGAAGATGTAAATGATACTTCCATGACGCCGTGTTTAAGTATGCTTATCACATTGCCATTCGGGTGCTTTCTCACTGCAATGAATCTCCCTTATTGTGCTTTTCTGCTCTTTTTAAATGTCCAATCCAATCTTGCTAGGATATCTTGCCAGGATACCTGAACAGCGTCATAGTTATACAATGTAGAACGTTAGTGTAGATCCACACTCCGATGAGTAAAGACAACATCCACCCTTGTGCATACACACTTGTCCATCAAGTCTCGGTCTTTGGGCTCATGAGTATGCACAAATGGTGATGGAAGAACGTCACTGAGTCCGACAATATATTGAAGTCTCTCTGATTTTGGCTACCATTTATATTCCTATTACTTTGTAGCGAATGCCATTTAGTATCAGGGCTGAGGGCTAGCACACTTGGGAGTCCACGTGGCCAAGACCCATCTGACCTGTGAAGTTCCAATTCGCCAATGAAATCATCCTACAAGGAACCCGTTATGTACCTAGGTATGCGTGAACCCTTTGGCATCATGTGTCTACTCGTCATTAATCAAACTTGATCTAAATGTTCCCACCGTGAATCTCTTGCTATACGAGTGCAACGGCGCAAGTCTTGCCCCTCCTGACGAATCCGGGAATTCATCTACCGAAGACTGTTGAGCAGGGGTAGGAAAAAATCAGATAATACTGAAAACTCTTGGCACGAGAACAAGTGTCCACCAATTCCTCAATTAGACCACTTAAAGCAGCCCTCAATATACCGTCGGCAGAAAGCGCAGACTGCTAGATCCAGCCAGGTGGAGGGAAGTGGATAGCGGCGACCCGACGTAACGAGTGAGAGGAAGGGACAGGATCAGATAAGTGAGACTAAACCCAAGCAGGATGACGTTTCACGATCTCCGAGCAGAAGAAGTGGGCTTTTTCGGAGGTAACACTCTCGCTTGAGGAAGTCTAAGGAGATTCCAAGGTTGATATCCGAGGAAAGCGCGTGAAGAATCTTTTTTCTTTGCAAAGTATATGAATTTTTATGGGTTTGATTTTTGGGTCCCGATTACGGCGTCACACAAATGTTAATATTGTGCAAAGAAGTCAAGAGAAAGTACTTCTTTGTAGGGTTACAATTCAAATATGAGATAAAAAATAAGAATAACAATAGGTTACTTCATGAAAAAATGTAAGAATCAAATGTCGCATGTCAAGAAAGATGGTAGATGGAGATAAATCGCTCGCTAGAGAGGGTGTCCACCGCCTTCTCCCCGTCATTGGGCCAAGTTATCGCTCCGAGGCCCGGCCGATCTGAAAAATATCTCATTTGACTCAACACTTTCTCACCTTCCACCTACCTTCCTACTTATACATATTTGGGGCCCCTCCCACCCAGGGCCGACCGTGAGACCATTGAGGCCGCATGTGCGTTGCCAAGATGATGTCCCTTCGCTCCGCTGTGCGGAGAGCTTCGTGCAAGCCCCTCCGTTCTCTCTCCGCACCGACTGCTCCTCTGCGAGTCTCAGCTGCAAAGACTGCCACCTCCCTACGCCAGACTCGCAACTACTCCCGCTCCACGGATCCTCACCTGACCTCCACCCGCAGCACCGTCGTGCAACTGTTGAGCAATATTGGTTCTAAGCGCGAGGTTCAGCAGTACCTGTCACACTTCACCTCCGTGTCCTCTCAGCAATTCGCCGTGATCAAGGTCGGTGGTGCTATCATTACTGAGCACCTTGAGACCCTGTCATCCGCCCTCGCATTCCTTAACCATGTCGGTCTGTACCCGATCGTCGTCCACGGTGCCGGCCCCCAGCTTAACCGCATGCTGGAGGCGGCCGGTGTTGAGCCTCAGTTCGAGGATGGAATCCGAGTGACTGACGGTAAGACCCTGGCACTTGCCCGCAAGCTCTTCCTGGAGGAGAACATGAAGCTGGTTGAGGAGCTCGAGCGCATTGGTATCCGTGCCCGTCCCATTACCGCCGGCGTCTTTTCGGCCGATTATCTCGATAAGCCCAAGTACAATCTGGTCGGTAAGATCAATGGTGTTGACAAGGCCCCCATTGAGTCAGCTATTGCCGCTGGATGTCTGCCCATCCTGACCTCCATGGCCGAGACTCCCGACGGCCAGGTGCTCAATGTCAATGCTGATGTGGCTGCCGGTGAGCTTGCTCGCGCCTTGCAGCCCCTCAAGATCGTCTACCTGGCTGAGAAGGGCGGTCTGTTCAACGGCGACACCGGTGAGAAGATCTCTGCCATCAATCTCGACGAGGAGTACGACCACCTGATGAGTCAGTGGTGGGTGCGCCACGGCACTCGTCTGAAGATCAAGGAGATGAAGGATCTCCTCAGCGATCTGCCTCGCTCATCTAGCGTCGCAATTATCCACCCTGCCGATCTCCAGAAGGAGCTTTTCACCGACTCCGGTGCTGGTACCCTGATCCGCCGCGGTAACAAGGTCCATGTGAAGACCTCTCTGGCTGAGTTTGGAGACATGAAGGCTCTGAAGGAAGTGCTGGTCCGTGATCGTGAGGGTCTTGATGCCCGTGCCGTTGTTGACCGCTACATCGAGGGCATGAAGGAGAAGGACTTCAAGATCTACTACGACGAGCCTATGGAAGCTCTGGCCGTTGTACTGCCCCCGCAACCCAACTCTCAGATGGCTCACTTGGCCACTTTCACCATCACCAAGTCTGGTTGGTTGACTAACGTTGCCGACAACGTCTTCGCCAGCATCAAGAAGGACTTCCCCAAGCTGGCATGGACTGTCAAGGAGGACGATGAGAACCTGACCTGGTTCTTCGATAAGGCCGATGGCAGCTTGAGCCGCAATGGCCAGGTCTTGTTCTGGTACGGCGCCGAGAACGGCGAGGAAGTCAAGCAGCTTGTCCAGGAGTTCAACGCGCACGGTCGCCAGATGTTCGGTGACATCAACCTTGAGGCGCGCCTTCACCGCGCTGCTGAGGCTGCCGCCAACATTGGCAAGGGCTTCGGCGCTAGCGGTGCTTCTGCTGAGCAGAAGCGTGGGTTCTCAACCACCAGCAACGCTCTGCGCATGACCCGCGCCAAGCGTCCCGTCGTTGCCGTGAACTCTTTCCGCACCTATGCTACTACCAACCCCAACCCTCCTCTCGGAGAGAAGAACATCTCCAACACCCAGCCCGCCAAAGTTGCTCTCATTGGTGCCCGTGGCTACACCGGCCAGGCCCTGATCAACCTGCTCAATGCTCACCCTAACATGGATCTTCGTCACGTTTCGTCGCGCGAGCTGGCTGGTAAGAAGCTCCAAGGCTACGAGAAGCGCGAGATCATCTACGAGAATCTCAGCCCCGATGATGTCCGCAAGATGTCTGCCAACGGTGACATCGACTGCTGGGTGATGGCTCTGCCCAACGGTATTTGCAAGCCTTTTGTCGATGCCGTTGATGAAGGTTCCAAGACCGGTAACGTCATTGTTGACCTGAGCGCTGATTACCGCTTCGACCCTAAGTGGACGTACGGTCTTCCCGAGTTGGTCGAGCGGTCTAAGATTGCCCGGGCTACTCGCATTGCCAACCCCGGATGCTACGCCACTGCTGCTCAGCTTGGAATTGCTCCTCTTGTTCCGTTCCTTGGCGGCCAGCCCACCACCTTCGGTGTTTCTGGATACTCCGGCGCGGGTACCAAGCCCAGCCCCAAGAACGACGTGCAGTTCCTTACCAACAACCTCATCCCCTACAGTCTGACTGACCACATCCACGAGCGTGAGATCAGCGCACAGCTTGGCACCAGCATTGCGTTCATTCCTCACGTCGCGGTTTGGTTCCAGGGTATCTCCGTAAGTACCTGCTGACCGTTCATTGATTCTCACAATTGCTAACATTTATATCAAGCACTCTATCAGCATTCCTCTGAAGCAGAAGATGACCTCCCGCGATATCCGAAACCTCTACCAGGATCGCTACGCTGGTGAGAAGCTCGTCAAGATCGTGGGCGAGGCTCCTCTTGTCAAAGACATTGCCGGCCGCCACGGTGTCGAGATCGGTGGATTTGCCGTCCACTCCAGCGGCGAGCGCGTCGTTGTCTGCGCCACCATCGACAACCTGCTGAAGGGTGCCGCAACCCAGTGCTTGCGTAAGTGTTGAATCCATCTCCTTCATCAGCCATGACGCTAACGAACCCAATAGAAAACATGAACTTGGCTCTGGGCTACTCCGAGTACGAGGGTATCCCTCTCGACTAAGCCCCTACTCGAAGTCAATGACGAGTAGTTATCAGGGTGTGTTTGTGTTTTGTTCTTGCATGTCTTTTGTCTCATACCCCCCGTGCATCCTATACATCGCTCTGGGTTGGAGATTTCTGGGTGCTTCCTATCTATTTTCAGATCTTCCATAGTTGATTACGTCTACGCTTATACTTTTGTGTCAAAAGACTGCGTTTTTTTTGGTCTTGGTCTCCATTTTTGCTCTCTAGAATTCTGCTGCCTCCTTTCGAGTGGCTCATCGTTTTTCGCCCCCTTGTGCTCAACTGACATATGGTTTCTCAGTTTCAAGAAAAGTAAAAATTTCTTTCTTCTAATGTTGGGGTTTGACCCAGTCTCCCGCGGGTGTTCCCTATCTCAAGACCATATACGAGTCGATTTGATTTCTTGAATTGGGAACGGGGAGTCAGTCCAATCTATTGTAACTAGAAAACAATATATGTTACTGAGAACCTTTGACCCGACCTCATGGGTGGTGCTGCTGTAAGCATGGACCGTATGCTGGGATGCATCCATGGATAACGCATCTGTTCACGCCTCAAAGATCTTGTGCTCAGGCTGGGACTCGCACACCCTCTTCACACATCAACCCTCCACTTTCTCCCTCTTCCTTGTACCCTCGTTTTCTGTAGTCTTGTCACCCGTGCTTATCGAGGGCACTTTCATCGTCCCTTTCACTCTCTTTCATCCAAAAATACTCCAGAACCGCCTACACATTAATCTGGCCCACGGGCAAACTTGAGGCCGCAGCCAACCTACAGTTGTAATATCTTCCTCTCCAACGTCCACTCTCACCGAAAAGCATTTCGCTCAATCCGGTCACACTGCCCCCAACCCGCATCTGAAAATCCAAGTCGTGTGGAGACTCGAGGGCCTTGGGGTCACTCGAGTCCACTTGCGCCGCAACCATGTTCTACAGCCACGAAAGTAAGTAAAAATGCCCTGTTAGCGATCGTTATCTCGGGCCAAAAGCTCACCTGCTTGTCACGCTCTAGTCCTCACCTCGCCAGAGCATGGTGTCGCAACAATATGGTAAGAACACCTAGGGCTTCAACGAGTTCATAGCTAGGACTAATAATACCCTCTCCACAGGCTAGTAGCAACTCTGGGATCCCGGTCCATTGCTAGAAGACTGAACCGAAAAGCCATTCTGGACGTGGATGTCCCCAATGCATGCCGAGTTATAATCAACCCCGACGCACCCATGGCCCTTCGACTGCAGGGGAGCCTGCTGTAAGATCTACCACTCAGTGATGTCTCCATGGGTATGCTAACAACTTGCCTGTGTTAGGTACGGTGTCTCTCGAGTGTACAATCAGCAGTGTGGGTACACGCTGCTTGACACACAGGCGATGCACGACAAGATGGTCTCCAAGTTGAAGATCGTCCCGGGGAGTGGGCTTGATCCCGCTGCTGGACAGACCAGGTAGGTCCCACTGATTGATGGTGTCAGTTTGCAAGACAATGGTCGAATACTAACCTCATCCCAGGCCCAGCAATCTGATCCTACCTTACGATCCCTCTTTCTTGCCCGAGACAGCTCTCCCGGGACTTGAAATTGACTTGTCGTACCTTACTACCACCACGAACGATAGCTCGAGCCAACTCAGTGGTCTCTGGACCAAGTCGCCCAACAATAGCTTGTCTGGCACTTCGCAACTTTCAAGCCTGCACCTTGAGCTCCCATCGGATAATATCCTGGGAGAGGGTACTATTCTAGGGATTGATGAGATCAATGGGTCTGCGCAGAAGAAAGATACTTTCGGCAACATGACGGGGCTAGGGTTGGGTAATGAAGAGGGTGTTCTCCTTCAACCTGACTTTGAATTTGATGAGGATGGTAATATCATCGAGCTCGATGCCAGAGGGAAGTCCCCTCATGCAAGGAAGTCCACCGTTGGTCCAAGGGAAAGCGAGGGACCGATAGATGACCGACAACGCCAGCTCCGTGAAGACTCGGTGAGTACCAAACATCCATGCCGAAACCAAAAAGATGCCCACTGACTCTGCTCGATAGATGCAAATTGCCGACGAGGAAGCCAGAGTGGCTGATACCAACGACATGATGGAGCTCGACACCCAGACCGCAGACCCGGCAATTCTCCAGATAAATGAAGGCCTGGATGGGGTTGAAGAAACAATTGAAATCCAAGCAGTGAGGACCCGCCGGTTCAGGCGCCCGAAGGAAATCATCTCGGACGACACCACGGCGCTTCGAAATATGACGCTGGCCCAATGGAACAATGAATACGTTGAGAACATGATCCAAGCACTGAAGCAAAAGCAGCAAAACAAGATTCCAACCATTTCAAAGAAGAACGCTGCTTTCTGGGTTTTCGGACAGGGAATCGGCTCGGTTGGAGTCGGACTGGGAATGGACCGTGAACTGCATCCGCTCAACCTCTACTCAGGCGAGAATTTGTTTGAAGCCGTTGGTGGATACCCTCAGCGAAAAGGGCGAAAGCGCAGCGCAGATGATGATGAAATACCAGAGGGACGTCTAGTACGCGCTAGAGACGAACAAGCAGAGCATCTCAGCCGTGAGAACATCGACCGTCTCAACATGGAAGCTGAAGTTGGCCGTGATGCCCCTTCGAGTCTGTTTGATGACCACTCGTCCCAAATGCCATGGAACATTACCGCTTCCATTCAAAGCTCTCGGCAAAGACAACGATTCGGCAGTGTCAGCGAGCTGCCTTCTCAAGGACGTAAGGCCCGAAGCCGTCTTACGAGCGCCAGTCCGCTTGCCGGGCGCAGCTATCTCGGGGAACAAGACCGACTTAGTCTCGAGCTCCTGGGCGATTTCGGAGACGACCTAGATCTTACCCGTTATCTTGAAGGCGAGCTTGCGACAGACCGCGAGAATATCAGCTCACTCTCGCCAAGCAAGCGCTCTGCTCTCGAACGGGCTAAGTCAACTCTTGATCGGGAAAGCTTGAATTTCATAGAGTTCATGAAGGACAAAATGGGTACTGCTAACAATGACCAAGCAGGAAACGCACAAAGCCCGAACAGCAACGCGTCCAGCCCGGTCGCGGCCAGACCCGGCCAAACCACCTTCACGAGTCTTCTTCCTCCTGGAAGTACGACGCGAGCTGTCGCGACTCAGGCTTTGATGAACGTCCTCACGCTCGCTACAAAGGGCGTGCTGCACGTCCACCAAGACGGGTACATCGACGAGAGCACCGAGTGGGCAGTCCATTATCGCTATGGCGAGATTTTCTTGCGACTATCTGGAATGTGAGCATGAACCGTGCGTACTAGGTGGATGACGTCGAGGAACACATTATGATGGTGGATTGTCGAAGGTATGAGGGGCTCTGCTCAGTTGTGGTGGTTCCAATTGCTCCAATAGAACACCAAAAATGGAGAGACAAGGCCATGACGATCGATCTTATGAACAGAGCTATTGACGCGATCTGTGCTGACGCATTACATCACCCCGCGGAATGCGCAGATGGAAGAACATTTTTACAGTGCGAGATGTAAGAGAGAAGAGTGAGAGAAGGTGATATGGTACAGGTATAGGAGGACGTATGGGACCTGAAGACCATTGAAATCTACAATGTGATGAATTTCAAGTTATCTTTAATTTTCCACGTGTGCATGTTTATACCTCAATCTTACCAGGAACCTGTATGTTGTAACTGAAGATGTAGTTGACAGTATTGCGTATGGGATACGGGATAGCACAACAGGTTCAGTAACAGTAATAATACCCGAAGATGTTTCGATCACGAACCTTGGAAATGAACGGAACAAGTATACGAAGTATATAACGAAATATCAAGAATCATTTCCATCTGTATTCCCTTCTATCGTTAGTACTATCTCGGTCTGCTATTTTGCTTCTGCTTATTGCGCGAGATTCACATATGAGATTTTGTCTTCCCCCACCAAATCCAATCATAGCAGTCTCTGATCCGAGTGTGCCTATTTTGCCCTGAATTCTCCGACTCGGCGCTAGATAGGCTTACAGACTTACACCTTTAGGACTATATGAGGGATATTTAGTATAATTCATAGCAGATTATCTGTCGATAGGGATTTATTCAAGGCATCTCTTTTGGAATTGCTTTTTATTAGGCAGCTGTTCATAATGATTTCTCATATATTTCATATTTCTAGGGCCCCGACCGCCGGTCTCATCCATTAGCCGATATTTCGATTTAGACACTTCAGCTACGAATGGCAGCAAGTGATAGATGAAGTGAAGGTAAAGAGACTAATAAGTAAAATGATCATTATAACATATTATAGTAGATTTGAATGGATTAAATAGACTACATAGTAATAGACGATATAACTATAGGTAATATACCCCCAGTACAGGTAGTGGCACGTACCGTAAGCAGTGCTCCAAATTACGCAGGGCGCGTAACCCGCGTATTCTCCCGTCTTCGTCTTTCCATTTTCTTTTCTTCTCTCTCCCTGACCCCTCCAACTTTACAAGACCTTTACCCATTCAAGGTTTCCTCTTTCGACTTTCTTGTTTACTATCCTGGATACTCTTACTCCCATTACTCCCCTCATCATGGGCCGTACCGTCGATCAGGAGGTACACGCGGCGTTTGTCGAGTTTCGCGCCAAGGAAGATGACAAGGTGCGTGACTGTATTTCGTAATATTTCACCCACGACCTGTCCGTCACTAACATACGGAAACCCGTTTTGGGGTTTGTGCATGTTTTAGTGTCTCTCCGTTCAGTGTATATACTGCCAACAAATTCGAGCAAAGAACACTTCGCGACAGAAACAACATCTCCTTGAATGTCCAGGTCTGCGCGGTCACCCCAACGCGCCTCAGCCTTCCCAGCCCGCCCAGGCCGCCCCTAACGGAATCGGTCCTCCCAATGGATACCCCGGAACTCCCAATGGCCCGACAGCCACCCCATCAGGTCCAGCTGGTCCTGGTACTATCCCAACCCCCAACGGCACCCTCATGACCAATGGTGTCAACCCTCATGCTACTCCATTGCAGACCCCGCTGGGGGCCCTCCAGAATCGCGCTACAATGGCAACCCCGGTCCCGGCTACCGGTCCTCCCTCCGCGCCGTCAAGCGCAGTGCCCTCGCGCCCAACTCCCAAACCAAAGGCCAAGACATCAAGTTCGAGCTTGCCTGCGCCCCCGCTAGACGATGTGCACGCAGCTTTCGTTGAGTTCCGCGCAAAGGAAGAAGACAAGGTACGGCGAAGGAACTCGGCGGCCATACATTGGAATATACAAGCTAATAGTTCGGAATAGTGCCTGTCCGTTCAATGTATTTACTGCCAGCAAGTTCGCGCGAAGAACACTAGTCGCCAGCGCCAACATCTGCTGGAGTGTCCTACCTATCTCAGCGTGATGAAGGACTCGATCCCCGCCAACAACCTGCTTCACACATTCCCCGAAGGTGATGTCGCCCGGTCACTTCAGATTCCCGCGCCGTCGCTGGAGCTGGATTTCCGCATGAGCATCAAAATGAACCCCAAGGTGTCTGTTGGTCCCAGTGTTTGGGGCCAAAGAGAGTGGGTCTCCTTCATCGGCGGCCAATGGGCCGGTCGATGGGGTAAGGGTATTGTTCTGGTAAGGCTGAACCCCAACCTCCAATCATTACTTGTCCAGTGTTTAACTTTTGAAAACAGCCCGGTGGTCAAGATACACAGATCGTCACCAAGGATTCCACTACCAACCTTCGTGCGAGTTATATTCTCCAGACTGTCGATGAGCCACCCGCATTTATCATTGTGCGTACAGAAGGATGGTTGACAGGCGCCAAGGATGTTCTCGAAAAGGTCATCGATGCCAACATGGCAGATGGTGTCAACCCCGGCAGCTATAAGTACCGGGTCAATTTGTCCATGGAGACCGGCGATGAGCGATACACCTTCTTGAACACCTTGATGTGGATCGGCAGCGGTTGCCGCAGAGGTCATGAAGGTAGGCTTCTCCAATACTTTCTTTTGCGATTGTTCTATACTAACTGGTCATGCAGTCATCTTCGACTCGTTCCGTGTTAACTAGCTCAATGCCCTTGTCAACAGATGATGTCTTGTCCGTTATTCAGCGAGTTCGTGTCTTCTTAACTTCAACTTCAACTTTGATGGGAAAACGGTGTTTCTACTTTGCCATTTCTTGATACGCGGCGCAATGTTTCTATGATTCGATTCTTCTCACCACCATGACTTTGTTCTTACGTCTCTCTTTGTTTGATTTCAAGCCATGGGTATATCAGCCACCCTAGTTTCCCATGTGTCTGCCGCAATTAAGCTGATCTTTGAGCTCTGCGTTGTCTTTGCTCTCTATTTCGAGTGTCTTTTGTGGTTCTTCTTCTGATGTAATTCTTTGATGGCTCTATTATCAAATAGTCGGTCTTGTAAGGTATTGCTAGCTTTTGAGATGTTTTTTGTTATCTTGATCTCGGCTTTTCATGCCCTGTCTCCAATTCGGGCTCTTACTTTTCGAGTGATCTTTCTTTCCAGATTTCATGCAATATTTTTATTTAGTTATTTTCAATGATCAGAATGAACATCGTTTCGGATCTGTTTAATTTCTCTTCTGTTCGTACTACCTTATTACAAAAAATCATATTAGTAACTCTATATATCGTACATACGCCTATTATGAACACAGCGGTGTTACTGTTTCGATACGTATGTAGTCGCTTGAAGCAAATATTATTCGACTTTACGGAGATAGATAGTTAGTTAGATGATGAAACATGTACCTGACTTTTGAGACGTATCTTGTTTTGGAATAATATAGAACGGGATATATAACCCGCTGTCATGTACCACAAGACCGTACTTAACACCAACGGTATATACCTGTACGTACCAGGAACATAACTTCGAATATTTCATAAAACTTTGTTGTATATCATCATTATTTATAGAAATTGAAGAATTAATTTGATGCTATATTTATGAAAGCCCATGTATACCACCAATACAAGGACACATTACCAACTCCACTGACCAACACACACGCGGGTATAATACACTCCTTCAATCAAAATTGTAAGGCAGGGATAGATCAATCTCTGGCATACTTAGCATACCAGAGAAGCTTTCTGCTCCAGTAAAAACGAACTGGTTGAAAACCAAATCATCTGCACCCCACGTAATCGCGAACGGGTTCCCAACCGGGTTAGACGGTGGACTTCCCAATTGAGGTGAAGCGATCCTCTGAATCGCATTGCGCTCATCGTTGAAGAACTCCTGAGAAAGGCCCAAAAATTTCTGGTAGAGTGTTCGTAATTGCACAAGGGGGTAGCTGATTCCAGTTTGTGTTAGGCAGTCAGCGATAGCTTTCATGAGGTTGAAATCGCCAATGTCGGATGTCGCAACGACGTTGCAGAATATGACTAGGTATGCCGTCGCTGGGTAGAGCAGAATCGTCCTGAGGTGTATATTAGAGAGGTGAAAATATAACTAGTGGTATTGGGTACTCACCAGTTCAAAAAGTTGACTGCGGTTTGCTTCTCCGCCGAGTGACACATGGATACAAGCGCTGAAAGTTCCCGGCGCGCTGACTGAAGGTAGCTCTCTGTTGAGCGTGTCGGTTGGCCGGGGTCGGATTGGAGGAGGTATAGGATTCCGGTCATGACTGATTGATAGGCGAACTTGAGGGCGGCCATTTCGGTCTGGGAATCGAGTCCTTTCCACTCAGATGACAACGAAGCCATCTGCGCTCGGTTAGGAAATTGTGCATAAAGGAAAAGGGATGTTCCTGACTCACGTGGCTCATTCTTTGCTCGATATATTGCATCTGCAGCAGCATGTATTCTCCAGTACCATATAGTAATGAGGGATTGTGGTGACTCAATGAGCTACCGGGTAAATATGAAACCACTGTATCCTGCACCCGAGCAAGATCCAGATAGATCAAGAAATGTTCGGCCATAGGAGGGTAATTTGGATAAAGATCGCTGAAAGTGGACGGAAGCTGAACATCGAGAAGACAGCGCGAAGTTCGTGATTTGAACGCATGGTTTCTGTCCAAAGTGTAGCACCAAAGAAAACAGAAAAGCTCTTCCTCGCTTGCAGTTCCACATAGAACTTTCGTTTGAAGATCCAAGTCAATGCAGGTGTTACAGGCGGCCTTGGTGAGTTCCCCGCTTAAATCGACGTCTCCAGACCCTTGGTGAAGAAATATCTATTTATGGATTAGTTCCGTGGAGAAAGATTAAGACGACAGGATTGAGAGGCTTACACCACATATGATAGCCTGTAATAGCCCAAGAGATGGGGGTATTAGCAGTGGGATCTGCTTTAACGCGGCCTGAGCTGCTGCTCGATACTCTGTGGCATTCTTCCTCAGCTCGACAGCAAGGTCGGTGTCTTCTTCTAGATTTATAACCGTAGTAATAAACTTGTAGGCAACGGCATTGAAGCAAACAGTGTAGATGATAGATTCGCGAGTCGGTATGCTGTTCCGAAGAAGTGAAAGTCCCATCTGCTTCAGTTTTGGGATTGAGATATGTCTAAAGTAATCCACAACGAAAGTTCCAAATCTGTCAGTCCGAATATCTGGAGTTTCATGGTCAGTGTCAATTCTATAACGTATTAAGATAGTTAAATATCGGTGTACCTTTCAACATCCAGGTAAGGAATTCAATAGACGGGCTTCGAGAGGAAACTTCCTCTTGATGATCGTTAAGATTGTCTTGTACCAGTGCTCTCGAATTGTCAGCCAATATCCTTATGACAGATAAGGCTGTCTCGAGCACACTGCGTCTGTCTATAGTGAGACCCGGTAGATGGTATAGTTGATGCTGAATCGTCATTTGCGCATCATAGACAGGATCATATAGAACCCCGGTTTTAAACCCACGAGGATCGTTGAAGTTACGACTTGGGACAGAGCGGAGGACTGGTAAGACTTCATCTGTCGAGTTACCTTCATCAAACCGATGATCAGGTGTTGCTCTTCGTCGGGAACTGCGGGAAGAGCTGCGGGAGTGACCACCCTGAGGGCGAGTGCTCAGACACTTGCGCTTCACAGACCGCCGACGATTACAGGAGATGCCTGCATCCTGGCAATTGCCACATGGATCGCGCCTATCGCACCGGACCTGGGTATCTGCTCAGCAAATTGCAGATTGAATATATTACTTTCCTTAAGGGTTATTATTACCTTGCGCGAATGACAGAGGTCACACTGCAGTTGCCATTAGTATCGAGTGAAGTTGGATTTGTTTCAGGTGAGACTCGTACCACTAATTGAGGCCCCTGTCTCTCGACTGAAAGCTCGGTCGACATACTTTTTGATTTCGACTGTTTTGAAATGATGAAGTTATCACTCTATGAGAGTGGAGTAAAATATTGGTGAATCCAAGCCTGGGAGGTCCTAAAAATAATAAAGAAGTACACTGAATCAGAAATTTCCTCCCGGGGAGCGAACTGACTCCTGGGCAGAATAGGCAACATTAATGGGTTCCGCGGCGGATCAAAAATTCCTTGGCACCCATATATTGTCCAATAAGTCTGTTACAACTGTCGGAGGCGAATAGTCTGGGGTACTTTAGGGGTAATACGGAGTACTTCATAGTTACTTAAAATCCCTAGGGAGATAGGTAGGTTACATAGTATATGTACTGCATATGTAGGTGTGCATTATTCTCCGGTTAACCGTCCACATGTACTCCGTACAAGTATAACATAACAATATCGATAGAACATTTCTTTTATATAAAACCCTTTTTGGGCCTCGGCGGGACTTCGGATTAATTTGTAAGCTAGGGGTCCGCGGGCCCCGACTGGAACCTTGGTGCGGAGTACTATTTACCTAGCTAAACTCTACGCTACGCCATGGCGAATATGGAAAACCTTAAGAAGAAAATATGAGCTTATTATTAATGTTAAATATTGTTTTTTGGACTAAATAACGACACATGGTATCTAACAATGATCTAGAATGGAAAAAAAAAAGAAAAACAGAGCAAGTAATATGGTGGACGACTAGAGTCTTCCAAGGTTGAAATGCGCCCAATAATTCCGAGCTTTGATTCAACGCCTGGAAATGCAGCACAAGACTCCGGTCTTCGCTAGGAAATACAGTGCTCCAAAGAATCGGAAAATTGAGAGACCAGAAGTGGCCCACAGAATGATCTTAAAATACCACGCCGTGCGAGTTGTAGATGTCGACTAGGTCAGTTAGTGGGTGTAAACAATTAAAGAAGGAACTAGAACTCGACTTACCGTTAGGCAAAGCCTGTCGATGCTGAGATTGTTGATACACAACGCCAGAAGACCATTACTGAATGTCCATAGCAGCACTAGATTCGTTCGGAATGCTTTGTATGAATCGTCTAGAGCCACTCCTTCGTTCTCAATCGGTTCTTCCCAGGGAGTCAAGGCCCGCTTCACAGTGGATGCGAATTGCTCATCAATGTCGATTTGAGGTTTGTCCAGTTCTTCAACAAAAGGCGTTTCATCCTCCTTTTTCGTTTGCGCCGATGGAAGTTTTTCGGGTGCATCTGATCCCTTCGTACCCCATGAAACATCATGCCAGTTGCAAAATGCATAGACCATGAGAACATTGATCGAAGAAGGCATTCCAAGGAAGTACGCCCAGGATGAAGTGAGCATATGCCAAGGGTCGGCATAGAGTATGCTAGCAAGGAAGTAGATCCCGTATGTTGAGATCAAGGCAATCAGAACAAGCCCACCCGTTGAGGCAAGAAAGCCCGATATGAGTGCCGCAAAACCATGATCTAAATCAAAGCTGAGATTCTCGGGAGTCATTGCCTGCGCAACGAGATAGAACGATAAAACGAGGAGATAGAGCTGGACCACAGAAAAGTAGAGGAAGGAGAGCGTGTACAGAAACTTTGATCTGTGATTGAATGTTAGCAATGAAGCGAAAGGAAATACCAGATCCAGGCCATAATATTTACCCCTTTGGTCGATTTCCGAGAGCTAGAATGAATTGAAGCATAAGGAATGTCAGATAACCAACTTTCAACAGGTTATTGACAATCGGGGTAGCATCATTTCCGAAAGGCCACCCTTTGAATTTGTTAGTCGCACTTGGTGTTCCCACAATGTCCAAGATGACGGAACTTGTGAGCCAGTAGGATGCTAGTATATGTTAGTGATCTGGCATAGGACTAATCTAAAACACCATGAACTTACCGAGTGAAAGCCATGTCATGACTAACTGGCAGATATTGTAAACCAACTGGATATGAAGCAATAGCAACCGAAAGATACTATGCCCACTCTTGTATATCCGATTGAAATGCATGACTGCATATAGTGATGCTGCAAAAGAGCCATTCAGCCATCGCCGACGTTGACTTAGGAACTCTGCTGGTCGTTCTGGGACGTCTGTTTCTCCTTTCGACGCCTTCACATACGTGAGTAGCCACTGGTTGCCAGCCTTGGCGACTAACTCGAAGCAAAGAATTCGATCTTCTGCAAGAAACATGTTCTTCTTAAAGATATTCATCCCATCAATTCCTTTTTTACCGAGCTTTTGAGCTAGTGTATGATCTCCATGAAAATACTGCTCAAGAGGCCTGCCCATAATAGCGCGATACCGATAGGCAGAAAAAGCCCCCGGAAGTACGCTCACATAGCCAAAGCTGCTCTCTAAGGGTTTGTCCAGGATATTCGAAATTTTGTATTCGAAATTTTGGGCCGCAACCAAGGGATTGAGGAGCTTCTTCCATCGGTGGCCCAGAAGGGCGTGAATTTCACCGCAGGCCCCACCGAGGTTTTTGTCGTTGTAGAAAGCCTGCCATAGGGCCAGCAAAGACTTAGGTCCAGGTTTTGTGCCCGCGTCAATCAGGATGCAGATCTCAGGATTCAAGATGCGCCCAAATGCATTGAACAGCCATCGATGTGAGTTGATCTTCTTGGCATTCTTTTTCTTGAGGCAGAACATCATCTGTACCGGGGGCAAATTCATAGGGTCGTCTTTGTATGGGCGCACGAGCTCTTGCTTCGGAGTAACCGACAATTGTGTGGTATATTCGAACTAGGAACCATCAGCATTTGAATATTTCCCTAGATATTGGAATCCAGAAGGGTTGGGAGGTGGGAAAACAAACAATATGAGCGACCGTTTCTCTTCCATCCACGTCTTGCTTCATCACGCCATCTTGAAAAACGCCAATGGTTGCCAGAACGTCAAGTGTGTTTTTGTCGCAGGGATCCATGCCATCGAAGACCAGACAGACGACGATCTTCTGCCATGCGGGACCACCTCTATCCCAGAATTCTGTCTTCTTCAATTTCACAATGTCTCGGACGTTTTGCATCACCCCATGCAGGGTTCGGGCGGTCAGTACTTTGTCCTCGTTGTAGTATGTGACGGCAATGAGAAGTTCAGTGTGCCGATTATACATCGAAGGACGGAGATTGTAACCATTGCGTAGCGTAAACTCATCAGGATCGCATGTCGCAGCGGTGTCTAATAAAAAAGAAAAACAAGTCAGGTTATCACAATGGTTGAATCGACTGGCACATTGGTATTGATGCGACTACTCACATCTCATTTGCGTGAACTCTTCAGAAAGTTCCCCCTCCGCATCTCGATACTCCGGCTGGATAGCATTGCGTATAGGACTCGGTACCGGGTAGTTGATACTCAAGACTGAGCCTTGTGTCAACTTGATTCGCCGTGTTGGATATCGACGGATGCTACTTCCTTTGTGTCGTGGCCCCGACTCTTTGGAAGAGGAAACAGCGGAGCCCTGGTTAGAAAGGTTGTGTAATCTGATCTGATCTGGGAGATCGAGTGATTCCATCGACTCTGGTCTGGGGCTTTTAACCTCAGCAGATGAAGAGTTGTACGGTCGACGAGTCACTTCACTCGAAGAGATTGGGTCTTCGAAGGGACTGAGAGATAAGGCAGAAGAATGGGCCGGATGGAGTAGGGAGAGAGCGTGCTCATTTGGGAGTTCAGTATTCTGGCAAGGACGGGGAATGTCAGTTCGGCTTGCCGCATGTCCGGGGATTAAGCAATTTCCACTTCATATACACTTACCCGAGGCGAATGACCATCATTCAGGCCGTCGCTTTCATCACTTTGCAATGCATAGTGAAATGAATAAGGTCGATCAAAAGGATTCATCATGTACCAGTCTGGACTCAATGTGGGACAAGTACTGGGGGTGTGTAAGCTGAAAGTCCGAGACGCAATCCCTGAAATCCCTGATGCCAAGCCGGTTCGAATTGATTAAGGTGTGACAGGCTGCACAGATATGCCGACCACACTTTGCATGGAATATGACTGAAGTCAGAGATAATTGAAGGGTCTTCCTCTTTCTCTCCCAACCTGAAAGAATAACGAGCTAGAGTGCTTCACCTCGCTCTAAGTGAAATTAAGTATAAGCGGCTATTTTAAGCCGGAACCCCACATCTCTGTTACATGGGTTGACCAATCAGATATCAGACCTTATTTCTTAGCGTGAGGCTAAAACACCCTTATTATTTTCAACCAGCCAATGGGCAAACTATATTGCAGGCACTCCAGTTATCCACCATCTGGCCAGGGTTCATCATTTTAGGAAAAATTTCAGCATATTCAAATCGCCTTGGTAACCGACTAAAAATAACTCAAATTCCGTCAATTCCCACGAGGCACAAAATTCTGATTGCGCCGATATCTGGGATCACTTTGAAGTGAGACATGCAGTGAAGTTTTCTTCTGTACCTTAAGAGTTTTTTAATGGCAAGATTGAACCCTTTTAAGGACAAGTACAAGAGCTGCTTATACCTTTTTCAACATAACACTCCCCTTAACAGATTTTCCCCATGCTGTTCAAAATGAGCTCATTTGGGCTTCTCTCCCAGTCACCGATGAAAGTGGAGTTGAGATTGGACGAGACAGTGCCAGCCTATACTCATCAAGATACAGTATCGGGCGAGGTCATATTGCACACCGAGTCGCCGGCCGACTTGTCAACAATTGTCCTAAACTTGTCGGGAACAGCAACGTCCCGGCTGACTCAAAGCAGACGCACGGAAACCCATAATGTATGTGCAAAAATGACCACCACAGCCGACCATTGCATCTTAATTATTGTCATTAACACCAGCAACTTTCAGCTGTTCCAAAAGTCTCACCGCCTCTTTCCTTCAGACCATTTGATGCATGATTCAAACAGCTCCAGTGTAACTATCGGAAGCGGATATCATATTCTCCGATTTTCTGTCACGGTCAGTACCAATCAAAATCGAAGCCACTCATGCCTAGCTGTACCTGACTGAGTATTTTGAATTTGTTTAGATTCCGCAAGTGATTGAATGCTACAAAACCGGTCGCTGGTCGAACAAACCACAAATTGCATGTGCAAATATTGCGTGTTGGCCCGAAAGGAAATCCCACTTGCTGAGGAAGACCCCGCCGTCAACAGGGAACTCAGAGTCATTGGCTGAGATTCAATATTCTCTGAGTGTTGTTGTTTCTGGGAAAGGTACAGTGAAAAAGGTAAGAAAATGCCCGCTTTCTCCAGAAATTACCGGGCAACAGAAATTGCATTAAACTCATTGCTGATTATTATCAAGACTCGAAATATGATATTTCATTCATTTTCAGATCCGATACCGAATCAAAAGCCGCTTAAGCAACAATGCTCCATCAGCATCAACCCGAACATCCTCGCCAGTAATTCACATTTATCATTCCGAATCGACACTGAGCTTCAAAATGGACCTTGCCTTTTCCTAGGAAACTCAATCCCTTTGAGCATAAAAGTCACGAAGCTTGGAGATTCGCGATGCAAAATACTGCTTAGCGCATTTCAAACCATGCTGGTCGAAACAACACAAGTGAAAGCGCAAGGAACATTAGAGTCGTCTACTAGAACGTGGATCGTGCAAAGTATGGCCAATATAAACGACCCAATAGGTCTTGCAGATGCGCCTACGGACTCAACGGTCAGTTTGAGGGATACCATATGGGCCAACAATCGACTGCCCCCTGAGATCACCTCAAGCTTCGAAGTCTGCAATATCAAGAGAATGTACAAGCTTAACTTAAGGCTCGCATTTCTTGTTGGAGAGTCCAAGGTATATACAGAGATTTTAAGTCTTTGGTTATTTTGATCATGGCTAATAAAAACTTTTTTTTCAGCTTCAGACAGTCATCCGAGAACTCGAATTTCCAGTCTATGTTATGGGCCCAACCCCATGCCTCAAAGCATACGGTTGACATTTGATTTGGGCGTTCTACATCTCTCTTTTTGCCTACTATCTCGTCTTTTCAGGTATCTCTTATCTCTCTGTGAAGCCCTTTCTTGCCCATCTCCATATTTAGTGCTCGTTTAGCTTTATAGAACTCCTCATCTTCCTCATCTTCATCATATATTTATCAGTTTTCATTACCGAGAATGCTGTTTCTTCATCTTCTACGGCAGTTGAAGAATTTCATGTACTTGATGACCACACTCAAAGTCAAATATCAGAATCAAAATACAACTGAGTACTGAACTCACTCGGTAGATAAGGATGTTGGCTTGCCTTGCCAAAGGAATGGTACCCCTTTAGCAAAGTCCTAAGTAGGAATCACTCTCCAGCGCTCTGTGTGATCATATGTAGGCCCACAGAGCCAGCCACTCCCCTGGCTGACTCAGTATGCGCTGACTTCTTCTGCTCAATGCAGTATATCGAACTAGGCATATGGCCTCCCTAGGCCCTAAACAGGAACCGAGGTTTTCGTTATGGTCTAGTGGCAAAATGGGTGTATTTTCCCTATTCGGCTCCTACAGAAGATACAAAAGGTGCATTGTGAATGGGGGGCATATGGTATCGTGTTGCGGCCACCACGGGTAGACAGATAGTTCATAAACATTCTTTCACACATTCAGGACAAAAAGACTTCAACATTGCACTATCCGAGGACGGCAGCCGATGGCATGATCGTCGGTCACCCGGAACTCAAGTCGATAGGATCGAAATTGATGACATGAACCTAACCGAACCCACCAACCCAAAATTCACCTTCGATCCCTCCCAGACCGCGAATGGCCCTGACGGGTAGATAATTGTAGAACGGTTCGCACTCGGTCCCTCACGCCTCGACAACTGATCGATATCACATTACATGTTCCAAAAAAAACGTCCATCTATAGTAGATCTTTACTGGTTAAGAGCAGCGGAAAAATGATATGGGGTCACAGAAAGCGCATTTTGTGCAGGGGTCAGGATAAGCGATCGAACTAAGCACGTCTGAACACATGGGAGTCCTCGTCTCAAGTCTGCGTCTTTCCTTGGAAACCAAAATTGCTGGAAACACCAATAGCCCAGGGCAAATGTGAAGTAAGCCATCGGAAATGGCAATGCAATTGACTTTGAGAAATCGAAAGTTGTCGACAACGTTGTCCGCGATTTAGAAGTTTCAATGTTGTTTACAAAACCCCGTCTCTATTCATACCAGTTCCGAGACAAGGAGGAAAGGGATAAGCTGAAAGTCCACCAAACCGATGCCAGTACGAGATTTATGAGCTGAAAACTTACTACCGCCTGCCGGGCCTCCCGGATATCAAGATCTCAGCCCAACTTAGCCGGACCCACTATGAACGAATATCAGGAGAACAAGGAGGCTCATACTCCGTACTACGTAGTGTGGTTTACATTGCTTTTATTTTATCCATCTCTGTGGCGACAATACGGAACATGTCTTCCCTGTTTACGATCGTGTAGGACTTGCCTTGGCAGTTTCATATCCACTTGGCGCAATAAGAAGACTGACAACGCCGACTAAAAATAGCCGGAAATATCCTAGGGCTGTGGTTCAATAAACGAAGGGTCCATAAAAAAGGCCAAACGACTATAAAGGCTCATATGAACCAGGGATCCTACAACAAATCACCGATTGAATCAGGAGTATAAAGTCAACGTCTCGAAATCCTTTCTTTTCCGGTTTTTCATTGCTTCAAAGCCCACAACCATGGCAACTACAACAACAACAACCGGAGCTATGGCAACTAGCACAGGCTGTGGGACCTCAGCCCAGTACGAAATTCCCGTCAAAGATGCATCATGTGGAGTTCCCAACAATGACAAGTACAAAGGACTCCTTTCAAAATGCGCGAAACCCGCAGGAGTGACTGCCTATAACGACGACTGTGCTATCTACGCTCTGGCCGTGGATCAATCAGTCCAAGACCTTACCGACTGCCTCTACAAAGCTGGCGTTGCCTGGAAGGACGTGTGGTGCCACGGAGATACCAATGCCACCGCAACAGCGACCTCGTACCCGACTGCATCGGAAACCTCTTCGACCTCGTCTTCCGACAAGACATCATCAGGTACCTCGACAGAGAGCGCGGCTACTAGCACAAGTACTAGCTCTGGGGCGGATGTCTCTCTGCCCAAGGCCCATACCAGCTTGAAGGCTGTCATGCTCCTTTCAACTCTGTTTGCCTCTGCCGTGTTCATCGGAATTTGATTACCTCCGGGGTGACTGTCTCTCCGCTCAAAGCACTTGCCAGCTTGACGATTGTTATCCTTTCTCAACACTGTTTGCTTCTGCCTTTTTCGTGAATTTCTAATGGACAATTCCAATGTGTTGCCTATTTGCCATTTCCTTCACCCGTTGATTCGACATTCTACCTGTTTCCATCATGTGATACCTTTGAGGGCATGGGCGCAGCTTGCACTGTACAATTAGATTCTGAACCGTTTTAATTTATCTTGTCACCAATTTCAATAAAATAATCAATGTTTTCTTTCTATTTCAATGCCACAGTCTTCCGGCCGAGACACAATTCATATGATCACCTCCAGAGGGCGGCTGTAACTAGCGCTTACCTCGACGGCAATGTTTGCTCTATCTTTGATCCAATGGTCTAAGCCAAGTCCCATGAAGTTAAGTCTCAAACCACTAGCAGAAGAAATACGAAGTCTATACTTAGGGTATATTATGCATCAGCAGTCTCCCATCGAGTCGCTGTTTGATCTGCAGGGAAAGCCCGTTATTTAAATTGCCCAGAGTCCAAGTCCAGACCTCAAGTGTGTCACCCTGAAGCTTGCACAAGTCTAAATCATCCAATATGTCCTGTGAATTTCCTATCACTTCCTTGATGCGCTCAACAGCAGAACACAAGCCTCGACAGTAACCGTTCAGAATTATGTAGTGGGACTGGGAAATGTAACATGTGATAAGAGCGAACAGAGAATGCGTTTTTAACCTTGTCGATTGATTTTGGATAACCTGCTATATTTGGATCTGGACTGAGAAGCCCGAGTATCCTACTCCGTACCTCGCACTGTCATTGGAAGTGCTATCCCCCTTGCAGAAATCCTCGCTGTTTCATTATTTTGTGTCACAATCCATAGGGTTAATGAAAAATAAGCAAGTTCAATCTATTTATAGACCTAAGTACCCATGTGGACTAAATTGAAAGCCTACTTAATCAAATAGTCCACGCTATCCAAAGGTGCACCAACATCATAAGACCACATCTCTCTACAAACACGATCGTTATAAATGCTGCCCCACGAAGTCAGACAGAGGTTCTAGCAGGAGAATCATGAATCCAGCGGCTTGGTAGAGAAGAAAAAGAATAAGTAGCTGCAAATCTTAACTCGGCCGTGGCGCGCCTGGAGTAGTACAAAATGGGCCAATTTTAAAAAAGCAACACATAATCTAGGAGTCAACATTCAAAAATGTAACAAGAAAGGAAACCCCTTTCTAGAGGATTTTTCTTAATCTAATAGTTTCGTTACATGCAGATGGGCAAGAGGATTCCCAAAAGAAAGGTGTACCTGATCAAGCTTTTTCTCCGAATGTCCAATTTGTAACATGATCAAGACTCCAGATTCGATATGCCGAGCAATACGAGAGCTCGTAAAGAAATATAAATACTATCACCCTGCTGAGCTTGAATTAGACTCATCCCTCCAGTACCATTTCACATTTGATATCTCCAAAATGGAGACATAGTTCTTCCAATTTCAACATGCATTTCATCTTCATCGCTTTTATGGCCATTATCGGCTCTGCTTTGGCTGCAGACAAGGCCCCTGCTGTGGTAAGTTCCAACAAATGAACGCCAACACCATTGAAGCCTCTAACCATTCTTCAGATTGCCGCCGGATACCCTTGCAAAGCCGATGGCAGCGCAGGGAACTGTGCCAGTGGCTTCTGCTTGGTATGTTCTTTTGCCTTTCACCGAAATATCGTGAACCAAAGACTAATCTGTCATGCAGCAACTTGCTCACGATAATCAGGGAGTATGCAAGTAGATTGCGGATCTCACCATTGGTTTGAATTGATTGATGAGGCAGGATTTCTGCCCAAATGAAAGTCTTCAGCGGTGAGCTGGTTAAGTTGGCTCGGAAGTTGGCTACTGGTTGATGTTTTTAACGGAAAATGACTGCTCTTGGAGTGAGATCTAGAGAACGAATAGCTTCTCTAAGCCTAAGACCCTGGAGACTCTCCGGTGTTAGTCACAGGACTCAAATCAGAACCATGAACGCCTCCTATGGTACAAGACCGTGAAACCGAATGGTATTTGGCTCAACTCAATCGACCAAGTGATCAGAGGATCAGTAACTATAACGTTGTAGATATAACTATCTATGTGGATAAGCTACCGTAATCGGTAAGCGAGTCGGCCATATAAGCCAGTCGGCCACCCAACCAAAACGCGTCCATAAATTAGGACTTAGTTAATTCAACCACCCACCATGCCACCAATTCGCTCCAGATCCTCTAGCAATTCAGCAGAGCAAGAGGGTAGAATTTTATTAGCTATCCAGGCTTTCAAGAATAAAGAAATCTCTTTAATTTGTGATGTGGCGCGCCATTTTAATATACCGCGTTCCACTCATCAAGACCGACTACACGGCCTCCAAAACCGCGCGATTTCTCGTGCTAATTCACATAAATTGACAAAAATCGAGGAAGAATCTCTTCAAAAATGGATTCTCTCTATGGATTCTCGCGGATCAGCTCCCCGGCCCTCTACCGTACGAGAAGTGGCGGATCTTCTCGAAAAGCGCGGAACCACTCCGGTCCTTTCGGTCGGCGAAAAATGGGTATATGGCTTTATGAAAAGGCACCCTCTTCTTTCCTCCCGATTCTCGAAACGGTATAATTACGGGCGTGTGAAATGCGAAGACCCGAAAGTTATCGGGGAGTGGTTTAATCTAGTTAAAGAAACTGTCCTTCAATTTGGGATCGACCCCGATGACGTTTATAACTCTGATGAGACCGGTTTCGCGTACCGGCGAGGATTTATCACAGTGTATACTTGAAGCCTGGCAAGTCTTCAATAACCTTGCTCCCTCTCGACGCCCGGCGATTGCAAACAGCAAAGTAGACAGTAAGAGTTCCAACAACCACAAGGGAGAGGAGATTCGCGCTTGGATTCAATTGTCAGCTCTGGACTTTGAACTTCAATAAATAAAGAGGGGTACTTACGCTATACACGCATACACACCGGGAAGATATCTTGGTGCATCCTTGGTGCGGAACACCACCGAGCCCACCACACCACCAATTCCACCTAAAGTAATAATGCTAGCACTGCAAAAAGCACGCTTCCAATGGCCACGGATATTGTTTGCCTGGTACGTAAGCGTAGCAGGGATATTCGCATTAGATGCTGCGGCCACGAGGTAAATCCCGAAATACTGCACGCCAGGGACGGTGACCCAGCCGAGAATTGACAGCCCGATGATAGCTTGTATGTTGTTCCAGACAATAAATAGTGCACGCATACGATATCTATCACCAAGCCACCCTTGGATAAACATGAATAATCCGGCAAAGAAATAGGGCGGCGTCGTGAGGACTTGAGCGACTGCGGTGCTAAAGTGTAGCTCGGAAGTCATGATAATGGGAAGGAAAAAGTTAATCGAGTAGGAGACCATTGTGGCACAACTTTTAACACGTCTGTAAGCGTTTGAATCCGATGAGATATAGGGTTACCTTACAAGAAGAGGAGGGCGAATGCCCAGACCTTCGGCTCCAGCGTTGGCCTGAGGAACTGCTTTAGGTTAAAAGGGACTTCTTGCGAGGCATCCTGTCGATCTCGGGAAATTTGCGCAACGATAAAAGCAGTTTCTTCCCTGTCGAGAAATCTCCACGACAGGCGATTCTCGTTTGGAAAATTGATCAGCAGTGCAAATCCTATGCATGCTACCACGCAGGTAAGCAGCCCCTCCATGATGAAGATCCATCTCCACGGTGCGAAGCCTGCTAGACCACCCATGTGGATGAACCCGAATGCAAGAAGTCCCGAAAAAGCACCTCCGGTTACACTGATGAGATAAAATGCCGAATATCTCTTGTGCATATCATCTATGGGAGGTGAGATACGGTTTTATCAGACGGGGAAGGGCACGAACAGCGCGAGTACCACATTGAAAGCAAATATACAGCTCCTGGAAAGAGACCTCCTTCAAAGAAACCCAGCAGCACTCTCAGTGCAAGCAAGACCTTCCAGTTGTGCACGAAGCCACAACACTAGATCAATTAGTAGGCGACGAGAGTAGCGAACGGTATTTGCCTACGATCATAACAATACCCCATGCCAAAGTGATACCGGACAGGAAAATCCGGGGCCCGATTTTGCGACCCAGCAGAATCAATGGAAACTGGAATAGGACATAGGGAATGAAGAATACGAGAAGGACAATGGCCTAAGGAGAACGTCAGACTTGTGTGAATCTCGTAAATCTCGACTTCTTACATAGCGAGAGCCAATGTCCATTTGCAATTCCTCCTTCATACTAATATCGTCAGCATGAAAACAGCTTGAACTGGAGTAATACAATACCCAGAGATCATAGCATTCCCTAGATTCGTCCTGTCGACAAGACTCACGCACATCAGCAGCCCCAAGGCAGTGATAAGTCGCCGGTCGACCTTGTGGATGATCTGGCGTTGCTGCTTATGAGAGTAACGGCTTTCTGCCGCTGAATACTCCGTCTCAGTCTTTAACGGAGAGTCAATATTATGGTCGATTGACTCTGACAAGGGTTTATCCATGCTTGGCATCGTGAAAATTATTGCGACACCAAATGCTACGTTCTTGCCATGCTATCGACTCCTTTTATCTCTGTCGTGCTTTGACCATTCCCCGCATTCGCCATCAATGGATCGTATCGACTCATCCTGACCGGTTGAGGTTGCCTCGGTCCCCTGTCGAGGATCAGGCCCTGTTATACATTTTGTTCTGGGGTAAGTTGCACGCTAAGCAATGGCGTGCCCCGCAGTGGATCCCGGCGTTGAATGACAGTAACCGCATTAGGCAATCGACTCGCCGCATTACCTAACCATACTTGTAGGCGGCTGGTGTAGATGTCATCACGACATGGAACATTTGAACTGGCTATCTATGTTCCTGTGACTCCGACCGAGGCTGTTCGGCAAATTTGGACGTCGAAAAAGGCATAAAAGGACGATCTTGAGTCGTACATTTCTGGGACAATTCAGCTCACTCACAATGCCTGCTCCTCAATCCCTCCCTTCTTTCTCCGACACTACCGATTTCGATAATGCTTCTCGCGGTTTAGTTGGTGCCGTGGAACCATGCGTTATCAAGAACTCAGCGGGTCGCGTTGTCTGGAATAACGACGATTATGACTTCATGCAAAACAGCGAATGCCCTGCAACAGCAGACCCCAAGCTCTGGCGCCAAGGACAGCTATGTTCAAAGCAAGGACTCTTCAAAGTAACCGAAGGCATCTATCAAGTGCGAGGCTTTGATATATCCAACGTGACCTTTGTCGAGGGATCACAAGGCATCGTCGTCATCGACCCCCTCACGTCAGTGGAATGCGCCGCCGCGGCGCTGGAGCTCTATCGCGCTCACTGCGGTGACCGACAAGTCAAAGCTTTAATTTACTCTCATTCACATGCCGATCATTTCGGTGGTGCACGGGGTATACTCCCCGCCGATTCAGACCCAGCGATCCCAATTATCGCGCCAGCCGGGTTTATGGAGGAGGCTACCAGCGAGAACATCTATCTTGGAGACGCAATGCGCCGGAGGGCTGCATTTATGTATGGAATTTCACTCCCTAAAGCACCTAATGGACATATCGGCTGTGGACTTGGGATGGCAGTCTCCACTGGGACCACATCGCTCATTCCACCGAACGTGACCATCTATGAGACGGGTGAGACCCGGGTTATAGATGGAGTGCGAATTGAGTTCCAGATGGTCCCCGGGACGGAAGCGCCTGCAGAAATGAATTTCTTCTTCCCGGATCATAACGCTCTGCTCATCGCAGAGTGCGCCACACATTGCCTGCACAATATTATCACCCTGCGTGGTGCCCTAGTGCGCGATGCCAAGGCTTGGGCTGGGTACCTGGATGAGACGCTTGTTTTGTACGGAGATAGGTCAGATGTTCTATTTGCTAGTCACCATTGGCCGACGTGGGGCAAGAAACAGCTAAAGACGTTCATGGAGGAACAACGTGATCTGTATGCCTATCTTCATGATCAGACCATTCGCATGATGAACCTTGGGATGACAGGCACGGAAATCGCGGAGAAGATTACTCTTCCTCCTTCTCTTGAATCTGCATGGCATGGTCGCGGATATTATGGCTCAATCAGCCATAATGTCAAAGGCATTTACCAGCGCTATATGGGCTGGTTCGATGGCGACCCGGTTCATCTGTGGGAGTATCCCACCGCCGAGCTCGGTCAGCGATATGTTGACTGCATGGGAGGTATTGACAGCACCATTCAAAAAGCTGCGAAGTATGCAGAGGCCAAGGACCTGCGCTTCGCTGCCACATTGCTGGGCCACGCAGTCGCTGCACAGCCAATGCACGGAGCAGCAAGATTCGCACTAGCATCGGTGTTTGAGAAACTGGGATATGGGTGTGAGAATGCAACATGGCGCAATTTCTATCTGACTGGGGCAATGGGTCTGCGGTCATCGAGCACCCCGGGCCCTAAAGCGCAGCCGCCGAATGAAGTCAGTCTGACTCTCCCAACGGAACAGTTGTTGACGCTTTTATCCGTTCGGTTGGATGGTCTGCGAGCAGCGAAGGAGTCTTTCGTCATGGATCTGCGCCTTACTGATGAAAAAACATGGTTCCGCTTAATTCTAAAAAATGGTGTCCTGACAGTCCGCAAGACTACAGAGAATAACGGTTTTGCTGATGATACTGCTGGCCTCATGATGACTCTCAGAAAAGCCGATTTCGTGGCCATTCTCAATGGACAAGCTAGTGTCTCTGGGGAGCCAGTCGGTGATGTTGAGATCATGGCTAAGTTGGCGGCCCTGACGAGACCACCGAAGAAAGCTGCTAGTTCTTTGTAAATAGTTTTATATTTCTTTATTTGAAGACGAGTCTCGGACATGTTACAAGCAAGACTTTTTAAATAAAGAGTACGCAATTCAAAATACTAAAGATGGGGAAGAAAGGAAGCAAGAAGTCCACCTGGAAGGGTAGGTATGTATAGCAACCACTAAAGGCAAACAATGTAAACCACCGACCTCTAGAGCTAAACGAAGCAAACAAAGAAATAAAGAACGATATCTAGTATGTGATAGCATGCAGATCGTGACAAGGCACATCTAATTGGTTTCTCCGCTCGTTAATCGAGCTTCAAATTGTTGTGCACTTCGCAATGTTCGCGCCATAAACTGGGCTTTTCCAATCCCCATACAGTGTCCAATGACTTCCAGGCGCTCGATCGCCCATTCTCGTAATGCCGATCCCAGGGCACTTACATCTGCCGCCACGTACAGAGGCCACATCGTGATGAAGCCACCAAGAAAGTCAGCGGAGGAGGTCAAGTCCACTCCTGCCGCTCGTGCAGGGCCGACTTGTCTTAGAGCATAGGGTACACTTTGTGCAATCTCCATGGCTAAATTGCTGAGAACCTCTGTTGTTGGATGTGAAGGCGAATACTTGTTTTTCTGGATGCGGACCTGGATCAATCGGTTGAGCAGGATCCGGCCTGTTCTATAAAAATTCCAAATATTGCACGCCCATGCGTCCGGATAAATATGATATGTATCGTCGAAGAAGAGACCTTCTGAGTCGCCTTGGTTACGGTGTCGAGCTGGTGGTCGTTGGGCTGTGCGATAAGCCCAGCGAGGTGGGAGATTCTGCCGCCACTGGAATAGAAGTTGGTCGACACATGAAGCCTCTGTAGTAATTTGAATATCGTCCTGTGTCCCTGCGTAAAGTATTACTTCGCTTACGCGGGCAATTAGGTCTACCAGTTCGTCAGCTTTGGCGTCGCTGACCGATCGCAGGGACATGGCCTGCGAGGACCATTGAACCAATGAAGCTGGTACGGGAGTATGCCAGTGGAGGCAGCTAGTGATCTAATTCTATCTCATCAGTACGGCTTGCCGCAGGGGTCATGTTGAATTTACAATTTGCACGCGCAAATGGGTAAATAAGCGCATTCCAACAGTGCTTTGGATCTGGTCGGCTCCCCGCATCTCAACCAAAGCCATGGCTCCCCGAGTATGATGAAGCCACGAGTCGAGGGAGTGTCTAACTCTGCATGTCAAAACCTGCAGCCATGAGCATCGAACCAAACAAGGGGGCGGGGAGGAAGCATACTTCAAACATACTAAGAAGCAACACCGCCGCAAGGGTAGCATCGCTTGTTGGATCGCCCAATGCCGTACCAGTGAGGCTTAGAGCGTCTGTATACTCTTTACTGGCAATAGCCATCAACCCGGCGGATTTTCGAATATTAGATATACTCGCCATGCCCACCGCAGCGAGGGCCATAGAAACAGCAGGACTAATGGCCGCCAGATCGGCCATCTGCGAGACACTGGGGTGGATAGGGATATCATAGAGGTCATTTAAAACATAGTAACGAAAGAAAAAGCGAACAGATTCATCGCGGATGGATTCCGACAGGGGCGACGGAACCGAGAGGGGCGATAGATGGTTCAACGTCGCTGCTCTGGAATGGGACACCGGCCCCAATTGATTCTCTGCATCGACTCGGGCCCGAACAGCCGGGTTCTCATTGCGAAACTGCAGCTGCTGTGGATCGCGATATCCAGGACAGGAGAACTGGGCCCGTTTACACTGGGAGCACGTGGGCCGTGCGGTGTCGCACTGCGAGGCCTGTGTCAGCGGAATATTAGACAATAGAAGAGTGCCTCGCTTACTCGGATTCGGCGCGTGCGGCAATTCCCGCATCCTTTACTGGACCGCGGTTTGTAGGGCATGGTGCAGGTGATGGAGCGAAGGGCAGTAGTTAGTTAATGCTGAGGCGTGAGAGAGCAGGAAGGGTTGTGGGGCTTGATGGACGGGCCCGAGCACGTCACCGAAGGGGAATATACTGTGGGGTTCCAATTTGCTGAGGGCGTTGAGTTCCTCTTTGATAGATATCTCCTCTTGAAGCTGTTGATTTAACGAGTTGGCTATAAATAAACGGTCATTCGTTTCTTGTTAAAAATAGTGAAAGAAGTAGGGTGTTTATTAAATACTATTGGCCAGACAACTCACGCGCATTTCCTAATACCCAGGCACCCCTCACCCAAGTCTGATATTATATCACCCTGGTCACGACAAGTGGGGCCTGCGTGCTGGAAGTGACTCGTACCGTAGATAGTGATGCTCCTGTATTGTGCATGATTTCAGCGAAGTAGAATCTACATGGCCGCGTTAGAAAATTGTGAAAAGAACAATTATTATTTTGTAAAAATAAAAAATAAAAATAAAAACCCTGAAGGCCAGAACCTCAGGCTAGCTACGCTATGCTGTTGACCGAATTTTCCAAAGCAGACAGACATTGTTTACTGTTGGCCCTCAAGATCAGAAATTCCTTGTTATAAGCAGACCTCGACTTGATGCGTTCCTCGGACACCATTAATTGTTTTGAAAGACCCAAGCTCCCGCCTTCCATGAGCCAGGCGTCAAAATGGGCGTGGCAATAAATTCGTCAGGCACATTTTACGTTAACCACCTGCTGGAATGACCGTTTTGGAGTTTTGCTGGTCATGAACTCGAAAACCCGCAGTTTCTGGAGCGCTGATTCCTCGATCGCCTCTGCCTCTGGGCGTGGTTTTCAACGCAAATTCGTTGCCTGCTGTGAACTCGTCACCCGCCGGGGGACCGTTTCAGGTGTTCGTTGGCCATGAACTCTAAAGACCACGGTTTTTGGAGCGCGGCGCTCTTTTCAACGCGAAAACCCATAAATATGAAGAGGGCCGTTATTTTTGTACCTGTTCGTAGCCTTAAGAATCCCTGAAAGCCACTTGGTCTATACCTGCGACTATTTAGTGCCCTGGTTTCCTTCAGTCTTTTCCAACAGTGACGCGTCTCTTCATATGGCTTCCACTTCTCCCACCCAGTCCAATCGAACTAAATCGGTCAGAAAGTCCAAGCGCCAAAAACAAGGCCGTCGAAAATCAAGCCTTATGAAAAAAGCGGCCGAATATAGCAAGATGTGCGATGCTGATTTCTGTGGGGGCATACGCCTTCGGGAAACCGGCCAAGTTTTCATCTTATCAGCGGATGCTTCGGGATTTTGGGCTTCCTTGGCTCACAATTAGTATGTTTCCAACTATGTCTCTAATGAAAAGTCGACTGACCGATCAAGAACCCACTGTCGATGTCATAGCCAGCGGTGATGACTTGTATCAGCGTCATAACACGGGGCATATCTGGAGGTATACAGGATAATCTAGACCTGGACAAAACCCGTAAGCCGCCCATTTGGGCTACGCCCAAATGCCCAAATGAGCGGACCACGGGCAGGGTCTGCCTGTCCAGGACCATAGGATTAAAATAGTAATTCATCTGGTTTTCACAACATGGTAGTATTTCTGAATATTTTTTCAATCGAATATTTTATAGCATTATAGTTATATATATGGCGGGGCTACCGATGTATAGTAATCAAATTTCATTTCAGCTACCGGTATTTATATGCAAGAAGCATTTAGTGGGAAGCATTTAGTGATTTACAATTCATTCGAGGTTATCCCTTCAACGCTGTCAGTGAAGAGCAAGCCCTCAGAGACAACGCCTCAGCGGTCGAATGCATCTTAGAGTGGAAGAAGTGAGGGTTTGAATGACGATGACTTGAACTAAGCGTTGAAAATTCGAGCACCATTATCTTAAGTAGACAAGTCTTGAGAACTGTTGGCTGGGTTTGCTGGGTTTGATTTATTTGCTGAATCTTTTGTAAGTATGACCATCAATAACCTGGTCATTTAGCTTGTTAAAAAAAGGGAAGGAAACTAATATGCGGAGCTCTCAGTAGGATCGGTGGTAATATGTGACATCAAATAACCAAGGGACATGTAATACCCATCATTATATCTAGAGGTGCCAAAACCCACATCTTTATGCTCTCCTTTCTCTCTCCACGCATTCAAGAGATTTTCCAGGGAGCCTTTCTCCTTCAGAAGACTCCTAGATCTTCTCTCTCAATTGCTCTCGCTGAGAAGCTGCCAGAACGGTCGGATCTCGGTAGCGGATTGAACACCTGAACCGCAACGAAGAGGTATACCGAGAAGCCTTTGCACCTCTTGGACCACGTTCTCGACATGATCGAAAAAATCCTTATTGAGTTCCTCCTGTATATCAATGTGGGAGCTTTCCCTCGTCACATACCAAGTCAGATGTTCATCGAAAGCTCTCCGTAGCCATTTTATGTAAAGCGTCTTAAAAGTTTGTTTATAGCGTACAGTCCGAAACCCTCTGCAAACCCATCTACCCCTGCGTTGGCGGGCCTGCCCATGCAAAAGTTAATCACCTTTGCAGCCATCAAAATTTCTCTTCGTCGACGTCATAGGCCAGGGGCCCCTGCCCTATTCCCATTTTATCCAGACCGACCATCCCATAGACCCGCATCCCCAATGAAATTGCACGTTCGTTGGCCCAGAGATGAAACGGCGTTTTCTTTTTGCGGACATCGCCGTTCCGTTCTGCAGCCTTGAGCATCTGTTCAGTTCTGGCCTTGCGTTTACTCTCATATGATCGTAAAAGATCATCCAGGCTTTGAGAATTTGGGGTACCCAGGTTTCGAGAATGCTGGGTTATAAGGTTTGAAAACAAGAAGACGTCTTCCAGTGCCATGGATACGCCTTGGCTAGCGTGAGGGGGCATCGCATGTGCGGCATCACCGATGATGAGACATCTCCCCTTGGACCAAGGTCTGCCAGGGGGGATCTTAAAAATCGGGTAGAACTTCACCACATCGGTCTTGTGCACGACATCTCTTAGCATGTCCACCCACAGGGAATTGGCGTCCCCTAAGAGGTTGATGAAGGTGGTCTTCAGGTTGTCAACCTCCTTCTTACCGCTCTCCTCCCATCCGTCGCGAGTGTCCCCCGCTGTGGGTATGGCGATCTCACGCGAAAAGAACCAATAAACTATATCACGAGCAGTTGTCGCAGGGCTTATTCCAAACATTCCATCCGAGGTCAATGTCGCGTTGAGGGCGTCCAGCGACGAAGCAGCAGGCGGAAGTTTGGACGTAGGAATCAGAGAGAAAACGTTTGAAATTCCTGAGTACTGTGGTGCGCAGTCTGGGTCCACGTGTAACTTGCGTACGGTAGAGTGAATGCCATCACAGCCAAGCAGGAAGTCTCCTGTGTCGCTGGTGCCATCCGAGAAAAAGACGGTGACTTTATCATTCTTTTCTTCAATTTTGGTGAGGCGCTTGTTGAAATGGATAGGTACGCCCACTTTGCTGGCGGCGTCGAGGAACACTTCCATCAAGTCTGTCCTCCTGATCCTCAGATAGCCAAATCCAGTTTGCTGCCTGCTCCAGGACGTCATGTCCATCCGGCCCATTTCGGTGCCACTGAGAGAATGCAAGTTGAGCATCGATGTCTCTGACCCTTTCGCCATCATCGCGTCGCAAAGCCCCATGCGCTGGAGAAGCCGTAAGCCGTTAGACGGGATGCCTATGGCTCCTCCGAGCGTGGTTGGCTCGCTGCGAACCTCGTAGACTTGACATGAGATTTTATTCTTCTCTTGTAGATGGATAGCTGCCGCCATGCCGGCGGGACCACCGCCGATGATAATTACCTAGAGATCACATAACATATGTCAATCACGGCTCTTTGGAGGCATTTTCCAACAAGTCCACTTGCCTTTTCGATGCCCTTCATTCCTTCGGCCATTGATGATAGTTTGGTGTTGCCGTTGTAGGTGAATTGAGGAAAGCAAACCCAGTTATATGTCGAAGGTTTGGAAACCACAGAGATTAAATACGAAGACAGACAGACAAACCCCTTTTCGGTGTTACATGCAAGAGAATACCGTGAGTACCTTTGTGGTATACAAGTCTCGGTGTTTCGGTGTTTCGGAGTTTGGGTTTTCGTTTGTTTCCGGCAGCCCTAGAAGCAGCGGCGGAATTCATTACCATAATCATAACAGAACAATACCGAGTGACGCAGGCACGTCCCCGATCGCCGAACTCAAAAGGTATCATAACCACCAACCATGCCGCCAATTCGCCGCCAAAGCTCTCGGAATTCAGCAGAGCAAGAGGATAGGTTGTTATCAAATATCTAGGCAAACCAGTGCGTCATTTCACTGTACCAGAAGCCACGTTACTACATAGACCAGAACAATGCCCATACCCCGTATTTTACATAAAATCGGCCTCTTAGTCAACAAACCTTTGACGGCGAGACCTATCTGATATTGCATCACATGACTTGTACCAATGCCGTTTCGGGTAAGCGCATTCGTGGGGCTTATTACGTGAGCATACACGACGCTTCCATGCCTACAGGGGTGTCAAATCATCAAATTGCAGCATATTGCTTCCTCAACGTGGAAAGCCGGGAAGTACTATGGAAGAACCGAAAATTTCAAAGACTTGCAACGAATGTAAAGCTCGAAAAGTGAAATGTGAAAGTAGGCATCATCCCCCTCGGTCTTCCCGCTTAGCAAACATGCATATTGACGCTGTCCCAGTAGTGGCGGACACACATGGTTCAGCCTGCAATAATTGCAAAGTGAGACTCATAGCGATAATGACCAATAAAGCCATCATGCTCAGCCAATGCCCAGAGGCGCAATGTCCCCTGTCATTTTAGGCCAAAAAAGAAGAGGGACAAACCAGCGGGAGCGCATGTCTCTGACGCTCGGCCAAAAGTTATTGGTGTGTCGAATGGTCAGTGCCCTTTTGGTACGGCTGTCAACCCCACCTAATGTCTCACTGTTTTAGTTGAGGCCTTCTGTTCAGTCTCTCCAGCTGCCGAAGTGTTTCCGATAGGAGTCAGCGCTCAAAGCTTACCTTCTGCTGTGGACACGACCATTGCATCGATTACGCCTGGGAATTTGTATATAGATTCTATCCTTGAAAACGGAGAAGATGCTGGAAGGCGCCGAAACGAAAGTTCAATATTAAAGGTTACCGCCCTTCGCTCCTGTGAGGATCAAAATACTAACACTTCAGCTCCCAGGCCCATGACAAATACGGTAGGCTGTCGCTTCAAAAACTAACTTGAATATATGAGAGGGTTAATAAATCGCAGTTGGGAGTTCAAACATTGCTTTTTTTTCCGATCAGAGGATCGCGTCTATTTCCGAGCGCCTGGGCCACACAAAGTTCCTGAATATCTTTGCTAGGCTCAATAATTCAGTGGACGCACGAATGGATTGGGATATACGTTCTAAAAGCAGATCAACGAATTCGAAAGCTCCTTCGGCATATTTTTCCGTCGAGCCACAATCGGTCAATCTATATATTGCCAGTGCGTCTCTATTTGATATTTGACACTGCTTTGTATTTTACGCTCACACATTGTCGACCAGGCTATTTCGAACAAGTTCATCCAATATATCCCTTTCTCCAACGACATGAGTTCGAGCGGAAGGCTCTCGACAACCGATGTTCCCAGTTCTGTGAAGAATGTGCTCCTTTTTCAGCCTTATACCACACAGTGCTAGCACTTGGCTGCCAACGTCTTGGCGGTGAGACTTTTCAACTAGGCTGTTCCCCATCCTGGAAGCTATTCCAAGTCGCATTGGGGCTTTTTGCCGAGATGATAACCACGAAAGAGACGTTGGTACATGTTCAGGTAGGCTGTCGTCCGCAGCTTCACATCATTATCACTAAAAATAAAACTAGGCTATGACCGCCATGGTTATTAAACCCACCCGATTCAAGTTCTGGAAACCAAGCTAATCTCTAGCAGGCTATCTTTGCTCGCAATTCGTCTGGTGTTCAGATCGAGAGGCTATTGACCACAGAAGCCGCCAGGATTGCGCAGTTTATTGGCATTAACCGGGCCATCTATGCAAATGAAGACATGGACCTATGCCGAAGGGCTTTCTGGACGATCTATGTATTAGAAAAGACACAGACTTTTGCGTGTGGCAGGGATTCGGTACGTGTTTTCCCATTCAACAGCATAGAATGATTTAAATAACAAGAGCAGATCTTGATCGACAGCAATATCGGCACACCAGTTCCCCAAATCCCAGACGCGGTGTTTGACGGCTTTGACTGCTTCCATGCATTGTGTCGCTTCAGCCGAGTACTGTCCAAGGCAAAAGATGCGCTTTTCTCGATAAGCGCAACCTTAGTTCCTTCCAGCACGATATTAACCACTATTGATGCTCTTAATGGCGAGCTTGAGCGCTGGAGGAAGTCCATCGGCAAGGATTTTCGGCCTGGTAATGGTTTTCAACAATCTGGCAACCTAGACAGCCTATCGATTAGATTGAAACTTATGTTGAGTTATCAATACTACAGTGCTGTCATTGCTCTGGCTCGAATCAAGCTCAACGTGGCAAGTTGGGAGTCAGATCCAAGCAAACTTCAGGCTGAACAGGTACTTTTACACGCCTCCCGCTCGATTGTTGAGCTTACGAGATACATCGATGTGGAAACATACACACCAATGTGGTTAGTACATTGTTGTCATAATCGCGAGTATCTAGGCTGCTTACCATTCAACAAGGATTCTTCTTTCGGTCCCATTGTCGGCTATTTTTATACTTTTTGACTTTGTGATACATAATCCGTGTCACTCAGAGACCAAAAACAACATTGCCCTATTAGGTATTGCGGCCGGATATTTTTGCCGTCTAGAATTTTCTTCGGGTGGGAGATTGCAAACCTCGCTTCTGTCTGATCTTGCCCAGATCGCCCGGGATTACATTTCAGACATGGAATTTTTGGGTACTCCATATTCCTGTCACCACTCACAGCCGGACGAACACGAAACAGGGACACGGCCAGTGCTGCCAGCTTCTGTAAGCCAAAATCCAGTCATGTTAGAGCTAATAACAAATTTCTGATGGCTAGTATGCGGACAGGGAGAGGAATCTCTTGCAACGGTGCAAGATCCACTACGGTATGGCACCGCAAATGAAAGATACTTTCCGACTGATACTGATCTCTTCCCTATCGAAAGTGAATTTACGCAAGGTGTCGACTTGACTAGTTTTTTTGCCACGGAACTCCCAGATTTTGTTGATCCTTCCATATTTAATTTGCTTTAAATCCAAAATTGTCGCATGACATCGTGTTTTGAGACGTAATGTATGTACTGCTGGGTGAGATCGATCAAATACAGGTATGTGTATGGCAGTTGAACATATGTTCCAGAATCGGATTTGTCTCGTAGGACATGGAAATGGAGAAGGGTGGAATTAGGCTGGAGCAAATTACAAGCTGGCAAACTGCGCCAAATATTACCTTCGGATTTTCTCTTTATGCCGTATACGTCGCCAATGGAGAATGCAGATGCTGTTGCAGCTGCTAAATTCAGATCACAGATAATGCGGGCATCTCATAATCGATGCCCCTGGCTCTTCGTCTCACCAGTCATACATCGAGCAATTCTGCCATTGCCCCCAAATATGAGCACGTTCTCGCCTGCCATATTTTGTCGAAGAGCACGGGTTGTATTTATCCCGAAAGTATGGGTGAAGAGATAAATATATTGCGTCGCTTTTGGAAATCTTTAACTCCGGACATTCTCCAAGTCTCTCATGAGGGTGTCAGTTTAAAGTTTCTATTCTCTCTCTCGCTAATGGGAAGGATCGATGTAAGCTTTTGTGATCAGCAACCAATCAAAACTGTGACTATGTTAGGACATCATAGAAATGAATTTGTATGCCAATAGGCACTCGGTGGAGAAAGAGAAACCCCATTCCCCCCCGGGTTGGGGGCCCTTCAGTCTGGGAGGACCTTGTAGAGATAGATAGTCGTTTTTAATATTGATTACTTACAGAACCCACTTTTAACCTCGCGAATTAGACCGATGTGGTCAAACTGACATTTTGCCACATCAGGAGTAATCCTAGAACAGGTGGAAGTTCTCTACCCGGCTGGCTTATATGGTTTCATGTATTATTTTCAAAGCAACTTTTTGCCGATGGAATCGGGGAGGGGTTGAAGGACTGAATGCCACGTTGTGTGAAACGAAGTCAATATCATGATTCAATGTATAATTAAGAAGAAGTATGCAAAGCTTCACATAGGCCGGGTCTCCCTTCCGGTGGTCAGGTCGGGAGGGTGTCTTTTTCGACTACGCATGATGAACTGTTTGACCAAAGGCAAATTTTCCTTATATAGTAATGTAAACTAGTAATGCAACAATGTAAATGTTTTATTCACATGTAAATGCATGAATTTGGATAATGCAACCAGCTTTCCCACGAAGGCCCTAAGTAATCATTGATTGCAGAGATGATATATAGCCCGCTGTCTCCAAATATCCACATGTCACGGTGACTGTGGATAAGAACGCCGAAGTGGGAGAGGATGGCAAGTGCTTCCGGTCGACGTTCCGAGAGTAGATCTATGTATGTGGGAGTAATGGTGACTGGCCAGAAAATTACTGGGCCAATTGTGGATAACTTCAACGAGGGAATGCGGCTTGCATCAAAAGCCTTCTGTAGGTCTACGATCGCCTTTCGATAGGTATCGCCGATAATTGGATCGAACGGCATAGCGTCCACATTGGACAGGAGCTCGGAGCACTCATATCCGGAGGAAGCCTGTTCCAGTGCCTTGCCTTCGCCTCCCAAAAAGGATTTGAGCGGCGACTCTAGAAGCAAATCCCAGAATTGGCCGGTGATTGCGCGGACCCCATGATGCATCCGTAATGACTGGATAAAATAATCAAGGAAAACCTCAAAGTTATGTGGGCGATATAACAATTTATCGGAGAGGACGTGAATGGCAAGAACTGACGAAAAAAGGAACATCGGGAGGCAAGTGTCAGGGTTAATATCCAGCTTGGCTCCATTAAACTCGGAGAGGGCATGTGTTTGGAGCTGGGATGCGTGGTTTCTGTAGAACTCCTGCTTCTCCGGGCGAATGATGCTCAAGTGTAGTGCAGAAAACGCGAGGACTTGGTTCATAAGAAACGGCGCAGTCAACGCGCATTCCGTCATCTCGAATGCAGAGTTCTCAAAACTGGACTTGTGGAAGCCAAGAGAATTTAAGACATTAGTGACAAAGTGATGGAATAATTCCAGATGTAACGTATTGACTGGTGGGCTCATATCTGTCCCACCAACATCAGTGCCAGTTAAAGAATGAACAAGCGTTTCATCCTTGTTCTTGGGCTTTTGCTTGGGGCGTTTTACTAAAGCATGCGCTTTCGACACCATTTCTTCGTACGAACAGTTACGCCTTGAAACATTGCAATTGACACACTTTGGGCGGTTTTCATCGCACTTGTGAAGTTAGCTTCGACTAGCTCATTTAGGCCGTAGTATTTGATAGATTCTATTTGGGCGAAATACCTTGATGTGGCGACGCTTGCATTCGACGCAACCTTGCCTGGATTTCCTGTGCGCTTTCCTTGGACAGATCTTACTTCTGTCGTAAGTGGACATGGTTGGAAAGAGTCTTCTTTTTTTTTTTTTTCAAACATGCAAACAGCGAGGTAATGTACCTTCTGATCGATTCAGGTTTGGTGAACAAAAGCCCTATCAAGAAAGGTGAAAATCTTTTAATGATTCATGAAGCCCAGCTTTGGAACCGTGCCCAGGGGAACGGCTAAGGTAATGACTCAGCTGGTCACCTGGCTCCAGGGCCCAGAAGCCCCGAGGTGCAGTCTTACAAGGGTATCATAGTTGTGTCCAAACTCTACGAGGAACATCAAGCTTGTTTGCCTCTGAATTTCTAATTTAGTAAAATGGTATATATACATTATTATTCTCGAACATTTCGATGAAAGCTGAAGGAACTCCTTTATCATCAAGCACTTCCATCTTCGGAGGACACCCTAATGACCTGACTCCTGTGAGAAAATACTCATTGCTGGTGTGCAGTCTTCGCGTTCCCTTGATCACACATTACGTAGATCGACATAGTCATCTCCCGGTAAGGCCGCTCCAACGAGAATTTTCCCTGGATGATAGAAGTGGAAAATCGATTGCACAATGAACATCGGGACTGCATCGAAAAGGTACATGTATACCTCGTGTGAATACAGATAGCCATCCATTCCTTCAACATTTTCGATGATTCGAAAAATGCAGCGCCCAATAACCAGTGCAGAGACGAGGAGTAAGATATGGAGAAGCCGATGCCAGGGACCACCGATAATATCGAGACCAGACCGGCGCAGTCGTATCAGAAATGCAACAGAAACGTAGAGAAAGAACCCAAAGAAGATCAGTTGAATAATGAGTCCAACAATGAGTATCTTCTGGCCGATGTTACGCATGCTGTCGACAGTCTGCATGCCGCCACCTGATAGCTGCAGGAGAAAGGCGGCAGTGTCGCCCGATACAAAGATTTTGGTAACTTTTCGTGGGGCCACAATAGATAGATCAGGTTTACCGACAAACATGACGATACGTCCATAGATCACGTAGACTGTTGCAGCATAGAGTGAGGGTGGGAGAATGATGAACATCGATTGGCCAATGTAAGCCACAAGACTCTCCGGGTTACTTGCTGACATCAATCGGAAGATGTAGCCCAGTGTCATCACTAGAGCGATACGTGGTCAGCGTCTTTTAATCTAGTTTCAAATTCACTGCTAAGGAGAACCAACTGAAAGCACCGATGAGAAAAGCTGTGAAGAACCATGTCTTTAGTTTGAACATTTGCCAAAGGTGAATGAATGCACTTGCTCCAAACAAAACCATCACAATACCAGCCCCTGCCTTGCTAGGATCATAAGGATAGTAGTTTGAAGCACCCATAGTAGACAAAAGGGTTTGTCAAAGTTCGAGAGAACGAGATATAGAGGAAGAAATATGAAATTTCGCACAATCTCTCTTGTGACCAAAAGCAAACAGTAAGATGAGAAAAGAGCGTGATTTCCTTCGGTACCGAAGCTCCCCTAAAGTTCTAGGAAAACAGTAAGAAGAATGCGTGCATTTCAAGATAAAAATAAGAAGCTTAAGAGGTGTTGAACTCCTAAATGTAGCATCTCACTCGATCAAAACTTGCACCAGGCAACCCAGCCAGTTTCTCGTGGCTGACACACCAGGAGCCTAAACTAAAGGGATGCCTCATGTGCTATTTTGAATACAGAAAATTCCACTAGTATCCAAAACAACGGGAACTAGCACATATCTTTCACTCGTATCTAGATTAGAGCAATCCCAGCTAGACCCGCCCTGGGGAGTGAACTGGAGCTGAAGTATCAGGCATCGGAAGTCTCATTGGTTGGACTTGAGTTAGAGAACAGAAAGGGGTTGGCAGTGGATCCGCTGCGTTATCATGTTTGAGTACTTATAATTATTTATATGTCGATACCTTAGGCATACACGCGGCACAAAAGGTTTGTGGTTGGACCGGATTTGACCCGAACACGCGGAATAGATGGACCAATCGTGAGAGCGGCAGTACGCGTATTCGAACGATGGCTCCACATACTGTAGATAAAGTTGCACGATGGACCGTGCATACGCGGAATTACGCCCTGTTGAGTCGTTAGAATGGTTAAAATGGGTATGAGACTTGAGCTACCTAAATGGCCTTACCTTGTGGGTATATATGACACAGGTGCGTATACCGGGCTGATTGAACCGAGGTTGAATTCTATTAACATTGCCTAGAATAATCATAAATGGGGCGATCAATAGGATGGAGAGGATCTGTTCATCTACTCACAGGATGGCATGGAACTGGTCAAAGCCACTGCTCACGAGAGAATGCCCCTATACAAAAATATCATAGATTTCAATGCACGGTAATTTAAAGTGAGGCCCTTTGCTATGTTAGTTTACAAACTCTCAATGTATATCTATTTCCGACGAAGGTTACTTAGAACTCCCTCTTCATTTTCAGTATTTATAACAGGAACAAAAATTGGAACAGAAAGCACCAAACCAAATACAAGTCCCTTTGATGGCCCAGGTAGAGAAACGAACCTCGACTGAGAGTTGGAAATGACCGACGAGCACGTAGCATCGACTTTTGATTTACTCTCGATCGGGGGCTATGTCACTCGATATTTCTATATCCGTTTTTACTGACAAAAAGGCCCCAGGCACCGTATCCTCCTCTCTGAACGGTCAGGGCTAAAAACCTCGAGCCAGACAACAAAAGTGATTGCAAATGATAAAATACCCCCAACCAGAGCCATTGGTCTTCATCCACCCAGAACCAAAAGGTTTACAAGGACACGGTTTTGAGGATAGGGCGCACAAGTGCAAACAATTGACTTAGTCGAAGCTGGCTAAAGTGGCAGACGGAAAAAACGTTGGAAGGTGGAAAAATGCCAACGAAACTCAAACGTTGTCTGATAGATTTCTGATCAAACAGGTGGTGAGCTGCGTGTATAGGTAGGCTGGCGTTGGTGATCCTCGAATCCCCGAATGATAGACTGGCGATGTACCTGTCCCTTCGATGATTCCGCCAAATACTTCCCTTCTTTAGCTCTCGCCTGAATAATGCGTTTCCTCGTTTTGGAATGCGTTGCCGTATACAAGCTTTTTATCATACCATGGGCAGGATATGCCACCAATCCCAGTGCCGCTGCGATAAGGGGTTTAGCGATTATCGAGCTTGGTGATTGAGATGCACATACCTGACGACACCTTGGTGGTGACTCCGAGAGTTCCCTTTGCAATGCCTTTCACAACGTCCTTTGCTCCCTCTTCCCGGCCTCCTTTGTAAGGCTGAGTAAAGATGTCGGTTAGACCTTCCGTCATGCCATGAGTAAAGTTCTTTCCGGCAAAGGTAGCTCCTGATTTCCAATCCCGGATAATGCCGTGATCCTTCACCTCATCACCATATAGACGCGGCACAGCCCTTCGTCCATCACTCACTGCTAAAGGCATATCTATCAGCATGCCTTTATACCAAAAGCCAACCATCTTCCCGGCACTCTTCGCTGATCCTTTAAGTGTCAAGCCTATAGATCTCAACTTCGAATCGTTTTTGCCGTTCGGAAAATCCACGGATGTAGCTATTGGGGATTCGATGCTCGAGGCTCGAGAGGAGGATTCCGGAATATTAACTTTCGAATGAGCAGCGCGACGAAAGTCTTGATACGGACGGTAGAAGATATCGCTTGATACCTGGAGAACATCGGTGCCGGTACCAATAAGTGAGGAAGTGATACCTGTCACCGGATCCCACCGTCGATTCTGGATGTGTATTGGGCGGATTTTGTGGCTGTTTTATTGGTCAGGTTCGGTATAATAAGGTAAAGTGAGGAAATATACTGACAGATGAAGATCAGTCAACTTGATGCGGTAGTATTCTAGTAAGATTTCCGCAGCAATTTTCGATAAATACAGTGAGGGTTTAGATGATTTCTTGAGCCGCCACACTGCGGGTTCTGAGGTAAGAAGCTGACATCGCATATTATCAAATGGCAGGTTGCGATGAAAAGAGGCGACTGCCGCCGCGACCCCAGATTCATGGCTCATCTGGTTTGCGACATCTTGTGCAGCAGCCTGTGCGCCTGGGTGTAGACAAAACTGGATAGCTTCAGCTAGATTTTGTGCATTCAAAGATCGATGTGGTATAGGCTTTGGTCCAAGCCCTCGAGATGCGACCATGTTTCCCCAGAATAGTTGACTGAAAGGGATTAGCCGGAATTCATGTTCTAGAATCGGTCAAACGTACTCTCCGAAGAAGGGTATAATAACGGTAGACCTTCCAAAACGCAGACCACAAGCTGTGGTTCCTGCACCGCCGTGGTGAACAACGGCGTCAACATGTTGGAACAGCCATTCATGCGGGCAATCGTCAAGATAGAAGATCTGATCGTCCGAAGAGGCCTCCTTGCTTCCAAGCTTACTCCAACCACGAGATATGATTGCGCGAACACCTAGTGACTTGACGGCCTGTAGAATCATAGTAGTCATAGCAGCCGGGTCATCTATAACGATGCTACCAAAACCAATGTATACCGGGCGACTACCGTGTCGAAGGAATGAATCGAGTTCAGCCGGCGGCGAATAATCTGGAACAGACCGGAAGAAAAAACCGCAGACATCGATATATGACGGCCAGTCTAATGGTTTAGGCATAAGACTCGGAGACCAGCAGTAAGTAAAAGGCACTTTGAGGGTTTCCGCTAGATAAGGCCCCTCCGTAAGCGGTATTGGTTCTAAATCGAGTGAGGCTCTCCACTCGTTAATGATATCACCAAGACTGGGTTCGACGTTAGCATAAAATATAAAATTTTAAGGAGTTAGAGCCCTAGGGTCCCTAGATCTATTACCCTTGCCACGTCATCCATTCAACAACACCATAGGAAATATAGTTAGCTATTTTCGGTTCGGTCGTCGAATACTTCATATTTGCCAGAGGATGCGGAAAAGACCTTGTACTACTCCATGGCATCGTGAACATCAGATGTAATGGAATAGACAAAGCTTGTGCACAGTGAATGTGGGCGAAGCTCGGAGGATTAGCAATAATTGCATCAGCCACAAAAGGCTCGTGGCTCTCTTTATCATCGCTAACACATGAATCTCAGCAGCCTTGAAGCATCTCGGCGACCATAGCACGTTTGCGCTGGATTTCTCCATCCCGTAGGCTCTTCATCTGGGGAATCAAGCCTGGGTTCTTCACCATATAGGCCATAAGCTCCAAGGGGTCCCCACCAATGGGATAAAATTCCAAACCCGAATCACGAACAAAGGACTCGAAAACCCCGTGAGTTGCGATTCGCACACGGTGGCCATGGCGTTGAAGATCATTTCCTAGTGCGATAAAGGGCTAAACATCTCCTCGGCTGCCGACTACTTGGATAACAATGTTGAGTTGAAGGTCACATGTATCAGGAAAGGTAGCTGGATATGGTGGTGGCGTTTGGGGTTGTTGTTCCTCATGCGAGAAGGGAATCAATTTTGCAACTGTTTTGCAGACTGAGGAATCAAGATCGACCTCAATACGACCATCATCTACCAAAAGTTAACATTGGATGCATCGTGCGAACTTGAGAGGTTTATGCTGATAGACAGATTTGCTTAGGCTAGTACCTTTGACATTTGCTCCTTCTTTGGACCAGCCAATAGCCTCAAGAATAGAATATCTTGGGGGTTGCTCTTCCATGAGTATCGAACGTGCCACTGTGAAGGTTTCTTAGATTCAAAGCCAAGTTTGAGATGGTCGATTTATATAGATAGAGACGATTAATCCAGAAGTAGCGGTCAGAATTCACAAAATTTGATCCCAGCATATAATGTTAATGATTCAGAACTGTAAACGGACACGATACGCTAGTCCAAATCTGGTGAGGTAGTGCATTTAGCGCAAACCACCCACCAATCAAAGACGCCAAAATCCCTTTCAACCCACGAGAGCGGGAACGACACACTACTTTGCTTGCAAACATATCTCTAAAAACTTGAAAAAAACCTAATGCACTTGGCGGAGAGCTCGTGCTAGGCTTTATTTGTTATATTTTTGGCCCACTGGGAAGAAACTATTGATATATTATGTTTAATTAGGCTCCAGGGCTGGAATCTGGATTGCTAGTAATAAACATACTCTCGGTAGACCAATCAACAGCGTGTAATTCCGCGTATGCACGACCCATAATGCAACTCTATCTGTGTGGAGTTACCATTATGCGAATCCGCGTACTGCCACCGTCACGATTGGTCCAAAGATATTATGCAGATCTCTTTTCTACTTGGCATCTTCCAAGATTTGTCTTTGAGCGTTTTTTTAAGAACCATTCCTAGTTAGGAAGGCAATATAGAGACTTTCATTGCAACTTTGTACAATTTACGTCCAAAGTATCTATGAATACGTGGTTCCCTACATACATGGGAGACTTCAGGAGTATCTCATCTCCCGCGCGATACCAACTCTTCGATCACAGATGCCACTAGAAATAAACGCTTTAGACATATCGGAAAATTCACTCAGATATTCATATCTGCTATTCTTAGTGCTAACCGGGGTAAATCTGTTCGAATCATCAGGGAGTTTGATTATCACCTGACACCCCTTACACATAAAGCGGACTATGTAGGTACTAGTTTAGGCAGTGGATACACTACCAGGCACAATTCATCCATACTATTTATAGACCCTAGATCGTAGGCTCTACGTTGTAGAAGGCTTAATGTGAATCATACGATTGCGAGACTGTTCGATGACGTTAAATCTGAAAAAGTACCATTATGTTAAATCGTGTTCGTATTTTATGTTGCCCCTTCAGGTGCTATAAATATCAGATGTCCCTTCCTGTGTTGTGTTGGATAGTATGCTCAACCTTTTTACTGCAACGCTTTACAAATGTTTTTACCCAAATCCCTTTCCTTGCTCTTAGCTCTCTCGGCCACCTCGTTTGCCAGCCCGGACTGCAAAATCTCACCTGCTCATTCGTCATGGCCTTCTTATGATGAGTGGGGCGCACTAAATCGTTCTATTGAAGGAGTCCTGATCAAAACTGCCCCGGTTGCCTCATCTTGCTATCTCGGCAACCCGTTTAATTCGTCCGAGGATTGTGCGGACCTGCACAATAAATGGTCATATGCAGCATTTCATGCCGCCTTGCCAGAGAGTATTGACTTTCCAATCTGGACGAACAACTCCTGCCTGCCAAAGGGTGTAGCTGGCTACCTAGAGGAAAAAGGCTGCAGCATCGGTGGCCTGCCACAATATGTTGTGAACGCTACGACAGAGAAGCATATCGCCACGGCGATGAAATGGGCCTCCCAAAGGAACATCCGGATCGTCGTGAAAGGAACAGGACATGATCTCAATGGCCGGTATGTTATTTCGATGATTAGTACAATTATAAGTCTCATTGGCTGATTTTGAATTAGGTCAACCGGGGCATTCGCAATTTCTATCTGGACGCACAATTTCAAACACATCAAAAGAAACAGGGCCTGGCTATTACCGGATCGTAATGAAACAGCAGATGTTTTAGTGTGCGGCAGCGGAAATAACTGGGGCTCTGTCTACACCGCAGCCCACCGTCTTAACAGAAGTGTCGTCGGTGGTGAAGATGCTACTGTAGGACTCGGGGGCTTGATCCAAAACGGCGGCCATGGATACTTATCTAGCCACTACGGACTTGCATCGGATCAAGTATATCAAGTCACCGTGGTCACTACCGATGGCCGACTTCTCGTTGCGAACAGTGTGCAGAATGAAGACCTCTTTTGGGCTGTTCGTGGTGGCGGTGGAGGTCAATATGGAGTGGTGACGGAATTTATTTTGAGGACACACCCCGTCCCACGAAATGTTGTTAAAGGGAGCCTTTCCTTCTATGCAGCTAGCAAGTCTAACATAAGTGAAAACGCCTCTTGGAACGCCTTATCTGATGTTGTTTCTCTCATTCCGGAACTTATGGATGATGGATTTCTTGGCAACTTTACCGCATACACCAAAACAAGTACAATGGCCCTAGGCCTTCGTGAGGCACCACTTGGCGTCGCAGCAGTGATCGGGCTCATTGGTTTCAATATAACAACTGAACACATGGACACCATTGTTAACAAGCTAGCAAGCCGGGTCAACGACATTGGCTCCGGTAGCTACCTAAACATTTCGATTGAACTAGCGTCTACCCAGAGTTACTGGTCCTTTGTCAACCCAGATCCTTTGCTTAGCAACACCGCCGGTGCTGTCAGCTTGATGACCAGTCGCCTAATGGGCCGGAGGGAGCTATCAGACATTGCTCAGAACAAATTGACTGCATACTTACAGCAGGCCCTAGCTTCCGAAGACCCGGAAGCCGGAACAATGTTGTTGTTCGGGTTACAAGGAGGTCGTGGGCCTGCTAGTGTCCCAGAGCACATGCGCGGTAGCGTTCTTCCTGCTTGGCGCAGCGCATATGCTCATGTTTTCACGTTGGGCGCATCGATCAACGCAACAGGGGACGCAAGCGAGTCCTTGAAAGCTGCTGCGGATTACTATGAAGCCGTCAAGGAACCTATCTGGAGAAAATGGGCACCCAACACCGGGTCCTATATGAACGAGGGCAATCCGTTCAGTGGCACCTGGAAGAAAGATTTCTATGGCGAAAACTACGACAAGCTTCTTTCGGTCAAGCGCAAGTATGATCCTTCTGAGAGCTTGTTTGTCTGGAGTGGTGTCGGCAGTGACCTCTGGAACAATGACCTCAGGACTGGTCTGCTATGCCGAAAGGCATCATGAACAGGGAAAACTTCCCTTTGGAAAAGGAAAACCTCTGAGCTGGGCTTGTTGTTTTGTATGAGATAGAAATAAATGAGGGAATGGTTTTGCCCTCTGGGTGTCCTTTCCTTCCTATCCCTTTTGTTTCTTTGTGCTTTTTGTACCGGAGACCAACATACCCTATGCTCGAAGGTTCAAATCGTGTACAAAACGCAGCGGATATGTTTTCATAGACATAGCAGAGAAATAGCTTATAGGCAAAATGTATTATTCTAGTGAATTCGTTTTCCGGTTGACCTGCCATGGAAACTTGAAGTAATGTACTAGCTGGGGCAATCCGAGACAGCCATATAGTATAGAGACACAATGTATGTCCATGTGACAGTGATTTATCAAGTACGCGATACGTTCAGGCGTGCAGATGAACATGGCGGATCTGAGATCTACAATCGAGGTGCTCTTCAATCTGAAAGATCGCAGTGTACGTCGGACCAGCACGCAAGACGCAATCGCTGGTATGAGAGTTTGGAGAGTGACTGCGCCTACAATAGAACTCGGAAACTTGGAGAATGGGGGGTTTATCGGCCCTTCGGACAAGACGGTCCCTAACCAGGGTTAATCGTGGTCGAACACATGATGATCACGCACCAAAAGCTTCTTGAGGCACTGCGTTGAGGAAGGGGTCTCTTGTGGTATGTAGATTTATCTCTACCCCTACAAGCCCCTTCCTCACTGTCTATGCCCTCAACGTCATCGCTTGGGGTGCCATGCTATCCCTCCTCTTGCTAAACGCGGTTCGATGAGCAAGCTGCACAAGGGTGGGTTAAAATCGACTCGCGAATCATCCATAGCATCCGGTATGATCTATCCCCTCCACTGCGCCGCCAGTAGTGGCGCTATTCAGAGGGTAAAAGCGCTTCTATCAGCCGGCGCGGATATTCATACCGGCACTACCCCAGGTGGAAAGACAGCGCTTCACCTGGCTGCGAGCAGGTCACTCCAGAATACGGTCCATTTCTTGATTCAAAGAGGCCTGGATCATCGGCTGACTGATACTGAGGGACACACAATGGTTCACTATATGTCTCTAGGGGGATGATACGAGCCCTTGAGTGTCAAGGACTTTCTTGTCGCCGAGAACCTTTACGACTCCTCGATGGAATCTGAGCTCGTTAGACTTAGACCTTTTTAATAATTACCCTGGAATACTAGAATTAATTTCGTTTCCGCGATATGCAGATCAAGAATGAATGCGATGCGTAAACGGCAAATATATATACCAAAACAAACATCAGATTCACATCCAAAAACATATTGAAGTCTTCTTACATATAACATCCCTAGTTATCATGTTGAGTCGCCTGGGAAGATTGATCGTACTATTAAAGCCTTCCATTGTCAACGAAAGCATCTTATAAACGAAAGGCCGGGTTTGGCCGAGTGGTGTAAGGCGATTGACTAGAACTTTCTTAACATCTTTCTAAAATCAAGACCTTCCTTTATCAATTCTGTTCGCAGGCGCATTCCAATCATGCAGCCGTCGTTATATTTTTGCTATTCTGGTTGACACTCTCCAATTTTTTTTACCACAGAGGAAAGACCCAATGATAAAGACGATATAAATGGTCTTGGTTCATTGATATCTTGGTATCAGAAGCTGGGTTGTATTAGCTTCGCTCTAAGAGACTTTTTAGTTTTTAATTTTTCATTTCTGCCCGGTTAGGGCTTTCAATATCGAGTAACTTGATGTCAACCGATATCATGCCGGTTATGAGAGGCAATTCTTTGAGAAAAGCTTTCCATGATAATAATAATAATCGACTGCTGCTGTGGGCCTATCCTTGACGTAGGACACTAACAATCCGGCCTGTTTAGCTTGATATAATATCAGGGGTGTTATATTTGGGCCTATATTAGTAGTTATACGCAGATAGTAAAAGAGGGAGCATCAGACAATGGGGCATTCTTATAAATGTGAAGCTTCTTTTTGTATTATCTACTTACAGGATTCACAGAGTCGCAGTAACGAAAAAAGGAGGCTGCCCCGTGCTAGTCATAGATATCTTTCTACTGGTTCCCAAGGTGAGAAGAGTCGCGCCCCAAGCGTGCAGGAAATATAAATTACCATAGGCCAGGAGAGGACAGCATAGGGCAAGTTTACCGAGACGAATTTGGCATTTTGCAGGGCTCGGATTCATTGCTCGACCAGTATACTCAATATCCAGATGGTGATTGTGGTTATGTACAGCAAGTCCCCGTCTCTAAGGTGCAAATTTCAGAGCGCTTTAACTTCATACAGTCCAAGCTTTGGTCCAGCGCAAAAGTGAGTCTTCGAAGCTCTGCAGGAGCGCAACCAGTGCCTTTCGCCGAGGGAGAATCATGAGGGTTTTCTTGTGCTTCGTTATCAGACTGCCTCTCAGACAGTCCTGAAGACCGAGCAGAGTAAAACGTATGAGACCGACCAAACTCCCTGTTTGAGTGTGATATAGAAGAGTAAGATAGCCACGTTAGAGAATAGGAGGGTGATATATGGGGAAAAGTGGGCGAGGTAGGGGAAAAAGCGGGTGATATAGGAGAATAGGCGGCCGATGTAGGAGAATAAGCAGTAGGAGAACAAAGTGTAGTAGAAGTAGAACCATTAGACTCCAAGCGAAGAATCCCCTCCGTTGTTGGATGATGTGTCGGTGGCATTGCTTATTCGGTCTGAGCAAAACCACAATTCGATCACGATCCGGGATGGGTTTTAGGCCACGACGATTTTTTTTATTACAGTTGCTCATCAATTACGCTACAAGATCGCGGAAGATCCAACGAGAGTCATATACCCGAATCTCGACAAAGACCTAAACATGCCGACGTTTGAGGCTAGCTGTCTATAAAATGCGGAGTTTCTTGCCCCCACGGTCTCTACGCCCCTATTTAAGTAACACAAATTTGTCTATAAAACAATTGACTGCCCTATTTACGAGCCTAGAGACACTTTTTGAACCCGAATTAGAAGCCTAATAGTTGTTGTTAGCAAATTTGATTCCTGCTGAAATGGGTGCACGAGGACCTACCCTTTTCTGTGTTACCCTCACCCATGCTTTTGCTGCTGCTGCTTCCACTCTGGATAGCGCCCATGATTCCATCCATGTAAGGCGCGCCACTCCACTTCTGGTGGGTGAGAACATCGACACCGAGCTCCTTTTCGCGGGCCTGGACAAGACGGACGTAAGCCAACATACCCTCATCCTTGAAAGCACGGGATAGTTCGGTCGTGATGGTGGCGTTAGAGTGCAGACCAGCCAGGGAAATGAGTTGCAGGACAAATCTGAAAGAAGTTAGCGAATCCTAGCGAGGTAGATGCAGTGTTGGGCTTACCCTTGCTTGGCAATATCCCAAATAAAGGACTTGAGGGAAGCCTCATCAAATCCTTGTCCCATCCAATTGAATGAAGGGCTGAGGTTGTAGACAAGCTTCTTGCCGGGGTACGCCGCCCGCACTTCGCCGGCCAGCTTTCCGGCCTTCTCGACATCTGGGTCACCGGTTTCAACCCAGAGAAGGTCTGCGTAAGGAGCAAACTCCTTCGCGCGCTTGGTCGCAGCAGGGAACCCTGCGGAGTAGTGGTAGAATCCCTCGCGAGTGCGCGGGCTATCACATGACCACACAACAGGTGTTTTGGCGTAATCGTTCGCCAAGGCACGGCGACGGGAGAAGGAGAGATCGGGGTTCTTCTTAACATAGGCCTTGTACGCATCCCGAGAAGACTGGGGAGCGCCCTCTGCCTCAAGATGAGCATCGACGGCTACATATTATTAGTAAATGGGATCGTTTGATACAGAATCAATAAACATACCTTCGTCGAGTGTAACAAGCTTGTGACTCTTGACCCAGTCAAGCTCGAATGCATCTATCTCTTTGGGCGAGGCGCCCTCTCGTTCCATAGCTTGGAGGGTCTCTGCCAGAGGTTCCACATCCTCCGTGATACCAAGGATGAATTCGTGATCACGCACATCGATGGCGCTGCTGATGAGCCGGCCGCTCTCGGAGTCTGTTCGGGCAATGACCAGGTTCTCACATCCCATCATATCCCACTGGAATCGGGCTGCGACCAGTCGGTTGATGTGTTCTCCCATTGGGACGATCACTTTGCCTGCAAGGTGGCCGCATTTCTTCCCGCCATGCAATTGATCCTCGAAGTGAACGGCCGCGGCACCATTCTCTGCAAATAATTTGGCGAGTTTGAGAACAGCCGATAAACCACCATGGCTGCACCGAGAGAATTAGTAAGTAATACTTCGTGCTTTCAATCCCAATTATTAACGTACCCGGTATCACCATCCGCAATGATTGGTCGCATATAATCAATGTAAGGTGTGGCCTTCCGCTGTTCCGGGGTCATCTTTCGCCTCGTATCCCAATGTTTCCGGTCGTGCATGGACTGGGCCTTGAACAGACGCTGGACCTGGTTCGGGACGGTATTGTAGGGATAATCGCCGAAATCGGGGGATACCTCGTTGGTACTTGTCAAAAGTGAAGAGCAAGCCCAACCCGAGATATACAGAACCTCTTGGTTGGGGGCTTGCTGCGTCATTTGGACGGGGTCGATAGCTCCCACTTTTTTGCAGAACCAAGGTCAGATTTGTCACAATTGGAGCTCAGTTGGTCAAGGACTCACTGGTATGAACGGGCTGACCAGCAGCCGCTCGCTCATTGAGAAGATTAAAAAGCTTCCGCGCCATCAAAGAACTGGGGTATGTTTGTTGCAAGGAGCCGCGCTTGCTCACAACATCTGCCGCCGTGTAAGGGCGCTTGATGCCTTCGTAGCGTGGCGAATTCCACCACGATTCCACATCGCGAAGCTGTTGTTCGTAAAGCGCATCTTCAGCTGCACCTGCTTTCTCTGGTGTGGACAGCAGCTGGTATGCGTCTGAGGGAAGGGTGGTAGATACGGGTGGCTGCACAGGCGTCATCCGAGTATAACCGCTTGTGAAAGGTCGCAATGAACGCGCAGAAACAGTAGACACAACGGGAACGCGTCGAGGCAAACGTCGTATCGAGCGGAACATGGCTGACGGTATAAGTAGAAGAACAAATAATTGGTGAATTGAAACAGAGAGAAACTAAATAAAAGGAAGAAACAAAAAACAAGGGCTCCGCTTGACCTCGGGCCGTGAACATCTGGGGTTTCCCCGCCACTGACTTCGGAGGTCCGAAATTCGCTACATGACTAATCCCGGACAAGGCGGGTCCGCCTGTAAGCGGAACCTCGGGATTACAACATGGGGACTACGACACGGCTACATAGTACTTCGTACATGATAACTATTCATTTGCCTGTATGTGCAATCTTTGTGCCTCGCTCCTTATTCTCAGCTCCAACAGTCTCTCTATATCTGAATATGCCGCCCAAAATTGTCGGTTAGCGGTCGGGATGTTGGTTGTAGACAGCATGCTCTCAAGATCTACGATCTCATGTGCCCTTGAAAACAAGTGAAAGGGCCCTTATTGTCATATATTAGGACTGGCACAATTTTCCTGGGCAATATCAGACTTGTCTATAAGTAAGCGACCTTCTCATCCAGGGCTTCAGCGCTCCCAAGGCCAAGACCTCTACAAGTAGAGTCCAGGAACTCCAGTGTTTATTGATAGTATATGTTTTCTACTATAGCACTTGATGATCACTAACTCCACATCCTCGATGTTGAAGATAAAAAGAGGTGCTACTCTTCACGATCCCCGTGGTCGGATCCAGTTTTTCCTCGCCTTGTGGTGGTAATGAAGATTGAAATACTTGTGTTCTACGATGTTGTGGCAGCCTTGCAATTGCCTCTTGATCTGGGGATGGCCTTCAGTTTTACCACCAGTATGCGAAACATTACTACTACATTCGCCAGTACTCTGACTTTAACATCCATCAATCTCAATTGGTATCACTCTCACTTGGGCCTTACATTGCCTACACTTCGGCCTCATTTCAATGTCACTTCACTTTAATCCTTCTCTCAATGAGGGTATTGGACTAATTGTACAACAAACTACACTACACACACATTGGACTACGCTACTCACCTCAGTCAAGCCATCTAACAATTCCAAGGTTTATACTCACAATCATTAATCCAATAGATTCAAATCACTCTTTAAACAAGGTAACCAATAATATGCATACATACTCTACCAGGCACAGGTATGGGTTATAACAGGCTGTGACAGGTGAATCGATTGAACAATGCTATTCAGAGGCTCTATTGAACCACCGCTATTCAAGTCTATATTGTTCAACAACACACACAGAACCATTGTGAGGATTGCTTCAGGCATCACTCAATACACCTCACGTTCAATGGAGACATTCACCTTGGAGAAACAATGTTGAGCATTATTCAAGTCGACTATCAATGGCCTCAATACTGCTTAGTTGCATACGCACATATATAAGTCCTGTAAAATCCATCGGTCTGATCTCTTCGTTTCCCTCTGTAAACCTCACCAATCTCCGACTCCCTCTCCTTTCTTTTCTTGTTCCTTTTTTTGTTTTTTTGTTTTGTTTTTTGAAAATGGTGCTGGACACCATGCCTCCGTTCTCGAAGAGCGGCCTCCAGGTACTTGCTGGCGAGTACCTGGCTGGTCCTCTTCTGAAGTGGGACGAAATGTCCCTGTTCGACCAGCTATTTGCAGCGGGCTCCGAGCCCGAAATGTCTGTTCTGACCTGGGAGCTGACCGAGCTCCTTTGCAACATGGTCATTGTCGTGGGGCCCGGCTCCCCCCAAGCCTACCTCCTCCGTGTCGTTCTCGCGCCCGAGTTTGCGTGGTTCGGCTTGCACTAGGCAGGGATGCCACATCCTGGTAAGTACTCTTCTTCAAGCATCGAAGGAAAGACGCATACTAACCTGCGGTTAGTCGAAGTGTCCACCTACTCCTCCGACCTCCTCAACCTCCTCCACTCCCGCCCCCTGGCCGCATCCGTGGCCCTCCACCAAAACCTGGGGGTCAGCGACGAGTGGAAGTCCCTCGTCCGCCGCCTGTGGGCTCACCTCGAGCCCTACACCTCCTGCCTCCCCGCCGGCCAGCTGCAGTCCGCAGCTGGCAACGACAACGACATCCTTCCGCGGATGGAGGATGTTGAGTATCCTCCTTCGCCTGTTGAGGAGGATCTGGGGGGTGTACTGCCCATGGAGGGCATTGAATTTGTGTCCGTCTCCGGTGTCTACATGGACACCATGATCCGGGATATCTCCCCGGACATGGATGTCTGTGCGGAGCCTGGAACCGGGTCTGCCTCCGCCCCCCCCTCCTCCCACGACGGTGCCTCCCTTCCCCCCTCTGACGGTGCCCTCCCTCCCTGTGGTGCTGCCCTCCCTTCCCGTGGCTGCCCCCTCCACCAACAAGTACCGACAACGGTACTAGTTGCGTCCGTGAAGACTGTTTGTGTCTGTCCCCCCACTTGCTGGAGGTGTCAGTCGCCGTTCGTCTTTTTTTTTCAAATCAAAGATCTTTCCTTTCGTTTTTGTTTTCTTGTAGAATATATTTTTGTCGTAGCTGGTGTAGTTGTACCCGGATTTCTAACGTAGTACCGTCGGAAAAATGATCCCCGCACGATGTTGTTATTGTTTACAATGATGGATACCCACATGTGCACATATATCCACAGATACTCTTGGAATAACACACAAGCCCCTTTAGATCAGCACATTATAAAATTAAATAAGATATAGCCGATGCCCAACCCGGTTGAGATTGCAATGGAAAACACACTTCTCCAAGATCGGCACCCCCGCATTGGCTTATCATCTCCTCTCCGTAGGATTTCCCTATCATCCCCTTACCATTCGCTGTCATCGCCTCTTATCTCCCTGTCTTCATCTCCATATTCCTGTACTTCTCGTTTTCTTCCGTGTGAATGGGTTTCAACATCGACTTGGTATGGAAAGCATTAAATTCCCATCGATTCTAGATCCGCCCGACAACCCGGCATCAGCGCGGGGAAATCTTGTGACACAAAAGCCAAAGCAGACAAAGAGTCGGAATGGTAAGTTAGAGTACTGTGAGGCTACATCTTTTTATTAGCGAAGCAAGAATAACTCAGACGGCCATTCCATATTGTCCACAATATTGACTCGAGTTTCCACTTCCATAGGTTGCATCACCTGCAAGGCAAAGCGGTTGAAGTGCGATGAAATAAAACCATCATGTCACCAGTGCGAAAGACGAAAGGTCCAATGCGGGGGATACAAGAAAGACTTCAAATGGCGGCCATTCGAAGAGACCAACATGGCTTCTGGGCGGCCTACAGTAACAAAAGCCAAGAAAGGTAAGTCACAAGTGCTGTGTGGGTTAGACTTGATATACTCACAAACCCTCTTTAGCAAAACATTCATCCCATCAAGCTCCGTCTGTCGCCAATATTGGCCAGACCTGCCCAACTCCTCCGACGACTGAACAGTCGGCATCACCGATTCGCATACAGTCCCACAAGTTTGATGGCTCTCGTTCGCCTCCAGGCTCCCCTTTGGATAGTTCGCCCATTAGTATCAATAGCTTTCTGTCTACTGAAGCACGTTCGCTTGAAGATCTACCTGTCACACGAGAAGATGTTTCAATGGCTGAGTGCACCGAGCCTCCCCTTGATATCAATGTTTCATTATCCGCCGACTCTCCCCCTTTCAATTTTCTCTCCTTTTTGGACCCCTTTCAAGATTCTCTATCGCTCGCAAACTCGTTGGTTTCTGATGTTGATGCTGATCCTGCTAGGCATATGCCGTTTGGTACAAAGCAGCCAGATCCCGATGCATCTAGGCTGAGCTTCTCTCAGCTCTTGGAGGATGAAAATGATGATATTGAGGAGATCATCCGGAAGTCAGATCCAGGACTGGGGCCTTGGAATTTCACCTTGCCAGAGGGAGATTCTTTCAATCTCGACCCTCCAAGCATGTCAGATAACCCGCCTCTACCACCGGAAAGTCCAGAAATGCTCGTGTTGCGGTTCGACAAGCTCACATGTGGGATTTTATCTATCAAAGATGGTGCATTAGAGAATCCGTGGCGAACACTCATTTGGCCGTTGGCAAAAGACACGCCTGCACTTCGCCATGCCCTCTTTGCTTTGACGGCTTTCCACTCGGGGAAACAAAGCCCCCATCTTCGGGCCCAAGGAGCAAAGCACATGCGCCAGAGCATAACGGCTTTAGTTGGACAGATTCAGAACATGAGGGCAGATGCTGCGCTGGCGACTAGTCTGGCGTTGGCATTTGCCGATACCTGGGACCAACATACCCGCACATGCATTCAACATTTGCGAGGCGCAAAAACATTAATGTGTCAGGTCATCGCGGCCGGGATGCAAGGGGATGTTAGCGACGAGGAACTGGATCGCATCCGGTTTCTGTACAACACATGGTCCTATATGGACGTGATTGCGCGACTAACTTCTTTGGATGAGTGTGGTCCTCAAAACTGGGATTCTTCAATTTTCGAGCTTCCAAGTGATACAGTCCATGATATTGATCCGTTGATGGGATGTGCAACGACTCTATATCCTCTCATGAGTCGGGTCGCGAAGCTGATCCAGCATGTGCGGAAGAGCTCGTCGAACACGGTGTCGGTTGTGGCTCAAGCTATGGAACTCAAAGCTCTTGTCGAGCAATGGGAGCCCCCGCGCTGGTTTGAGCCACCAGATGACCCTAACTCTGAGGTTCAGCATAGCATTCAAGTTGCACATGCCTATCGCTGGGCTATGTTGCTTTACCTGCATCAGGCCGTTCCAGAGATACCCTCCGAGCCGGCCGATGAACTGGCAAAGAGGGTCCTGATCTTGCTTGCCACTGTTCCCTATACCTCCAGGACTACTATCATACAGATGTTCCCTCTCCTAGCAGCTGGCTCTGAGGTTGACACCGACGATGACCGAAAATGGGTCTTGGATCGATGGACCACAATTCAGTCTCGCTTAATGCTAGGTGGCGTAGACCGCTGTTTAGAGGTGTTGAAGGAAGTCTGGGAACGCCGCGACGCAATGAATGCCAGAAGAGAGCGTGAAATGGCTAGTTCGCGACGTGCCGAGTCATTTTCATCCGGAGACAGGGAGAAAATGAGCTCATCATTGCCAACCGATTTCTGCAAATACAGTCTCAATGGTTCCCACAAGAGACCAACAGGAGGAAGATCCGGGAAACCTGCATCGAGGTCTGCGCGACGGGGTTCTGCACTCGCGTCGCTTGAAAACATTGAATTTGAAAGAACTGTGCGTGGCAAACTGCACTGGGTGAATGTTATGGCTGAGTGGGGATGGGAAGGTTGGTTTGACAACTGGCAAACTATTTCATCCAAAAGCTAACTATGCAATTCATAGTTTTCCTTGGCTAGCTCGGCAGCAATAGCCCAAATCTTGGTTGCAAGTCTGGGTGTCGAGCCAAAAGAATCTATTATTCTTTGCGTCCTAGCCTGCTGTACTAACATGACGGCTAACACGGCTAGCAGTCTGAGTTCTTGTGCTTTCCCTGGTTTTTGTTATTATTTCTCATTCATGTGGTTCTTATTTCTTTGTGATAAGGTTGAAATTGTACTATGCAGTCCTGACTTGGTGTTGCCTTGAACCAGCGCGGCGTCTAGGGATCTGTTTCTCTTGTTGATGACTTATGACAACGAAGCTTTTGTTTGTGATTTCGGATTGAGACTCTTTTTCTGCAACCTTGATCTACTCTCTGACTACAAATTATGGTTGATCTAGGAACTAATATGTCCACCATGATGATTCTTTCTTTGGCTTCCACGCTTTTATTCAGCTTTCCAAAATACGCGATACCCCCATTCCGAAACCCCCCAAGCAACTGTCCACCGGCACCCAATTTGAATTTCCAGTAATACGGAAACATGACCAGCTCTATCAAAGCTCTAGCCACATCGTCCTCATTGCCACATCCACCGGATACATCAGCTCGCTCGGCCATCATTACCCGTGTCGGTGTTTAGCACACCTCTATGCCCGGAATACCCACCTACCAACCCTGATCATCCAACGCAATCAGTAAGCCACATTTGCCTTCGTAGGCGCTACTCAGCAAGACCTCGTCCGATATTGTCCCTACTGCGAAAATGTAAACATGCCAGGAACCTATATTTTCGGAGAGACCATTCTCTGATTCTCATGACAGTGTCTGTGATACCCAAGACCCCGGCTTCCCTTACGCGCAGAGGAACTATGTCCTCAGTCGGATTCTTGGGTGGATTGGATATTGAACCATTTCGTGATACAATATGTCCCGGTCCTGATAAAGAGTGCCATATCAGGTGAGTCTGCCTAGATGTTCAGCCAAGTATGTCTTTGACTAGCTAATGCTGCTTTCCGGGCATTGCTGTTGGCTCTAGGATCGACAAGCAGAACCTCTACGACTTCTTGTCCGAGACTAATATCGGCCTAAAGACTATCCCGGACGAAATAGTATTCGGCTTTGAAGATTCCCAGGCTGCGTTCGATTACCTGAATCGGCCAAGCACATGGGCAAAGATGTGGTCAAATTATGGTTTTGAGGGCCACAACAATCTACCAGTATTCGCTCATTCCCACTCTGGGGCATTGGGAATTCGTTAAAATCCGATAAATAGCTACAGGTATTTGATTGTTGGTGAGTGTCCCTAGGGCTAGAGGCGACTACTCCCCAAGAGGCCCCACCCGTGGACTGGCCCATAACTGATTTGTAAGTTGAGAGTTCTACCGAGGTAGAAGTTTCAAGGTTCACATTTATGTACAGGATAATTTACAATACAACATAGGTGCATAAAATCCAGATCCCCCTCAATAAGGGAAAGCAAACTGCTCAGCCTTTGCACCAAGAATAGGTACGAAATCTTCACCCTCGCAAATCTTCATAGCCTTTTGATAAGCAGGCCGGTCACCAACACGCTTAAGATAAGCCAGAATGTTCTTATGCTTCTGCTCATCAAACTCAATGGGGCAGAATCCTCGCATGGTGGTGAGAGTACAAATCGCCATGATATCCGCTGCGGTGACGTCATTCCCAACCAGGTAGGATCCGGTTTTACCGAGTCTCGCCTCAATCATTGAGAGCGCACGCTCTAGTTTCGCATTGCCCATCTTGACGTGCACTGCTTCCGGGTCGTTGGTCAGGCGCCGGGTCATCAGTACACGGAACAAGGCTGGCTGCAGGGAGGCATTCGCCCAGTGGTACCACTCCAGGAATTGGACGTATTCCTCGCCATCTTTCGGTGTGCGCGCGAGACGGCCCTCTCCGTAGGCGGCAATAATGTAGTCTATGATAGCGCCTGATTCAGCGAGCACGACCTTGTTTTTCGTAAAGGGGGAGTTGTCGTCTTCGATCACCGGTGCGGTGCCGGAGGGATGCAGGTCTTTGATTGATTGCGGGGAGAATATGGGGTCGCGCTTGTGGAAGACAAAGTCATATTTGATGCCAAGTTCTTCGGCGAGCCAGACGATGCGCTCTGACTGTGAGCGGCCAAGGTGGTGGATTGTCAGCGGCATCTTGGTTTGGGAATGAGAAGCAAGGAGTGCTGGTGCTATTGGCGAAGTGGGTTCGGAATTGCAAAAATTGGAATGGAAATTGTGTTGAGAGATATGAAGCCGAGCTTTATTTGCTGAAGATGAACCCAAAGTATTTATACTTCCTGCATGCATAGGATGGTCGGGATCGTCGGAGGAATCGTCGGAGATATGGGCCGTCTCCGCTTTACCTCCACCGAGGTTAGTCAAATTCGTAGCTCTGGACCACCTCCACTCGGATAGCTCAATTGCACGAGTCATGGGGCGATCCGCATTTTTGGCTACAGTAGGTACATATGTAGCTACCAGTATACACTAGGTACATCGATGAGCAAACGATCTTCCCCTTATGGGGCCCCCAAACCCTACTGCCCCATAACAATCATAACGAAAAACCATTCCGCTTCTGTCAAAGAGTCCCCAGGAGGAATCATGGCTAAGATTACTTTTTAGTGCGTCTTTTCCCTCATGATTAGCGCGTGTATAACTTACTTGAACACTGAGAATCAGCAATACTGGCACTTGGCGTTGATCTGCACCCCCTGGACGATGTTTTTCGGTGCCGGAGTCTTGCAGAATCTACCGCGACCAGATGGTCTAGTTTTATTGCCGCTTTCGTATTCCACGTTTTGGTACGCACCGCATTGGTACTTCACCTCCTGGTACACATGTCCACAGACAGTCGAGTAGTAGACATACCAGCCGCAAGGGCAGCCGCTTGGGTTTTGAAGGCTGTTGACTAGACGATCGCCGACATCAGTTCCCATTTTATCCGGTGAAATTTGCGATGTCATGTTGATCAGAGAGCTTTGGACGGATATATAGGAAGGATAGAAATAGGTGGTAGAATGGTCGAACGACAGTTTGACGAATTAGACTCAAATAGGAATGTCCAAAGAAAGGAATTTGTTTGATTTCTGTACAAAGTCTTCTTTGCACAGAAATCTTGGACGTGGCTGTACTACTTATAGTTAGCTTCCGAGTACACTGATTATGTCCAGTTCAATCCAATCACACTTCATGCATCCTTTTGCGCGCAGGAATTTATTCTACATAATATGTAGTCAAATGTGATTCCCCCTGGGGGCCAACTAAGAATATCTAGACTCCACTTACCACTTGTCGACCAATACGTGCTACGATTTAAGGGCTTAGTTTGTCTAGTTATGTATGAGGCTTAAAAGCGACTAGGAAAACTAGCGGTGAAGAATTGTTATTGGATAGGTGATCCTTTGAAGACGCATCAAAGTGGGGGATACATAAAGCATGGGTATTTTGCTAATACATTTACATATCCCCCAGCGCTTGACGGTGTCTGAAATGATCTTTCCAATCACCTAGGTACATAGCTACCGTCGAAATTAGTCGCTCGCCCACATTTCCAAATCAACATTACACAAATCACCTGTTTCCTTCAATTTGCCATGATCAACCCTCAAGACAGATTCTGGTCCGATGGCGGGGCCTGCTACGGCTCGAGCGAAAACCCTGCCTCCGATTGTTATTATAATATCTGGGATTGGGATCAACTGCGGATGATCTAGGTCAAAGGCACCGCCAAGCTGTTTCCACCCGACGGGGATATAGAGCTTTCAATTTTGGCGCCATTGGCTGATTTTCTATCACCGGAAGTTCGCGCAATCATATTCGATGACGATGGGCTCCTCACTGATATTTCGACGGACCCGGAAGAGGACGAGACTATGTTTATTGCGTATCCTCCCGTCTCGCTCTGTGGGTCGCTTAGCGATTGTCGTACAGTTCAGTACTCTACACTCCAATAGCTCGATCGACTTGGACCATTTGTTGATCTTGTGTCGTACTAAGAGCAGTCCGGGATTCCTCGAAAGGTTGCTTTTAGTTTAACGCCTTATACAAGCCTTTAAGACTACAAACGGCCTGGGATGAGCTTAACATTCTGAAAAGTCTACCGTCACATCCTAACATAGTACCATTTGATCGTGTTGTCCTTGAGGAGTCTCGGGTGATTGGATTTACAACAAAGTACATCCCAGGTGGAACTCTCGCCAATTCAAAGGTCCTTTTTCGATTCGAGTGGCTGCAGCAGCTTACTCAACTCGTGGATTTTCTCAACCTGGAATATGGGATCATGCATCAAGATATTGCACCCCGGAATCTACTTATCGATCCTTCCACACATAAGATTCTTCTCTTCGACTTCGATCGGGCTGCATCCGGAGAGAAAAACCTATGCGACGGTCGGGATGATGTTAGTAGCGTTGTGTTCACACTCTATGAGCTTATCACGAATGATACGTCCTTCTCGGGTATCCCCCACTGGGAACGAAATATGGATGTGGTGCAAAGTATGTCAAAGTGGACTAGCCATCTCGAGCTGGGCTCGGAGGTATTGAAATTCCGCAACTTTCTGAACGAATGGGTAGCAACAAGAAGATCCGACGTGGACGGTGACATGAACGATATCTGAATGCACCATACCGACTTACGTTGCCGGAATTCTCGACAATGCCCGAGTATAGTGTACCCCTTGAGTCGGGCACAATAGATGGAAAGCCAAGATGGGTAACGGGCCATCGGTATAGAAGGACGGCAATGAAGCAGAGGCAGTATTGTTTTCGCTGGGAGAGAGCACCACAGAGCCGCTTGTTGAACAAGGTTGAACATAGTGTCAAATAGTCAATATTGGAAAGCGGCGGGTGGAAAAAAGTGTTCTGTCGCATTAAATAATATCAAATGTCGTAGGCTTCGGCTGAAGAATTGTTTCCCCCTTGGAATCGTCAATTCGGCAGGTCCTTATATTCTTGTGAGACCGCAAGAAAGAAAAGAAAGGAATTAGTACATTGGGTGGAGATCACATTGAGACGTAGCTTCATTAGCGAGACATCCTTTTAGAAGCTGACAAGGTTAGGACCGTGACCCAAAGTTGCCCCGAACAGAGCGAGAAATGGCTCCTCCCTCCGGAAGCACCAGAACGGTGGCTGTATCACGAGTGGGACTAGGAACGCCGACCCAGAAAGAGCGGCCCAAGGGGAGCCGGGCAACATGCAATAAAGATAGACTGCCAAGACTGCTGTTGGTTGAAAAGTGGCCTCCACAAAAGACTACTACACGAGACGAGGCATCTTCACAACTAGCACTCGATGCAGTCAGCCGATACAGTTCAAAACGAGGCCATTATCACATAGCAAACACCATTATTTGTTAAGCAACATATAACCCGACCCCAACAAACGGTTTCTATCTAGCCAGTCAGTAGGCACATAATGTGCGAACCACAACCTTGGAACTCATGGCCAGTCGCACCAAAGCGAGAGCAGTAGCCAGGCCAATCAATAAAAGAATGATGGACAAAGGGGGTGGGGAGTACTTATCAAAGATAGGGTTAGAAGGTTTAAGGGGGAAAGAACAGGAATGTCAAAGTAGAGAGATATCTAGGTATATGTAACCGAGCACTTCCTTCATCCCATCTTGGCCTACGGGGACCACTAAGGAAGGTTGAAGGTTGTTCCCCCCGCTGTTCGTTTTTTGTGGCACTTTTCTTGGGCACACTTATCAAGAGCCTCTCCTAAATTACGATAATATATGTAAAACAGGCATGCTTTTATTGTTACCCTGGATCAAATATATTATAGCTACATACATATGTCATCTACCTATCTGTCTCACCAGCGTTCTCAAGCTCTGTGAGTATTGAATGATTGCCAGTGTTCGAGTGACTGAAAGCAGGACTCTTGCCTAGATCCGTTCAACCCCTGCGACAACCTTATTCATGCTATCGACATTGCTATCATTTGCAGTGAAATGGCAAGGTCGTCGATGGCTGTCAAGAAACATGCCCTGCATAATATCTCTCAGATGGTCCGATATTGCGAAATAGAACGTCTTCGTTGCCACCCCATTTGGGTATGAGCATACCCAATTATTCCTCGGATTCGTGGACTTTCTTCAGGAACCACGCAACACAGATGAAACTGGATGTACCAACACGGCTGACACCTCGGGCGTGCTGCTCGATGTTATACTTCACTGATAAAGCAAGATCAGCATGAAGATGCGAGATCAAACCAAAGGATTGTATGGCTTATTATTCGCGGTGTTGATTTTGATCTTTCTGCCCGTGAGCTCACGGCTGTTGGACTCAGAACTGAAAATGAAATGACGGACACCGGCTTCTGCTGCTGCATCCGTAGCTGTCTGTCTTTCCCAAGTCAAATTTGGTGTCTCTTTCTTTGATCAACGGTATGTCTGTTTAGTACGCCTCTGGTAGATTGTCAATTGCATCGCTCTTACCCTATGTCGTTACTATAGTATACCAATATGCAAGATGATCTCTGGGCTCCCCTATAGAGTCGACTGGTTATTATTTTCCTGTTTCTCAAAGTTCGAGCATCTTATGTATGCCAGTAGTTCTTCTCATTATGAACATATTATGCCAAGCATTAAAAGAGGAGAAGCTGGCAAGCCAGACTGTGGTTCTGGGGTTGAGGTGATGGGGAAGGGCTAACCGCATCAAGTAAAGGAATCCTCCCGACTCAGATTGTACTCAACTACGCAATATTATCAAACGAAGTAGACTCATAGTCTTTGACATCAAAAATTATCTAGCTAAGCAATACTGTCAAAACTTGTCGGTAGTTTTTTCTCCATTAATAACAGCCTCTCCACCCTACCATTTCAGGTCCTTATCTCAAGCTTCAAGCTTCCCCTCATCACTCGCAAGCCCCTCAATCTCTCCGGACTTCCTCCCAACCCATTCTCTGTTGGACTGCCTAGTCAGGACATCGGATCCGACTATAGTCTTTTGTCTGGATTGAGTTGCCCTAAGTTTGAGGGAGTTTTCTTTCTGAATGGCATCCCCTCATTTCATGCAATGGCAGACTGCGGCAATATTAGTATAAAGAGTAGAGGCAGTCCTCGAGAACTGAATGGAATATCGATTTATTTCTATATTACATAAGTCCTTATAGTCACACAGAGTCCTCCAACCATGGCACTTCCCTTCACTTACCACGCCAAGGCGCAATCCACCTTCAAGCCGCCGCTTATCGCAAATGAGAACGCCTTCTTGGGTGATGTGCAATCAAGGTATGGCTGATACATAGTGTGTGTGTTAGTAGGCAATTTTGCTGACACACTACAGCGAGAACGAGAACCCAGACAAGCCCATGTCATGCGGCTTTTACCGACTGGAAAAGGGCACACCCCTCGTCTACACCTACACCTACGACGAAATGAAGATTATTGTCGAGGGCAAGTTCGAGATTGCGGACGAGACGGGCCAGAAGGTTACGGCGACTCCGGGCGATGTGTTTTATTTCCCCAAGGGGGCCAAAATCACCTTTACGACGGATGACTATGGGCTGGCGTTCTATGTGGGTACCCAGGGCTGAATTCTGAATCTTATTCAAGGAGACTAACGAAACCAGACTGGCCAACGGAAGCAGGGTGCTGCGTGAATAATAGAATACTATACGAGAAATTAATTTTATTTCTTTTTTAAAAAAAAACACTTTTGGGGGTTCCCTGGTTGTGATTGCCAATTATCGGGGTCCCCGTGCCTTCAATCCATGGAACACTCAGCTGTATTAGGCTAGGCCTTCCTAATCGGGTAGTTTGCTTATATCCCTTGCGATAGCTTCAAGATTCCAACATGTGATTGCACAACCCCTACTCTATGGATTATCGACATACTGAGTACATACATATGTACATATGTAGGTATTGACCGGACAATTATTGCTTATTCCCTGGACACGGACCGGGATGTGCGACATTCGCTAGTCTCATTGGATTATGCAAAAGTCAAAGAGTGTCTGACCACATCCACCAGGTGGCGGTTTCATGTTTCGACTCCATACTAGAGTCGATCCCACTTGAAAGGAATCGTCAAAGGATAATTAGCGATTGGAAGTGGAGATGATGTTCAGCTCGCCTCGATAAACTCATCCACTTAGCTGGGATTTGCTGGGATTTAGGCGGCTTAGTTTGAGTGTGTATGACGTGGGGAGAGTTGCTACAGCAACTCTGTGAGGAAGGGAGGGGGTATCGGGATGGAGTGGATTGTAGAATTGAGAATCAAGATCCGTTCGATCTTGGTGGAGAGTGATCGGCTTTGAAATAATAAACATAAACCTTCAATAATTCCCGAGACAAGGGGATTTTCTTCTTTTCTTTTTCCCTGTACAAAACGTCTTCGTCACTTTGCCTTTGTTCTTGTGTTAGTGCCCATTAGTTCCGGCCTTATCACAGGGGGTCACAACCAACCCCTCTATCGCTCCTCCATCAACACCATGGCTATTATTTCAGAGGATCATCTTGGTCTACGACTCCCTAATCCACCACCCCTGTTGCATACTCGTGGTCAATTCGATCGACCCTCTACTCCTGCCGATGGCTTTACCAGTCCCCCACAGACCCCCCAGGGTAGCCCCAGCAAGTCAAGATTGCCTCCGGGCGCACTCGATCTACCCAATGTCTTCGACAAGGCATTGAAGTTGACTCCCACTTCTCCTTCCAAATCGACATACAACCACTACAATCATCCAATGTTCTCTGCCGGCAAGAGTGGCGAGGACTTCAACGAGAGCGTTATCCACCAAACCCCTTCGAGCCCAACGCGTAGAGCCAACAAGGAGAACACACCCCCCAACCCGACGCGTCTAACAAAGGACCTGGGATCAACCCCAACTGCTGCTGCCCTTTCACGTCAAGAACCATACCAACCACGCGATGAGACGACCAGGCGCCAGGTCCAGATGCGCGGCCTTACCCCCGAGGAAATGGAGAAGCTCGCACAGCCCAAAGTGAAGCGCCTTGTCAATGTGACCCAACTCTGTAAGCGCGGCCCAGCCCAACAATTTTAAGATAGCTTGACTGACTTATGCATGACAGACTTCCTTGACCATTACTTCGATCTCCTCAGCTACGTTCACAATCGCCAAACCCGCCACACACAATTCAAAGCCGCATACCCCGACCCCCCTGCTACCCCTGACGAAGAGCACGAACCCGCCCTCCTAAAATACCTCGGTCGCGAGCGCGCACATTTGCGGAAGCGTCGCACACGCCTCCGCCAGGGCGACTTCCAGATTCTGACTCAGGTTGGCCAGGGTGGGTATGGACAGGTGTATCTGGCACAGAAGAAGGATACGCGGGAAGTGTGCGCATTGAAGGTCATGAGCAAAAAGCTGCTTTTCAAATTGGATGAGATTCGTCATATCCTGACCGAGCGCGATATTCTCACTGCGGCCAAGAGCGAGTGGCTTGTCAAACTACTCTATGCCTTCCAGGATGATACGCAGATCTACTTGGCCATGGAGTATGTTCCTGGTGGAGACTTCCGCACGCTGCTGAATAACACTGGTGTTCTCCATAATCGTCACGCGCGCTTCTACATTGCTGAAATGTTCAGCTGCATTGACGCGCTCCATGTGCTGGGATACATTCACCGTGACTTGAAGCCCGAGAATTTCCTGATCGATTCCACGGGCCACGTCAAGCTGACTGATTTCGGTCTGGCGGCTGGTATGCTGAGCCCGGGCAAGATCGAGTCGATGCGCGTTAAGCTTGAGGAAGTCGGGAACACGCCTGTTCCCTTCGGTCGGCCCATGGAACAACGTACAATGGCCGAACGACGACAAGGATACCAGTCTTTGCGCCAGCGGGAAGTTAACTACGCCAAGTCGATCGTCGGCTCGCCAGATTACATGGCGCCGGAAGTTCTCAAGGGCGACCAATACGATTTCACAGTGGACTACTGGAGCTTGGGATGTATGCTGTTCGAGGCATTGGCAGGCTACCCGCCCTTCGCAGGTGCGACAGTCGAGGAGACATGGCAGAACCTGAAGCGCTGGCAGAAGGTGTTGCGGAAGCCCGTCTACGAGGACCCGAACTACTTCCTGTCACGGCGGACGTGGGATCTCATCACGAAACTGGTTGCTGGGAAGGAGCAGCGATTCAAGAATATCAAAGAAATCCATGCGCATGACTATTTTGCCGAGGTCGACTTCGAGAGTCTGCGTGATCAACGGGCTCCGTTCGTGCCTGAACTTGATTCCGAGACTGATGCCGGGTACTTTGATGATTTCAGCAATGAGGCAGATATGGCCAAGTACAAGGAGGTCCATGATAAGCAGCGCGCGCTGGAGGATATGGCTGATCGCGATGATAAGATGGGCAAGGGCTTGTTTGTTGGGTTTACTTTCCGGTATGTTCGTCCCGAATCCATCCCAAATGGCTTTCCTTTGTATGATCGTTCTCTTACTGACCATTCTAGTCACCGCAAACCCGCCGTCGACAGTAACGGCCGCAGCAGCTCCCCACGGAAGCCCATCGCGACGGATGGCACGTTCGGGACAATGTTCTAGGTTCCTGACCAAAATCCAGATTTTCACATTCATATTCGGTCAACCTTTTTCTCTTCTTACGTTCCCGTTGGCGCGTGCGGGACTCCGAGCTGGATCTTGGTTTCCTTGTGCCAGAAGTCCCAGTATTGAGTTTAATGGCTCAGCTTTTCGTCCTTTTTCTTCTTTCTGTTTTAACTTCAACTTCATTTTCACCTTGCAACTTGCAACACGATACTTCTTCTCGACTCGTTCTAGTTTTATGATGCGCGTGGAGTTGTGGAATTCGATTCTTGTGTATGATACAGCCATAGACCAAAAATGGCGTGGTTCCCCTGTCTTCTACTAGTAATGGTTTCATTGTATGGAATATGGAATATGAGTTTGAGTTCGACCGTGATCAAATACCGAGTAGACTATATGTAGCACATATATCTTCTAGCAGTAAAGTATCGACTCTTTTAGTTTGCAGGAAGCTGGCGCACCATGCGCAGGATCTCGGACTCGTTGTCTCCAATGACAGCGCGGCCATTGACCCAGTCAACGGTCTGTAGAGTAGAGTATTAGCACAACACATCCAGACAGATCTCCGACATAGCGGTAGAAGAAAGGAAGAGGTCGAACATACAATAGGTCTCACGAAAGTCTCATTATCCTCCTTGAACTTCTTCAACGCATCCTCCGCATCGCGGGCGCCCTTCACTAGCTCCGCAACACCATACGTCACCTTCTCACCCTGACCACCAACACCGCTGACGGGCGAGATGTAGTCGAGGATACTGCGAAGCTGGTCTGTTGTCGGGGGCTCGGTGGAAACCTCGAGCTCGAACTCGCCGCGCTGTTTCTTTGTGTGGTTGGAGTGGTCGCTAGCCTGGTCTTCTGTGGCGGTTTCTCCGGCGGTCGCGGAAGCTTGTTTCAGGATGTTGAGGGTTCGAGTTGATGCTTGGATGGAGGGGGAGTGGAAGAGGGTGATGGGGTCGAGGGTTTTGCGCTGTTTGCGTGTTAGATGGTGGTTTGGGAGCTAGGGGAGGATGGATTGGTGGGGTTGGGAGTTGGTGTAGGTGAACTTACGAAGCGGAACATCTTGACGATTTGGATATTTGCAATTGGAGGGGTTGTGGTGATAGACGCAGGTGGAATGGAGGGAGGTGGAAGAATTGGAGTTAGCTTTGGCGGCAGTCCCTGGATGATGTCATGTGCTGTGCTGGCTCGGGTCGTCTCGGGCTAAGCTACGTTGGTCCGAATGAGTCAACTACTCTTGACTGAAAATACGCTACGGATTACTAGGTTCAGAAACGCCGTTGGGGATATGGAATATATTTCTATGGCCAGGCGTCTGGCGCATAACGTAGAGCGATGGCATCCCTATGTCCATCCAACTCTCACCTTCCCGTTTTGAGAAGGATTTTGAACATGTCTCAATGCCTCGGACTCTACGGAGTACCTTTGCGGCATATCTTCTCGCTGCTTAATTCTGTCCCCATGTAGTCGATTGGCCCGATTGCGTGGTAGGGCTGAGCGATGCACCCAATGCGGTTAAAAACACAGGCTGTTGGGGAGGGCGCCGAATGTGGGGGGTGCGTGGTATTGTACCTCGCTCGCTGGAGGCGAGTATCAGACTCTCACCTCTGGTAGATGCCTTTAGCCATGTCTGCATATACTTGTTAGTGCCTGTCTAAGGTGTCAATTACACCAGAAGATAAACATACCCTAGCAATTAAAGAACAAACTTTAGGTTGTAAGTTCTCCCCTCATAAACCAAAGTTCTCAACATGCAAGTAGATTCCCTGCGCGCCAGTTCCCTTGTGCACGGCTCGTTCATCGCTCAGAGAAACCACGCTACGGCGGACATCGTCTGCTAAGCCACGAGGTCCACACACAACCACGGCGCTCTCTCCTTCGGCTTTCTCCAGGACCTTGCGGATGATAGTTCGTGGCGTGGGACGACCAGAGACAATATTGGGATGAATGATTGTTTTGCTTGTGGGGTCTTCAGACCGAAGGGACTTCATATCCAGAGCAGCCTTCTCAGGCTGAACAGGTGCTGGGCCGGAGCAGGTACAGGCACAGGTGGTATTGATATCCTCGTCTTCGATTTGGGTAGTGCAACAGCAGCCTCCACCGGGAAGACACCCGCTACCTGTGGCCACGGGGCCTGTGGTCGATGTCGACTCAGCAGAGAGAGAATGAATTGAGATATCGTCTTTCTCAGAGATATCCTTGGCTTCATCTTGGATAAAAGTCTCCAGCGTAGGAGGAGACATTGTCTGTAATGGTAGTGAGACAGAGATAGGCGGATCTAGCTTTTCATCGCATGTGATATAAATGCTAACTTCAATCTCCTTCTCGAAATTTGAATGCGTGCGTCGACACTCATCCACGTCTGCCAGCAACGACTGCAGTTCGGAATCAAAGTAAGTCAGCTGAGAACGTGATTTAATTACCCAGACAAAACGCAACCGCTGGGTGGCTGTTAGACGAGCGATACGGGCGGGTATGTGCTCCTTGCTGCCGTTGCTCTCCATCTTCCACGCTGAGACAACGTCCCGCAGAAGAGGTATCGTGAATGTCGCACCCATGCCACCTGCCAGCAATATAACACTGTCAAATTGACGCAAGGGCCGGATGCTTCCATAAGGCCCTTCGATAAAAACTGTCGTATCGGACATCCGTGCCACTTGTTCATCCCCAAGTAGACCATTGCTCTTTGAGGCGTACCGGAAAAACCGTCTTGTTCCCCCATTCTCGGCGCGGATGAAGAACTTCATCTTATTATCTTCTGGGATGGATGCGATAGTAAATGGATGACATTGCAATGGAACGACAGAGTGGCAAGTGAGGAAGACATGCTGGCCAGGTTGCCACCCGATACCGGGGTTTTCGATGGTAACGCAGGTGACATTGCCAGGTAGCGGAGTAAACGTAGCCGAGTGTGCCCAGAGCGCATTTGTCTTATTCTTTCGGTGGAAAATGGCCAAGTTTGCATATGCACCCCAGGTGTAGCGAGCGAGCCTATCGAAGACCACAAGACCAATTGGGATCCATACCCAGATCTTGACTTCATCAGGTGCATGCATCCACACCGCAACAATAAAGCCAACAAAGGTGACTAGATGCTGGATGACAAAGAACTCATAACTGAGCCGACGAATTGGAGCGAAGGAAGTGATCACAATAAAGGTCAGGATAACCCAAGCGGCAAATCCACGCTTCGTCAACGGATCGTTATAAAGCTGGTAGGTGATATAATTCCAGCGAGCCCAATTGCGGAACCAGAATCCCATATGGATGGTGGTAGTCAACCACAGTGTCCGCGCGACCCAGCGATGGTACCAATTCAAACTGACATAGCTCATTCCTGCCAAGAACCCAATAATGTTCTGTCTGCCTGCCAGCAGAAAGATCAGTGGCAACTGGCAAATGGCAATGAAACCAGTGCGGTAGCCGACGTTCTCCCATGCCCATGGATCCAGGGTGTCCAGCTTGTAGAAACAAAGGACCATGACTACCACCAAGTTGGCTAGCATGATGAGAACGCGGCCAAGTGGCGGGAAATGGAGGGTCAATCCTCCGAGTCGAAGCGGTCGTGGAGTCGCATAGCTGACTTCGCGGGCTGTTGCTGTGATGGTGGCGTAGATATTGAAGAAGAGTGATTTTGGTTTGGCGGGCGTGAGTGAAGAATCTCGCAAGCTGATTGTTGTTAGTCAAGATCACCGGATGTCAAGGTTGAACATACCGATGGCTAGCAATAACGCGATCCAGCACGTTAACAAGAGTTGCTGCACCGATTGCACTTCCCACGACAGCCCAGTACATCTTCTGTAGGGTGAACAGACTGGGAACGCCATCGCCCATGGACATAGAGCCCGCAGGCATGTCGCCCATCGACATGGACATCTTGTGCTGGAGTTGTAATAGAAAGCATGAGATTGAAGCCGACAACGCACCAAACCCAAGTGTCCACAGGTATATGGATACTCACGTCACCAATGGCAGGGCAGATTACCAATATTATGCTCATCCGTGCTCATCTGGTGAAGGTGGGTCAAGCCATGTGGGCACCGTTTTAGTGGCCCAATGCGTCAATGCCCGCAGGTGTGTAACTTCATGTTTCTTAATTTCTTATGTTTCTTATGTTCTTTTTTACATTTTGATTCTCCCATTCTCTCCCTCATCAATCATGGAAGGCATGGATATGGGCAGCACCAGCTCGAGCTCACACAGTATGAGTTCCTCAACGGGCTCTATGAGCATGGCTATGGTATTCAAAAATAGCCATGACACGCCGCTTTTCTCCAATGCTTGGACTCCTTCATCCTCCGGTAGCTTTGCGGGCACATGTATTTTCTTGATTATTCTCGCTATCATCGACCGATGCCTCATCGCTTTTAAAGCAACCATGGAGCGCCACTGGCTCGCCACACATCTCAACCGACGATATGTCACTGTGGTTGGGAAAAGCACCGAGGCTGGCAAAATTGACGCCGACCCGGACGCGAAAGTCGCATCTCTTATCACCGCGCAGGGCGTTGAGGAGTCAGTCAAAGTTGTGCACAACATCCCTCATGGGCCAATTCCCTGGCGGTTCAGCGTTGATTTACCGCGGGCATGTCTGTTCCTATGCATTGCGGGAGTATCCTATTTACTGTATGTTCTAATATCTACTGGTATTGATTGGATGAATGCTAATATCATGTCTAGGATGCTAGCTGTCATGACTATGAACATCGGCTATTTCTGCTCGGTGCTTGGAGGCGCTTTTCTCGGGGAATTGGCGGTCGGACGTTTCATTCAAACCAATGAGCATGGACACTGATCATTTTATGCATGTCGATATTATTTATGACCTTGAGCAACATCTGTCTGGCGTTTGGGAATATCATTTTGGGGATAATATAATATGAATTGACTTGACTCTGAATTGTTCTCATAAATCTCTGATTTTCCCTCCTCCATTCCACTCGAATCCTTCATCGCTCTCTCCGGCCCTAAGCGGTCCAGAGCTGCATGCAACCATATGACTAAGCCCTGCGCGCGCAATTGAGCTAATTTACTAACCATATTTGGGCTAGCCCTACGGGTAATATCCACTTTTAGCGCTAGTGTAAGGCTTTAATTTACCTTTGAGCAGGTATGGTCCGAGTTACCAAAACAGCAGGTCCATGCCATCATAGATGAGAATAGTCTGAGATATGACCATTGTCGAGAAATCGGAAGGTGTGCTACAGTGTGGTTAAGAGCCGATGTATAATTATCAGGTATAGCGTGGCAAAGAAGCATCAGGAAGTGAAGTGCATAGCCTGGGAGCCTAACGGATCACTTCATAGAACAGGAGGTTGTCGGAATGTGCCGACCTCGGTAAGCATGCACATCTCAAAGGGGAAAGGGTCATGATTGCAGATATCTCGGATCCCACGGGGCTTCGCGGGTGGACCCTCTTTTTTTTCAAGTCCCGCTAACTCCCTCACCTTGTGTATGCAGAGCTCGTATAGAAGGGTTCAAGGAGCTGAGTTCTCCCACTTTTTCTAGCACATTATTTCCTGTATAATTTAATTTCTCGACTTTATTTCTTTCCTCCTTTTCAACCCTCCAACAACATACTCACAATGAAGTTCTCCCTCCTCGCCTTCACGGCCATCGTGCCATTGGCCGCCGCACACTTCAAGCTGATATACCCAACCTCTCGTGGCTTCAACGAGGATACCATGCCCAATTTCCCCTGCGGTGGAATGGGCCAGTCCTCTAATCGCACCAAGCTACCACTGTCTGGTGGCTCATTCCCCGTCGCTCTTGAGATGCACCATGCCCAGACTGCCGTCGAGGTCCTTCTTGCGCTGGGCAGCAATCCGGAAGACAACTTCAACATTGTCCTCACGCCAACTTTCAGGGTCACCGGCCTTGGCGAGTTCTGTCTTCCTCACGTCGAGATCAATCAGAAGCTGATCGGCCGTAATCTCACCAATGGAATGAACGCTACCCTTCAGGTACAGACCAATGGTGACCCAAGCGGTGGTCTCTATGCTGTATGTTCTCTTCTCATACTTCGTCCATTTTGGCTCTTTGTTGTGGTATACTAATGAAATACAGTGCGCCGATATCCAATTCTCCTCCGACGTCACATACCAGACACCATCTGCTTGTAGCAATAACACCAATCTCGCTGCAACCACCTTCCCCGAGGCTTCTGCTGCGCGTAATGCCAACGAGTCTACTTCTGAGGGTCAAGCACAAAGCGGATCCTCGTCTCCCTCCTCTACTTCCACCTCCAAGGGTGCTGCTGTGCCGATGCAAACCGCCGCTTGGGGAGTTCTTGGTGCTGCTCTCGTCGGTGGCATTGCTGTGCTGTAAAAGCTGATTCTTCGATTTCTTGCTCCATTTTTCTTTGATCTCAAGAGTTTAGCGATGCATAATGAACAATGATATCTTGTGCCCATCGTTTCCCGCTCGTAACACAATAAACACCGTATTTCTACCTATTTTATAATATTATAACCACCTTACCCACGAAATATGGTACCTGTCATAGTCTCCTAGGTATCCATGAGACATTTGCGAAGCAACTCAAACACCAAGGAATTTTGGTCAACCCTCAGACTGCACCCATTTGAAAAAGCTAAATATTCAATGATTTTTCTCCACTCAAATTGACTCAAATGCAATTTTTTTTGCATAACTAGAATGATATAAGAGACACAGCCAATAACTTGACTGTCTCTAAAGGGTACTTGCTCTCACGGATGCTTTTTTGATCTATTTGTCTTCAATTATGTAGAGGAATCAACAATACTTTGCTGATTCTTCAACGATCTTGCAAACTGACGAGTATCTGTATAATCCACTATCCCACTGTCGCCCTTCTACAGCAGTAGAGGAATGCCTTCGGTATAGTATAGAGTGTCACGTGTGCGGGTAGATTGGCCTATATTAGGCAACTAGGAAAATCGATCAGGGACCAGTCTATCCCCAGACATTCGGGGAATCCAACAAGCAAGAGGGGATTGTTTGCAAGGTGCTAGTGATATTCTATCATGGAGAACTTCGAAGTACTGCGTCCCGTTGGTAAGTATATCCCTCAAAAACAGTCGGGAACCTTTTCCGAAAGTCAACAATGCCTAACCCCAGTCAGGTCGATTGGAACAATATTCAACGTCGCGCCACCAGGTTAGGTTTTATTTAAACGTTGCTGTATCAGCAACTTATTTCCTACCAGACTCGTTCGTGCTTCCAGTCAAAGACTATGTCTATCAGGCATGCGAGGCCGCAATCGCGGAACATCCGTCTCTATCCGCCATCGTTGCAGACGATCACACACAAGACCCCTATTTCGTGCGGCTGCCAGAGATTGATCTTGACCAAGTTGTATCTTTTCAGGATAGGAAACCAGGCTTGTTAAGTACCGAAGTCGATGGCGAGCCTACTCCAGATCTTGACCTACAAACTTTGCTTGCGACCCAGCATAACACGCCTTTCAGGGCTCCAAATGCCCTTTGGAGAGTCTGTGTCCTGCTAGATATAGAGGATGAGCGGCAATTTACTGTGGCATTTGTATATCATCATGCCATTGGCGATGGAACCTCCGGAAAAGCCTTTCATCAAACCTTCCTGCGAGCCCTAGGGGCAATAGAGTCCACGGACCAAACTAACCCCATCATCAAGTCACCGCGGCTCGCTCTCTTACCAAATATCGAGCAAGTGCACCCAATGTCTCTTTCCTTGTTCTATCTTGCCAAGAAAATATTCCAGGCAAAAGTCTACTCCCGACGGCCCTCGGGTCTATGGACCGGCTCCAAGGTCCTACTCCCCACTCAAACCCGCCTGCGACTCGTGCCGTTCTCCAAACTACTTGTCTCCACAGTAAGAGACAGATGTCGACAAGAGGGTACGACGATCACCGCACTCCTGCAGACGATCGTTGCCCGCTCCATCTTCGCACACATCCCGCCTGAGTTCACGCAGCTCGCCTGCACCGGCGCACTCTCAAGCCGGCGCTGGCTGCCAGATATTATCACTGATGAGTCAATGGGCGTCTGGGTCCAGGACTACGAAGAAACCTATTCCAGGGCGGCAGTCGCGCCGTCTGACGGCTCCTTCCCATGGGCAGAGGCTAGACGGTCTCGTAAGACGATTGAGTCTGTCCTGAAAATGAAAGGGAAAAATGCTAGCACGAGTCTGCTGCAGTTTGTCGATGATTTTCAGGAAGAACTGTGCTTGTCCAAGGTTGGCAAGGACCGCGATAAGAGCTTTGAGGTGTCAAATGTTGGCGTTCTGGGCCCGCAAACAAATCCCGACCTGCCTTCTATCAAGGGGATGGTGTTTTCGCAGAGTGCCAGTGTGATGGGCAATGCCATTGAGGTGTCAGCTGTCACTGGGGGAGATGGGTGTTTGGTGCTGGCTGTCTCTTGGCAGCAAGGGGTTGTGGAGGCTGATCTCATCAATGAGGTCGTGGAGTCGACTAAGCAGGACTTATACTCTCTTGACATGGTGTGATCAATGGGGGTCATTATTACTTAGGTATAGCCTTTATAATGTTTAATACTACACCCATAGAATGAGCCCTGGGGTTCATCTTCAGATGTTGTTATCAAGGAGGCGGTGAGATGGCGATAACCTCGGCGGCAGAATCGTGGGGGAATCTACAGTTTCCTTTCACCCAATCTTCTTTTTACATCTCATAACAATCGACTTTCAATATGACTCGTGGTCCCTACATTGTTCCGGCGCTCAAGAAGCACACCGCCACTGTCATCATGGCCCACGGGCTAGGAGATAGGTAAGTGCATCGCCAGAAGATGATAAACAATAGTATCGAGTCTGACAGTGTTTGAATATAGTGGTGCCGGATGGTATGGAAATTACCATCAATTACCCAGCCTAAGCTCATGGGCCTTGCTTCTGACCATCCATTTCCAATAGGATGTCTCTTGCCCAGACCTGGCGCCGCCGCGGCAAGTTCGACGAGGTGGCCTTCATCTTCCCCAATGCGCCCGACATCCCGATCACAATTGTATGAGAGCCTCATATCTATCATCAATTGAATATCCATTGACGAAATATCAACTAGAACATGGGCAGGCCCATGCCTGGATGGTACGACATCTCGAAACTTGGCGGTGACGTGAGGCCTTCCATTCCCAAAATCCCCGAATAAACCCACAGCGCTAACTATCATGTCTTTCTATCTAGTTGGAGTTCGAAGAATTCCTTAGAACCCAGGACGAGCCAGGAATTATCCGCTCCCGCGACTACTTCAATACCCTCATCGAGCAAGAGATGGAAAAGAACATCAAGGCTTCGCGTATCATCCTAGGCGGGTTCTCCCAGGGCGGTGCGATGTCCGTGTTTGCTGGTGTGACTAGCAAGGAAAAGCTCGGCGGTGTTTTTGGTCTGTCATGCTACATGCTATTGAGCGACCGGATTAAGAACTACCTGCCCGAAGAGTGGGCCAACAAGAAGACGCCGTTCTTCCTTGCCCACGGTCTCGAGGATGAGGTTGTTCCATTCGCCTCCGGGAAGACCTCGGCGGCCAAGCTTAAGGAGCTTGGCGTAGAGAATGTTTCCTTCAACCAATACGAGTATGTTTGGTCGCTGTTGTTCCGGGTTGTGATGGTTTGCTAATCTGATATTCCTACGTTGTAGAAACCTTGGTCACTCGGCGACCCCCGAGGAAATTGATGATCTAGAGAAGTTCATTGAGAAGGCCCTTGCCACTGAAGGACAGGGTACTGCTTCCGCTGGTTTATGACTTGGTCATGATCAAAATGAGAACATTGAAAGTGGCCTTTGGGGATATACCTTGATAATGGGTTTCATGGTGCTGCTTGCTGCTGTCATCTGGTCTAGATATCAGTTGTCAAAGCAGAAACAATCCACACAGACGCATCATTAACAACCTCAACCCAGGTCCACCTTTGGGATACATAACAATGCAATTCAAATGTGGTGATAAAGCTGGTGCCGGTATCCTTACTATGTTGGCGGTTTTGACACCTATTGGTGCCGCTGCGTTCATGTTCATGTCTATATAGCATTTTCTACGCATATTTCATGGAAACCATGTATTTGAAGTGCTTTTTTCGGTAGAAGTATTATATATTCCACGCATTTTTCACACAGCCTGCGACATTAAGCATTGTGTTTTGTTGTGACCGGAATATATATATCCTTCTACACACCATATCAAGGTAATCAACAGCCCTAATCCCAGAGGTTGTCGCTCTGCAAAGATTCTGGAGCATTTTTCGCGACAAGAGCAAGACAGAAGACTGTTTATTCACACGACGTATTTTGTGGGCACTTTTGGCCCCTAGGGTCAGGGGATATTTGCACCAAACACCCAAAAATGAAGGCGGAGCCCTGAACATATTATTCAATGTTCCAGCTCATTAGCTGCCTAGAAAGCCTGTGTTCCAGGGGGTAGATGCATGAATGATTGGTATTCCGTATTGTAGGGATAAACAAGGTTTGTAGGGAAGAGGTTTCAATACTGATATAAATGTACACAGATCTGCCAGCCCCAGATTCAAAACATGACCTGTGTTGCTAACAACGACAAGCCCTCTATGGCGTATGGCTCAAACCCACCAGCTACCTGTGCTATGTTGATGACCTCCAAGTAAGGGAATTCGCCGTCCACTACCCCAGATAAAGACCTGCAACGGCATCCGACGACCCCAACGCTACAGTAGGCAATGGCATCACCTCCATGCTCACAATCATAAAACCACTTGTTATTGGATCCGGCCTGCGATTGCTAATGACGATGTAATCTGTGACGGCAGAGTTGGTACTAACCCAGTACCACATGTGGACCTTGCAACACGCAGACAGACTTGGTAGCCAAGCAGGCGGCGTGGTCCACCCGCTGCAGATGTGCGCCTTTATCCTAGCACATGGCCGATCGAACACAGCCCTAGAGTAAACCCCGAGGTGATAAGGTGTAGATATATGCGGCGTGATTGCAGTAGAACGAGATTTGCTTTTAGATTATGGTATTGAAGAAACACAGTTCAGAAGTCGGTAGTTGTACATTGATATAAGCCTCAGACATTGAGGCTGTAGATGCAAATATGAGGGAAGAGGCGCAAACGTATCGTACAGCCAATAAAAATCATGACATACACCCAGGGATACCCAAGATTGCAGTTAGTGCAGAAACTTCGGGCTCCCGAAGCCCCGGGATGAAAAAGAACAGCTGTGGGAGGAGCAATTGAGTCAATGGCAGGAGAGGCCGAGGAGGTTCGGAGATGTAGGTAGATCACATTCTCTGTGCAGGCACCGGGATCACAGATCAATGGTAGAGGCGCGACGGTTTAGTCGGGGGATCATTTTTCACCCAGCATCTCCTTGCGCATCTCCTCCCGTTGTGTCCGCGTTTGTTCCTTCTCCTGTGCGCGTTGTGCCTCCAATACTGCTTGCTTCTTGTCTATTTCTTCCTGAGCGGCGTACCAGACTAAAAAAATCGGAGTCATAACTATTAGCCACGGATGCAGATTTAGGCCTGAGCGGACCCGATTCCGCAGAGATAATCATCTCCAGGGTAAATTGCGAGTATATGACATACTGGACTTATCGGACTTGGACCACTCCTTCAGCTTGTGGACGTAGTCATCGAATTCCTGCGCCCGGCGGTCCCCCTGTTCGGCGCTGCGCTTCTGCAGATCCGGGTTATATCGCTTCCTAAGCTCCTCGTCGGAGGGTCGGATGTATTCAACAAGAGCGGGGCCACCGATGACGATGAGAAGGCCACTATGGTGAGAACCGAATTTGAGCGCGAGTCTTTTGTCACGGTGCAGGCGAGTATCACTTACCCGGCTATGGTTTTCGCCCATAATCCGGCGCGAGACATTGTAGTAAGTTCGAAGCGCGGATGCTGATTACCGATTCAAGGCTTCGGTATGACGATATGGTTCTCGGATGACTCGGGAAGATATAACTCGAGATGCTAAGACCGATGGAGATCATCAACATCATCGCGGCTCTCATTTGCTGTTGGAGGCGGCGTGGCGCAGCTGATGTGGCGCAGTACTACGCTTTGCCCGATCCAGCGTGTCTCACATCTTCCTTGTTCCAAGGTTTCTCCCCACACTTTTGTCACCTTTGTCACGTTTTTGTTGACCGTGACGTCTTAAGGAAGTGTTCCGAGACAGATATGGAGTCTGTCATGTTCTAATGTCCTACCCACTTACTTACAAATTCTATACCTCCGAGGTATCGGCGTGTTATACAACCTTGGGCAGCCCTCCAGGGGTGCTGCCCGAATGCACTGGCCCACCACGGGTGGCCACATGGTCCAGTTTAGTCATCATGGTTTGACCTTCACAAACTTCCAGGAAGGTTGTGGCAACCTGGGCAGCTGTAAGCCCTGGATTTGTATGGCAGAATGGCCAGTAGATATTACGGAGTAAGGTTACTAGGAAAGCACAATTGGATGCCAACAAAGTCCCGTCAGCGTTGAAATTGTAAGTGTGATGGGTTTGCAGGACGAGAAAGTCTGCAGGATCCCGGCCCCAGCTTCGAACGCCCCCCCTGATCGTCAGGCACCGAGTGGGAATGAATTAATCCCTAACCGCGGGCTTTACCATAATAGTTCTACAATATACATTGTAGCATAGGATCAAAGAGAGAGTACTCTTAAGGGGGTATATAATAATAGAAACATGGTCTATGACGGCACTAACTTTTTCATTTAAGCCCAGAAAATGTACCAATGTAGTTAGTGCAAAAGGCACAAAAGGAGATTGGATACCCATATAAAAAAGTATGGAAAGTATGGAAAGTATGGAAAAATATGAAAAAAGTGTCTGACAGTGTGGGTCAAGGGACTTGTCTAATTTAAAGGTCACCTGCTCCGACCGCCCCTAAATCATTCTGCCCCCGCTTCATTTACTCTCTACTTGAACTTTTGTACTGAACTCACTTCGGACCGGTGTGGCTCCTGACCCCCTCAGGTGCTTGATCAGCTTGCGACAGGCGCCTTGATCATTTGACACTGTGGTTTGGCATTGCGCGAGGTAAGGATCAGTGTGGAGTCAGGGTCGGTTGCCTTTTCAGGATATCCATGGATCAAATGGATGAGCTAACTCCAAATTGCAGCCCTGGAGCCCTGGAGTTTACCGAACCGCCCCCCTCCTTGCATGCGACTACCCACAAGATTTACATGACCGTGAACGACCCTCGACTACTCGAATCACCCCCATTGTATAGTACGGTTGTCGGCTTGCGCCATGTCATACCCCCAGCAACATCAAGCGCAGCGGCCGCCACCTTTGCGACAATACAATAATCCCCCTCCGCGTTCTATGACATCGCCAGGAGGATATTCGCAAGATGGCTCCCACGGAGGATACAGCGACGGTAGCATGAGTGGCCATAGCTACCAGCAGACCGACCCGGGCTACGACGATGCGGCATACAGTTACCATTCCAACTCCTCCAGTTCGCAACCATATGCTGCTACGCAATCTCAGCCACGCTCGATGCGCCCACCGGGCCCACCAGGCCAGGGAAATGGACGACCTCCAGGCCCTGGATACGATGATCGGCGTGGCTACCCTCCTGGCGGAAGACCACCGCCGCAATCGCGGTCAAGAACACGTATGTAAATTCAGACAGAGACCTCAAAGCGTCTGCTAACCGACTTCAAGCTGGTGGACGCCCACCCCCAGGCGGTACCTTCGATAATCCCTTTCCCTCCTTTCCAAATCGAGACCCAAGAGATCCGAGGGCGCCCAGAGACCCGCGAGACCCGCGAGACCCTAGAGGCCCTAGGGATCCTAGAGACCCTAGGGGCCCTAGAGACCCTAGAGACCCGAGGGATCGGCGCGGTCCGCCACCACGAGGGCTAGAGAAAGATATGGCTGCAATGGACATTAATGGCAGGGGCCCGCCTAGACCGCACACTTCAAATTCCAACGGAAGACGGCCGGATATGCGACAGCCACCCCCTCGCGGACCTCCCCAAGGGCGGGGCCGAGGTGGCTATCCAATGGGTCCAGTGCGAGCTGCCAGCTCAGGCAGACCAGATCGACCTGATAGAGACTATCCAGATTCTATGGGCCCGTCTATGCCTCCACTACCAAGAAGCGCAACGATGCCGCTCGCCCCAGGCGCTCCACTCTACCCAGGCCAATCGACCTACCAAGAAACAGATTACCCAAGTTCCATGGGTGAACCTCCTATGCGTCCTGATACTGCGGGAAGCATGCGATCCCCACAATCTCGTGCCCCCAACGATATAGACCCAGGCCTAATGATCCCCCCCCACTGGATTGATGATCCCGCCCGAGCCCGCCAATCGTGTTTCATATGCGCCCAAGGAATTTCTGGACAGCTATTATGATTCTGGTGCTCCTGCTGCTGATGAACCCGATATGCCTAATTTCGATGCCATGCCAGACTCTCAGAAGCGCACCCTGATTGATGAAATGGGCCTGGAAACAACACCGGTCAAGGGACCAGTCCATGTCCCTACTTCTTCACCTGGAGACTATGCGTATCCTCCCAACGGGGTGGATGCCATGCACTCCCAATCTCAACCAAATTTCCGACAAGCAGAGGGTGCCGGTGCCAATCAGTTTGAGAATGCGGGATTCCAGTTTGACATTCCTGGAGAACCTTCCCTTGCTCCCGCTTTCGACCACTCAGGCTCTGCTGGGTATGCGTCGAATGGTTACGAAGATTACGCTGCTTACTCACATGGTCCTTCCCCGGTCCGGGCCAACCAGCCAGGCTATTCCCACGACCAGGCCGACATCCCAGATCCTCACCAGAATCCTGATACTCTTCCTCACCACCCAGCCCCGTTCCGACCCGGTCATGACCAAGCGTCAAAACCTGCGCCAGTTCGGCAGTACAGCGCTCCTGAATCCATCCCAGCCCCCGCTGCTCCACCGCCAATGACGGTGCCTGGCGGAACGGCTCAGACGCCTGTCACGATCGAAGAGATACAGCGGCTCCAACAGCAGGCGCGAGCCAATCCTTCTGACCAGAAGACTCAACTTCTGCTCGCCAAAAAGCTGGTTGAGGCATCCACAGTTCTAGTAGAGGACAACAGCAGACTCGATCCGAAAACCAAAGCCAAGGCCAAGGAGAAGTATGTGATGGATGCGCATAAGATTCTCAAAAAGCTTGTTACAACCGGGTACTCTGAAGCCCAGTTTTACCTGGCTGACTGCCACGGTGAGGGCCTACTGGGACTGGAAGTTGACCCCAAAGAAGCCTTTTCATTATATCACTCTGCTGCGAAGCAAGGGCACGCCCAGTCTGCATACCGTGTGGCCGTATGCTGCGAGATCGGTCAGGAAGAAGGTGGCGGTACCAAACGTGATCCATTTAAGGCCGTTCAATGGTACAAGCGTGCCGCTGCGCTCGGTGATACACCCGCCATGTACAAAATGGGAATGATTAATCTAAAGGGACTGCTGGGTCAAGCGCGGAACCCCCGGGAGGGTGTATCCTGGCTCAAGCGGGCGGCTGATCGTGCGGACGAGGAAAACCCGCACGCTCTCCACGAGCTTGCCCTTATGTATCAGAACGCTGGCGGCAATGACATCATCGTCCGCGACGAGCAGTATGCCTCCCAGCTATTCCACCAAGCTGCCGAGCTGGGCTACAAGTTCTCTCAATTCAGACTTGGTACTGCCTACGAGTACGGCCTGATGGGATGCCCCATTGACAACCGCACGAGTATCATCTGGTACACTCGTGCCGCGGCTCAGGGTGAACACCAAAGTGAACTCGCCCTTAGTGGCTGGTATCTCACCGGCTCGGAGGGCATTCTATCGCAGAACGACACCGAGGCCTATCTGTGGGCTCGTAAGGCCGCCACCGCAGGTCTTGCCAAGGCAGAATATGCCATGGGATATTTCACCGAGGTCGGAATCGGCTCTGCTGCTAACTTAGATGACGCAAAGAGATGGTACTGGCGCGCAGCTGGTGAGTTGACTTCCCTCTGACTGTTTTTTTCGCTTTAACCTCAAGCTAACTTTTTTTCTTTCTTTTCAGCCCAAGGATTCCCCAAGGCTCGTGAGCGTCTTGAAGATCTTAAGAAGGGTGGAAGTCGAATGCAAAAGACTCGTCTCTCACGCTCGGCTGTTAACAAGCAGAGTGATGGGGACTGCGTTCTCATGTAATTGGATAGTTTCGTCCTTGTGTGGTTTGCCACGCTTTGGATATGGCTTGCAGTATGCATTTCCTTTCATGATCACCGGCGCTTTGTTTATTCCACCCCGGTCAAGAACGCTTCTCTTCTACCTCCTGGACTGCACGATTACTTTATTTTCTTATTTTCTCTTTTTCTTCTTTCCTCCCCCTTTTATTCTTCTTTTTTAACGAATGGGATGTGCATGACTGGAACGGACATGATGAAGCCAATATCCCGGAATTGGTTGTAGCATTTGTATAATAGATTGTTGAACAACTTTAATACGTGTACACTGTGTGAATATCCGAAGTCGATGCCGATGGCCCCAAGGTATCCGTAAATCCGAGCCATTGCCGGAGGGCGGATATATGGATTGTCAGCGGGTGAAATTCCGCACTGTCTCTCAGCTTATGGATTAATTTCCAATGCTCGACCTTATGATCGGGCTCTCTGTGCTTCCAAAAGCATCTGATTAATCAGCTCTGTTTCTACGGTACATAATGGGCCCTTTTTTATTCCTTCATATTTAAACATAAAATAGGATGGCTATTTGTTGAGTTCTAGGAGGTCGTACATTGTCAGCTCCTTCCGAAACAAGCCATATATGTCTTCCGAATCAAGCCGACATAACAACTCGGAAACACGAACACCTAATTCATTCAGCGGACACAAACTCGCTCTCATCTCTCTTTTGACCGTTCTCGCGGCTGTACTTATTACCCTATTCTGGGGAGACACGGCCAATCTGTTCGGCCTCCGACGCCTCTTTGGATCTTCCGCGCGTTCAGCGGCAGTACCTCTATCAGGTTCAGCATCTGTTGCAGCAGCTGCGACAGTGAAGGGACAATCAGACGCAGTCACTAGTGGTCACGTACAACCCAGCATGAAGACACCCATTTACTTCCTCAGCCATGGCGGGGTGAGTTATCCATATCCTGGTTCTTACCATGAATTGAAGGTTGATTTGATATCCACTAGCCAAACGTCATGTACGAGGTCGACCACCCGGCCTACCGCAAGCTCGGTGAGATTGGGCGCGAGATAACCACAAAGGTCAAGCCGAAGGCTGTCGTGGTATTCTCGGCGCATTGGCAGGCCGGTCGAAATTCGATCCAGGTGAATACCGCCGAAAAGACTGATTTGATCTATGAGTATGTTTCATATCAAAATCCTAACCTCAAACTTGCAAATCCCGAACTAACTGGATTTAGCTTCTATGGCTTCCCGGGTCATTATTATAAAGAGAAGTACCCAAATGTGGGCAGCAAGGAGGTAGCGAATGAAGTATTGAGGTTGTTGAAAGAAGCCGATATCACGGCCGAGGGCGTGGAGCGCGGACTCGACCACGGCGTCTGGGCTAGCTTCAAGTGCGGTATGTGACAGTTTGCAGCAAAACGACATTTCAATGCTGACGAGGACAATGCAGCCTTCGAGCCAGAAACAAACCCACTGAACGTTCCCATCGTGCAAGTCTCGCTCTTCAACACTGAAGACCCAGACCAGCACTACCGGCTCGGACAGGCAGTCGCCAGTCTTCGCGAGCAGAACATTCTGATCATCGTGTCCGGGATGGCTGTGCATAACCTGCGTGATCTGCGGCTTGCTTTTGGCAGTTCGACTCCTATGTCGTATGCGGTTAGCTTCGACAACGCGCTCAAGGATGCCGCGACGACTGCGCCGGCTGAACGGCAGAAGGCCATGGCTGAGCTGATGAAGAGACCAGATGCACGACAGGCTCATCCTTCCTTTGAGCATTTGCTGCCTATTCATATTGGGGCTGGTGCTGCAGGCGAGGATCTGGGGAAGAGGATCTGGACGCTCCCCGAGGGGAGTATGAGCTGGGCACAGTATCGGTTTGGTGAGGTTGCCAATGCTAGTAGCGCGTTATGAGAGATAGCATCAATTCATCACTGGAAGTTATTAAATTGGATTTGTTTTGGATATGAGCTTCGATTTCATCTATGGGTACAGAAGATGGGTGTAGGACGGTGGGAACGCGGGGGCATAAAATAGATCTGCAGAGAAACCAAAAGCAGTTATAGCTGCTGCTTAACCAACTGTGTAATGCGCTCTTCAATCTGGGTGGCCGACAGGCCTAGAGGCATCAATTAGCATTGCAATTTGATGCAAAATTATGGTTGGCGGGGGATATTTACCGGACAACGCTTCTTGCTTCTCCTTGCCGAAAGCTATTGAGAGGAAACCATCACGTTAGCTTGACTCGCTTGTCTAAGGAGCCCACACAATGGGTTTATAAGTGGCTTGTCATACCATATCGGGCATAGACTCGCGGCTGGGTGCCCGCAGCCTCACGCATCATGATGGGAGTCTGGGGGTTGTGCTTCTTCATAGTCGGGTAGGCGCGGTTCAGGAAAGACCTATAGGCAGAGAAGACGGTCAATCAGTGGGCTGAAACCCAATCGCCATGGGTCGGGGTGTACACACCTTGTGGCCGCGCTCGCTTCGGAGGTTTGGCAGAAGAGGAAGCGGAGCTCCTTCAGGCCTTGAGTGAAAACGTACTTGCCAGACATGGTGGCAGAATGGTCAAGCAGATGTAAGGATTAGGGAAATTGAGGTCTCGAATGAGCCACGGGAGGATGAGCGCGGGAGCAGTGGGATTGACTTGCTGGACAGTCTGCGATGCAGTGCATTATTCACGACGGCGTTGATTCGCTGCGCAGAGCCATAATCCCGCTAGTCCCGATATCAACTAGCGCAATATGCTTACATCAGCTTCAACATCTGCCGAAGCGTCATAGGTAGGTAGCGACAGCGTAAGAGAGATAGTAAATGAGGGATAATTAATTGGAGTAGATTATATTAATTACTTGGGAGTAGCTCTTTTGTTTTTTTATAGACTATATTTTCATCTACCTGCGGTTGTGGTGGTTAATTGCCCTATATACCCTCCCCAACGGAAAACTCCCCCTTCCACCGATCACGGACGTTCATCAATCTTCTCTCTCACCAAAACCACCATCCCAGCTACCACCATGTCGTCTCGCGTGGGTTTCCGCTTTGTGAACAATGCTCGCTTTGCATTCCGCAATGCCTCCGCACCATTCCGCCGGCCGGGTGCCCAGAGCTTCCGCTGGCAGAGCTCCGAAGCCGGTGCTGCGGAGAAGCAGAGCGCCTTCCAGCGCCTATGGAACAGCCCTGTTGGTATGAAGACCGTCCACTTCTGGTAAGGATTCCAACTATGCTGCATATCTTGTCTCTTTTGCTACCATGAATTGATGCTAACTTCTGCTTTGCAGGGCCCCGGTCATGAAGGTACGATAACTCAATTTCCTCATCGGATACACCATCTATACCCCGAGCCACCCTTCCGGATACAAACGCCGCCGTATCTTGCGAAGCTTCTCCATATACTTACTGAGCACTATGGCTAATACATTTCCCTGTAACAGTGGTGTCTGGTCATCGCCGGTATCTCCGACTTCGCCCGTCCCGCCGAGAAGCTCTCCCTCACCCAGAACGCTGCTCTGATGGGCACTGGTGCTATCTGGACTCGCTGGTGCTTGATCATCAAGCCCCGTAATGTCCTGTATGTGGAACCCGATAGCAGACCCGCCGGGCCCCAATGCTAACACGACATAACTCTATAGGCTCGCCGCTGTGAACTTCTTCCTCGGATGCGTGGGTGCCGTTCAGGTGACTCGTATCTTCTTGTGGCAGCGCAGCCAGTCTGGCTCAATTGTCGAAGCCGCCAAGGAGATTGAGCATGAAGCTGTTGACTCCGTCAAGACTACCGCCCAGGCGGCTGAGGGCACCGTGAAGAACACTGTTGAGAAGTCGACTTAGATATGGAATGGTTTCCTTGTTTATGGCAATGGAACTTGATAGAGAGTTTCTGAATACGTCTAGACCGGTATCTATGGGGACCTCTTACCTGCACTGGGGTGAATATTTAGGAGAATCTCAGGGTTGAGTGAGCTCGCTTGTTTGAGATGATCGCTGTTTCATCTACTCTCTGGCCTGAGAATCTGGTCCTTTTATTGGACAGCCGTTGTACATATAAAGCATGTTTCAAAGTGATTGGTTACTGTTCCTTCTGCGAGACGTGGTCGAGAAATCTGAAAAATTTCCAGTAGCATTTGTCTTGTAATCCGAACTATCCTCTGTTTGGTAGTTGCTATTCGGAAAACTATGGCGCTGACGATATCTAGCTTCAATTGTTTGGAAATATATTGGATTTACGAACTCTGCTAGTTCTACCCAATTTATCCGGGATTTTCCTCCCAATCGGGGAAATCGCGCCAAATATTCCTCCTATCAGACTTGCCTGGGGACCACGTTCACGTAACGCGAGCCAATTTATCTCGTGTCCGTTATTTAACGAGACGGAAACTCCCCATACAAGCCATGACCATGCCCCGGTTTCTCCACACATTGCGGAGTCGCTAGCTTGTTTCCCCGGAGCAAATTGAACGACATGAGATTACCCCATTACATGACTGCAAAGGGCGGGAATTAGCGTTGACCCCGGTCGAGCTAGACCGGGGTAAGAGAGGATATACATTGTCAATGGCGCAACTATATATAAGCTGTCCTGGAAGTGCCAGAACGGTGTCTTTAACCGAGAAGATTGCCAATCCAACCCAAGAACACTAGATTCTCTTGACATTGACGATGAAGATTTCAAATACCTTCACCCAGGCCTTGGGATTGTGGTTGTCAATCAGCGCCGCAGTTCAGGCTAAGGAGTACTCTCGAAGCGAGGCGTGCCATCCACACCATCCATTCAAACCCCTTCCGGGCAGCCAAGCCAGAACTCGCACCTGTCATGTCGCTAACCGTGGCCATGGACGCGACGATTCAGCCAATGTTCTTACCGCATTGAAGAAATGCAATAACGGAGGAAAGGTTATCTTTGATGCTGGCAAGACATATACGATTGCAAAGGCACTTGACATGACTTTCTTGAAGCATGTGGATCTCGGTATGTAATGCACGTTGGAGTTGAATATGAGATGAGTGAGTACTTAC